TTTTAATATTTATTTTATTATAATTATATTATTTTACTTTTCTTTAAAAGTTTTTTAATAATTTTATAAAATAATTATAAATAATTATTAAGAAAATTATTTTTTATTTTAACTTTTATTAAAGTTAACTTTAAATTTAAATATTAATTTTAATAATAATTTATTTAATAAAGGTTTTTTAAAAGCTTATATAATTTTATAATTTCTTTAAAAGTTTTTTAAAAATATATATATTAATATAAATAAAAATAAAAAAGGTTTTTATTAAAATTATATTTATAAAATTTATTTTATAAAGAAATTAATTTAATTTTAATTATAAATTAATTATTTAATTATTAATTTTAATATATTTATATTTATAATGTTTAATATTATTAAAAGTAAATTTTATTATTATTAGTTTTTTTAATTATAAGTTATAATTATATTTAAACTTTAAAAATATTAATATTATATAATTCCTTTAATATTAAATATTTAAGTATTTATTATTATATAAAGGGTTTAAATATATATTTTAAAATAAATATATTAAAATAAAGTTTTAAATTTTAAAATTAAAGTATATTTAATTAATATTAATTTAAGTAATATTAAATTTATTAAGTTAAATAAGTTAAGTTATAATAATATTAAAATTAATAAGCTTATTTATATAATTTTATTATGAGCTAGCCTTGGGTTATTTGCTGTAAAGTATTTAAATAAGGTTTATATTTAAAGTATAAAGAAAAAGGTTTACTCTTTATTTATATTTACATTAAAGCCTATTCTTATAAAGCTAAGGCCTATTAATTAATTATAATAAGCAAAGCTTAAATTATAATATATCCTTTTTTTTTAAGGTTTTATAGCAAGCTTTAAAGGGTAACTATATAATAAAAAATAAAAGATATTATAATTTAATTATAAATTAAATATTACTCTTTGCTTAGCTATTTAATTATACCTTAATGCCTTTTAATTATATTAAAGGCTTAGCTTATTATTTATAATTAATATATCTTAGCCTTTATAATTTAATATATTAGCTAAAATAAGCTAATAAAAAATAATTATTTAAATATAAATTAATGGTTAAATTAATAGCATTTTTATAATTTTTTAATATAAGCCTTTTATATAAGCTTCTTTATTTAAAATCTTAAGATTATAAATTTATTATATAATTTATAATTAATTAATGCTTAATTATAAATAATTTACTTTATTAATGGAAATTTCTTAAATTTTAAGCATTTTTATAATATTAAATTAGCTAATATGTAATTAATTTACTTTAAGCTTAGGTTAGCGCTAAGCTGGCATTGCTTTTAAGCCTTATTTTATAAAAAAAAATTTTATGCCCCCTTAAATAAACTTCTTTCCTTTGCTAGCTTTAATTAATAAAAGCTATATTCTTATTTTTTTATAATAGTTAAGATAGTTATGCTTATAATAGCTAAGTTAGCTATATATAAAATACTTAACTTTACTTATTAAAATCGTTATAATATTAATATTTATTACTTTATTATTTTAAGATTAAGTATTATTTTCCCTTATTATAGCATTAAAAATGCCCTTATATTGCTATAAGGTAAAGTAAAAGGCTTTAAATATATTTAATTATTCCTTATAATTAAGCTAAGCTTTTATTATAAAGATTAAGCTATTAATTATTAATAATATTTTATATTTATTTAGCTAACTTTAAGCCTTTGCTATATAAGTTAATTAATTAAATTAAGCAAGAAATTTTATTATTTTCTCCTTATAGCGCTATTATAATATAATTAAGCTAAGCTTAATATATTTTTGCTTAAAAGGGTCTTTAAGCATAAAATAAACCTTTTTTAAAAAGCTTTTTAGCTATCCCTTAAATATTTTTATAAAATTAATATAAGGTAAAAATTAATTATAAAAAGTTCCTAGCTAATTAAATATATAAAAGAATTAAGCCCCTTTAATATTAATTACCTTCCTATTTATTGCAAACTTAACCCTTATCTTTATTAATTAAGTTACTAAGTATTTTTAAGATAAGAGTTTTTTTAAATAAGGAAGGGCTTAATAGGTTGCTATTATTTTTTTTAAGTTTCGCTATATTAAGTTTTATATAATTATATTATGGGTTTATAGTGTAAAAAGACTTTAAATATATATTATAAGCTAGCCTTAAGTTATTTATTATAAAGTATTTAAATAGGGTTTATATTTAAAGTATAAAGAAGAAGGTTTACTCTCTATTTATATTTATGCTAAAGCCTATTCTTATAGGGCTAAGGCCTACTAACTAATTATAATGGGCAAAGCCTAAACCGTAATAAATTTTTATTATTAACTTAATTATTAATAAATTTAATAAGAAAGCTTAAGTAATAAAATTATTTTATTATTAAATAAGATAATTAAAATTTAATACTTTTTTTCTTAATTAAATTATAATTTATAAATTATTTTTTTAGCTGCTTTAAAGCCTTAAATTTATTAAGTAAATATTATTTATATAAAATATAATTAAATAAATATTTAAAAGTAAAGTGCTTTTTATATTTCTTAGCTTAATATTTATATAAAGTAAATAAAAAGGTAAAATGTAATATAATATAATAATAATAAAATAATACTTATAAATTAATTTTTTAAATTAAATATATAAATTAAGTATATAAATTAAATATAAGTATTAATTTAAGTATTATTAATATATATATATATATAAATATATTATTTAATTTAAAAATTATAAATCTTTATATTTTTATTTAATAAAATCTTTTTATATAAATTTATTTATAATATTTAAAAAGTAAGGTAATTTATTTTAAATAATTAATTATTAATATATTAAAGAAAATTTATTTAATATTATTTATTTATTTAATTTTAAATTTATTATATATTATAAAAGGAAAAGTTATAATAAAAAAGCTTAAGGAAAATTAAGTTTAATATATTTATAAGTTAAGAAATAATAACGTTATAAAAATATGCTTTATTTTTAAGGAGCTTATTATAAAAAGGGGGTTTACTTTTTAATTAAAGTAAATATATAATTTTTAAGAAAACTAAATATTAATTTAAATTTAATAAAGATTATAATTATAATAATTAAAAAAAGTATAAAGAAACTTTAAAAGTAATAAAATTAATATAATATAACTTAACTTTAAGGTTTTTATTTATTAATTTACTTTCTTAAATTTTTATTTTAACTCTTTCTTGCTTACTTTCTTTTTTAAATATTAAAAATATAATAATTTAATTATTATATAAGCATTTTAACGCTTTATTTTACCTTAATTACGCCCTTTTTTATAAGGGGCTGTTATCTTTTATATTATTATATTATATATATTAATATTAACATTATAATTATATTTATTCTTGCCTTAATAAGGGCTTATAATAAGGAAAAGGACTTAATTATAATTAAGTTCTCAATTCTTGCTTTATATATGCAGCGATTAATTATCGCATAGGTATGTATAAAGGTTGCCGTTCTTTTATTTACGAAGGTCCCCCCCCCCCTCGGTTGCCTATACTCCCCGTATGTAACAATTTGAAGAGGAAAGGAAAGAGGAAGGAAATAGCTAAGATCATCCCATCGTGTATTGAACGTCATTTAAACCAGCCTTTCTTTCTCTTTTCGTTTCGTTTGATAAATCATCCTCCCGGCTCTTCCCATCCCCAATTTATATTAACAATGCATGTTCTCGTCAGGCCTCCATCAGTCTCGTCGCCTCCATCACCCTAGCACTCATGACTTCCCTCGGCATCAGCCCCAAGGCCCCTTCCAGAAACGAGCGCCGTCGCCCGTCGCCGCCTCCTGACGTACTTCATCCCCTGGGCCCTGGCCAGCCTCGCCGTCTGGGCCGCGTGCGCTGGCTGGCAGGCCCGGTACTACGCGCTGGACCGGGCCTCGTACATCCCCACGTGTCGGCGGTACCCCGAGCTGACACGGTGTTGGATGGTCTTTGCGACGTGGATCCTTGTACTGGTTTACATGTGAGTGGCAACTGAGTTCGATTATACGTTTTCATCCCTGTCTGTTTATCTGGCTGTCTGTCTGGCTGGTATGCTGTCTTTTTTGTTTCCTTCCAATGTTAGAATCATGCGTTCGGAGCAGGGCATTATGAAGCGCTAACTCGCAACCGGCTGGTGCTTCCTTGGAGCGATGCATTTGTTCGGTCTTGTCTGGCTGGGACTACTCCTTAGCAAGATGCGTATACGGCATCTGCAGTCTCGCAAAGGATTGACAGGGTGCAAATGTTTGACACGTCTCAATGATTTGCTGCATATATAAATCGATATACCTCTGAGTTTTTCTTTCTGCTGGTCTCTACCATACTTAGTTACTCATAAACAACAGAGAATGGGGTTTAAAGGGACGAATTAGATTTCTAGCTAAACATTATAAAAGAGGGGGGCAACTGAACTGATTACCAAGGCACCTCTGTTTTTTAAAAGTGTACCACTGAAGTCTAGAGATGGTTTTCGCATTTTTCTTCCCAGCCATCGTGGATCTGCCACGTCTTCAAATCAACTTCCAATATCCCTGGCACCCGTCACTCCTGGAGTGCTATCATGGCCATCAAGCGGTTGGTTAGTGATCTTGGGACCCCTCGATATATCACCTCTAAACGGTCTTTCATTGACACAGATCACATATCTACTTTTTGCAGCAGGTCATTCGCTGGTCGCAGGACACATCGAGATGTGGTTGTAAATAACATCTGTTCCACAGTTACACAATGTAATCATGGCACATATTCAAAAGAGGAATGTATACCATCTCTGACGATCTCTCCCAGTCGAATCAGGATATGCTTGCAAGCACGGAAGTAAACCGGTGAAGCGCCCAAGGTAGCGTTTGGGATTAGAATCACATCAGATCTTTGTAACATATTTACTAGTATATTCCTAACCAGTTGGATTTTGAGACCAAAGCGTCAGCTCCAGGGCGAGCGTAATGTTATTATTCCCGTACCTGACAGCTACTCGCCCGCCCTAGATCACCTGCGAGGGATACCAAGCGCCGTCCTCAAGACCTCCATGAATCTCCAAACCTCCTCGAAGCTGTTGTACATGGGTACCGGCGCCACGCGAAGGACGTCGGGCTTGCGCTTGTCGCACACAATTGCCTCTTCGGTGAACTCCTCCAGCACCTTGTCCAGCAGGCCATCCCTCAGCAGGATGCTGAGCTGTGCTCCCCTCTCAGCGGTGTTGGCCGGCGTCACTATGGTAAACGCAGGCTTCGCGGCATGTTGCTCATCCGCCAGGATCTGATTCAGCATGGCCTCGGCATAGCACGTCAGCACAAGGCTCTTGTTCCTCAGGTTCGTGAAGCCGGCCTCGTTGAACATGCTCAGGGCGCCGCTCAGGGCGGCAAGGTCCAGCGCCGAGGGGTTGCCGATCTGGAAGCCGCCGGCGCCGGGGGTGGGCTGGAACTGCTTGGCCATCTGGAAGCGCACGCTCTTGTCGCCGCCGTACCAGCCGCTGAGGCGAGGCCGGAACACGGGCTTGGGCTGCCCGTCCTCGCTGTCGGCGTCCGGGGCCCACTCCACCTTGCCGTGGCGCTCGTGCACAAAGGCGCCGGCGATGGACCCCGGGCCGGCGTTGATGTACTTGTACGTGCACCACATGGCAAAGTCGACGTTCCACTCGTGCAGTTTGAGGTCGACGTTTCCTGCCGCGTGGGCCAGGTCCCAGCCCACCACGACGCCTCTGTCCTGCGCGTACTTGGTGATGGTTGGCATGTCGAACAGCTGTCCGCTGTAGTACTGGATCCCCGGGAGGAGGATGAGAGCCGTGTCGTGGGCGTGCTCGTCGATGGTGGCGAGGATCTGGCTGGTGGGGATGTACAAGGTCTCATCCTTGGGCCAGACCTCTACCATGGACTTGGCGGGGTCCAGACTGTGCCACTGGATGTGCGAGTGGATGGCGTAGTAATCACTTGGAAAGGGTTTCCACTCCAGGATGATCTTGTGGCGTTTCTCTGTCGGCCTGTAGAAGGCGGCCAGCAGCAGGTGGATGTTGGTCGTCAGGGTGTTCATGTAGACAATCTCGCTGGGGAGCGCGCCCATGAAGCCCGCCGACTGGGTGGCACACTGGGCGGCCATGTCTTGCCAGTTGACGAGGGGCGAGCCCTCGAGGTCTGCAAAGTGGCCGTTGACCCCGATGGATGCCCACGTGTCCAGCTGCGCGTTGATGTATCGCCGTGTGGCTTGGGACTGCAGGCCCAGCGAGTTGCCGCAGAAGTAGATGGCGCCGTTCCCATCCTCGTCCTGCCCGTTGGCGGCATGTGCTGTGCCGTTCACGGTCGTGGCCGCCGAGGATGCCACGGGCTTGAGCGCCTTGCCCTTGAGTGAGGCCTTGGTTGGGAAGATGTACTCGTTCCGCAGGTGCTTGGTTGGGTCAGAGCCGTCGAGTGACCGAGCATGCTCCCGTGAAAGGTCACTGAAGGCCGGCTTCTTGCCGGAGCGTATCTGGTCAGCAGTCACACCGAAGTCCATCTTTGACAAGGCCAAAAACAAGGGCCGAGGCTGCGCTTAGTGTCTGAGTGGTGAAAGGAAGACGTCGACGTGGCAGGGGAGCACTGCTACTTCCTCTCCAATGTGCCTGATCGGCTTCTCTATGTAGGCGGCGGGCGGCGGCAGTCCAAGCACCGCGCAGTCCACTGGAACCCTGAGGGCCCCGATTGAAGTCGGTCCAGGCCTGAGACGCTGATGTAATGGATTCTGGGCCCTAGAAAGCTTTTCGGCTCGCCCCGAGGACGGCATTACACATCAGTTTGGGGGTCACTCAAAGCCAGGACGGGCGCAGGAAAAGCCGGGCCACCGGGCCAAGCCAAGCACAGCAGAGCTTGAGGGTTTGTGTGTGGTGGGGATTGACATCCGAACATCCGCCCTTCCGAATCGTCCTGGCTCTCTTCCGCGTTTAACCGCCGACCGGATGTCATTTCTTGCCTCGAACCCTCCGATGCCCTGCCCAGACCTCCGGGTCCGACATTCACTTCTGGCCCAGCATTCGTCTCGGGCAACCAAAGCCTTGCTTGCGCTCACGGAAGCCCCAGAGATGCACGGAAGAAAACAACATGGTTCGATTGCGGAAGAAATGACACCAATCTAGGGTGTCGTGCACCCCCCAACCCACCCCTGAGCGTCCCTCTCCCTCCCATTGTGCCCGGGACCGTAGCTCGCACGCTGTCTTCTGCCTGCGGCGTCCGTTGCTCGAGGTTTTAATCCAATCACGGAAGATGTGTCTCTTGTTCTTGTAGAAATTCCAATCCTTCGTAGTGACTCGACGGTTCCATATCAAAAGAACTGTTATTGCTGCACCCAAGATTCGCATAGACATTCTTCTGACCCATTCCCTTCCTCTTTCCTTGCCGCGTAGCAGCAGGCCAAACGCCTGACAACTCTTCGCTGTATTTCATCTCACAATTTCTGGCCGTGTTTCCCACTCGCTCTGCTTACAGCATCCAACATGTCGCCTCACGCCCTCACTGAGCAGCTCCAAGACGAAGAGCTTCTTGCGTCGTTCAATGTCACAAGCAATGGCTTCCTCCCTTCCGAAGAGCCCCTCAAGTTCCTTCCCGGCTCTTATTATGAGCCCTGGGAGCTTTTGATTCACAATATCCAGGGTCTTCTGGCCAATGGCACACTGAGGCAAAGAGTTGAGCAATTACCGGTGCTGTCGACAGACGTTCTCAGGACGGAGGCCGAATGGAGGAGGGCTTATGTTATCCTGACCCTCCTGACACATGCATATGTTTGGGGAGGTGATAAGGCTGCAGAGGTTAGTCTTGGCCCCATTGCTGTCGCTAGGGAAAACCAGAGGTGTTATTTTCACAGGAGATCATGCTGAGAGCCGCGTTGTTACAGGTCCTGCCTCCCGCAATATCAGTACCTCTTCTCGCCGTGTCGCGGCACCTCGAAGTGCCGCCAGTAGCAACATACGCGGCTCTTAACCTATGGAACTTCACCTCATCCACGGACTGCTTCACCGACCTCGATAGCCTCAAGTCGCCGCACACCTTTACGGGCACCGAGGACGAGTCTTGGTTCCTCTGTGTCTCGGTCGCCATGGAGGCACAAGGCGCCTATATCATGCCCATGATGCTCAGGGCCCTGAGAGCCATTCACACGCGCGACTTCGACGCCATCACCGCCGCCCTGGATGAACTGTCGATCTGCATCAGGAAGGTCGGCGTGCTCCTGGACCGCATGCGCGAGAGGTGCGACCCCATGGTCTTCTACCACAAGATCCGGCCGTTCCTGGCCGGTTCCATGAACATGGCCGCCGCCGGCCTGCCAAATGGCCTCTTCTACGACGAGGGCAACGGGAAAGGGTCGTGGCAGCAGTGGCGCGGGGGAAGCAACGGGCAGTCGTCGCTGATCCAGTTCTGGGACGTCGTGCTGGGCGTGACGCACACGTCCGAGGGGAGCAACAACCCGCACGCCAAGGCCGGCAGGCCCGAGGAGAAGAGCTTCCACCAGGAGGTGAGGGAGTACATGCCGGGCGGGCACCGGCGTTTCCTCGAGCACGTCGGGCGGTCGGGCAGCATCCGCGCGCTGGCCATGATGCCGACGGCCGGGGAGAGGCACGCCAGGATGCAGGAGGCATACGCGGCGGCCACCAAGACGCTGACCGAGTTCAGGAACAAGCACCTTGGCATCGTGACCACCTACATTGTCATTCCGTCCAGGAAGCCGTGGACGGGAGACGTGGGCAAGAAGGCCGTCAACCTGGCGACCTCGTCGACTCGGCAGCAGAACGAGAACAAGGACGCCGGGAAGTCTGGGGCCGACAAGGAGCTGACGGGGACGGGAGGCACGGCGCTGCTGCCATTCCTGAAGCAGGCCAGGGACGACACTCACGAGGCTGGGCACCTGGTGCGGGAAACCGCCATGGCGAAGCGATGATCGAGCGCTCCACCCACGGGGAGAGGGGATGCATTGAATGCATGTGCATACACCTGTTAGGCGTTGGGGTTCATATTTGTTATTCAATCACGGGCTTCCCAGTACCATACCGATCACGGTCACACGGAGTGAGGAGTATGCAATTATTTTGGTTGCGGAATCTGTTGCTACATGTAAATACCATTGCTCAGCGCCACTCCTAGATGAAAGCCGACATACAGCTGAGATAGATTATTTGGGTCACATAGAAATTTACGGCATTAGAGCTGGCATAGCAAATTGACCTGGACGCCACAAAGCCATTTGAATCCAGTAATGATGTTCCCAAGTACTCATGAGACGAGCTGACATGACACCCGTGGACCTCAGCCGGCACATGCGTTGGGCAGTCCAAGCCGAACGGAAGCTCGGAAGATCCTCACCATCCGCACCTTTACGCCTATTCCTGGCTCAACTTAGGCATGATATTTCAACTGAATGAGCGGCAGTGGCATCATTTACAGCCTTCCCTGACCCCTTCGGTCTACGTTCAGGTGCTAGGCTTTTGTCACCACACGATGAACAATTCTCAGCACGATCATGTGAGGCCGTGTCCATCTTCCGCCCCTCTACCATCGTGAAAGTGGTCTCGTTTTTAATCTGTACATATATGCTTCTTGAGCAATATGCATCCAGTCCCCTTATATAATAATAAATGCTTAAACACCTAGCATTAAAAAAATAATAATATAATAATAATTATAAGTTTTAAACATAATTATATTATAATTATATTATATTGCTATTAATTTACTTTTTTTATTAATAATTAAAAGATGCTTTAAAAAAAATTAAAAACTTATTAAAAATTAAGGGTAAAAAAAGAGTTTTAAAGTTTCTTTATTAAAGGATTATTAATAAATATATTAAGTTATTTACAACTTTATATAAAAGCTTAAGGCTAAAGAATAATTAAAAAATTATGCAAATAATAAATAAATTAATAATTAATTAATTTAGAAAAACACAATGTGGACGAAGCCACCATCGTGAAACACTGAAACTAATATAGATTTAACTAAAATGGCGGCCGCTGCCGGGTTCCCAGGGGTATAAAGGTCACTGTGAATTGTGCCCACCCTAGCATTACTCCGTGTTCTGAGTATGGAGTTCAAACTTAGCATGGCAAATGCCATCCCAGCGTCATAGGCCACCTTGCTCGGTCCTTCTCCCTCCAGAAAGAAATCCTGCCCTTGTTCACCTTGATAACACATTCAGCCGGCTTGCATCCACAGAAATGACTGGGCGGGCCATTTTTTTATATATGATTGGAGTGCAAGAGATATATACCCATCTCACAGCGAGTCCAGGAGTCCCTGGGCCTTTTGCGACTCGCGTGAGTTTCTGTCAACCATCTCATGATGCTTCAGGTGTTTCCGTCCCCATTTCCTGGCGTTGCTCTCATTGTGAGCCATGGCGGCGTGGTCGAAGGCCAGCCGGCTTGTCTTGGCGTAATAATCGGCGAGTCCCTCCTCTTCAACGTACTCTGCCAGGGCTTGAGCAGTCGACATGAGCTTGTTTCTTGCAAGTCTGGTCTTTTTACCGGGCGTCTGGAGCGCGCTCTCCAACTCCCTGAGGTCCTTCCCGGCCTGAACACGTCTTGTGTCCGAAGCCCCAGTCCGGCAGGCTGCGCAGTTGCAACGGAATCCGTACGGGCGCAGCCTCTGGTTGCGGCTCTCCGTATCCAAAAGCAGTGGGATGTACGTTGTAAAGATCTACGCGTGGGGAAGGAGTCAGCTGCTTTGACACCGAACGTATGACCAGTGGTTTGATTGTGCACCAGCTGGTGTCTGCTGCTGCATACCTCTTCTCCCTCCTGAATATCTCGTGTGGCTACGATGATCCTCGTCCCTCCGTTATCCGCATTCAGCACATTAGGCTGACAGGAATGGTTGATGAGTGCCACTTTGGGATAGATAGCGACTCTGCCGTCGTCCAAGTTGTAGGCGTTGCTTCGGAGGATCGCCATGAGCCGGCCAGACTCGTCCTGGCTATCTCCCTCGAGTCTCTGCTCGTGACACGAGAGATATTCTTCTTGCTGCTCTGGGCTGAGCCGCGAGTACTCTTGGTTCACATCCGCAGCCATTGCAGACAGAGAATAGCCCATGCCTGGGACCAGGGCTGGAGGACTCACAACCAAGAGAGGCTTCTCGACCAGCACATGGGTTCCTTCAAGAATGACTTGAGCAGCAAACAGCCCGCGTCCCTTTCCCGGCGAGGGCTTCATTTCCCATACCGGTCTTTCACCATGTTGCTCATTTGGCAGGGGCAGCTGGTGTGAGTGTGCGGGACACTATGTCGCAGTCAGCTACGTCGGTTATTTTGGAGCGTCTGCAGATTACGGCGAGCCACGAGGCTACGTACAGTCAGAAACGGACCAAGCAGAGGCAGCACAGGGTAGTCGACATCCTTGAGGATCTGGTCTGATAGCGATAAAGCCTGTTGGGCGGGCAGCAGCAATAGTGCAGCCAGCCATCTCCCGAGCCGCTGCGTCGAGATCTGGACCAAGGTCATGTCTGCTTGCGGTCGAACTGTGACCAGGAGTGAGCCTGCAGACAAGTCTAGTTGAAGAAGGAGAGCAAAGGTGAACCGTTGCTCCAAGTTACCGAGTTGCCTGCGATGTGGTTGTGGTTGAGGCGGGCCCCGGGTCCGTGTACAGGCCTGGCCTTTTCCCGGCACTCTTTTCTGAAACATGGCCGCACAGGTCGGCCGTAAGCCCCTGAACGTTACCACGGGCGATTAACCCCTTCCAAACATCATGATTGGTTTCAAAGGTTGGTTTCGGTAAATTATTATATAAGCCAGAACGTAGCAATCCGTCCAGGCACGGGCTTTGGGCCCCTTATAGTGTACTTCGGCCGTCTTTGCGCCACGCCTGTAAGTCCTGTACTGTATGCTTGCACGTACAACAAACCCCCCTCCGCACTTCGCCCTTCCCCCTCGTTGCTCTCTGCCATCGTATCCTGGTATCTAGGTTCATAATGCCCGTATATAATTACATGATGCTATGCCGTCCAAACCCATCCTCAACATAGATGCTTTGGCACGCCATGCAACGTGCAAGAGCTCGGGGCTGCAGATAATTACTTCTCCCCTGCATCGGCCTCTAGCCTCCCTGCAATGTGCCAACCATGATTCAAGTGTATTGCATGGTGATCCGTTCCAAGCGCTTTGATGCCAGTCAATCATTGGTATCAATATCATCGAAAAAAAAGCCCCATTTCGCGATCGATTCGCCAGGGGCTGTTTACAGACATCGAAAGCCTGCGACACGATCCGTGGCGTCGTTGTCGCCGGTATTGTTGTCTATCCTAGTATCACGGTGGTCGCCCTCCGCCATCCATGGACCCGGTCCTGAGGGGTGCGCTCAGGTTCATAAAGGCAGCCTGGCCTATCGAGCGACGGTGGTTCTGCATGCCAACGGCCGATGGGAAGCCCCCGTCGGTGTTGGCCTCGACCGCCGGGTCTGTCACTCCAGACATCCGCTGGTGGTCTTTGGCGTGTTTGTCGACAAGGCCACCCCTAAAGCCCTTCTCGGCCTCATCCGCGTCCTCGTCATCCTCGGCCTGGAACACTTTGCTCTCCAGCCACTGCGTCGCCCGTGCACATGCCGTGTCGACCCAGCGCATCCAAGCCCACGCCGCAGTGTACGTCAACACCACAAATACCAGTATCGCCAGGTGGACGCTCGCCTTGCTTCGGATGTGCAGGAACTCCTCGAACGACCCATCTTCGCGCTGTTCGAACCTGGGCGTCAACCCGTATGCGATCCACATGCCGACGGTCCTCAGGATGGTGCCGTGGACCAGGTACACGGCGAAGGAGTGTCGGCCGAGCCAGAGAAAATACCTGTTGCTCAGCAGCTCGCGAAGAAACGGGCTGATGAAAATGGCAACCGAGCAGCACTGTATCGCTACCGAGGAGAAGCGGCGGCGAGCATCTGTGCCCTCGGGCACAAGGAGGCTGCCACGAGATGTGCCAGGAGGTGGATCCATGTTTACAAAAGTCTGCTGGAGGCCAAGAGACCAGCGGGACCAGTCCTCGTGCTCCTGGGGATACGAGCCCAGGAACAGTCCGCTGAGGATAAGCAGGGGCGCCACGACCAGGGACAAGATTCGGTGGTTGGAGGCGATGAAGTTCTGCGTCGGACGATGAAGAGACAGGTCGGCCAGCAGTGTTCCGAGAGATATCAGCGAGCCGAACGTCTCGGTGTTGGCCTCTCTGTTCAGCCACCAGTATGCCATGAGCAGGAAGTGAACAACCATGCGGTACTTGAGCCTCATGCCCATGGTGGCAGCCAGCAGGATGTACACCTGGAACGCGCCCACCAGCAGCGGCCGCATGGCCCACTGGTGGCGGTCGTAGGCGTTGTCCGTGCTCGTCCAGGTGGTCAGCAGCGAGCGGAACAGGCGCGCCAGCTCGCGCCTGAAGGTGGGCTCCATGCCGGGGGCGTCGAAGCGGACCCAGAACGAGTCGCAGAAGTGCGCCGTCTCGTAGCCCCCGATGGCCGTGAGGCAGAAGCTGACGAAGGTGGCGACGGCGGCGGGCAGGACCAGGCGGGGAGGCCGCCGGAAGGCGCTCTTGGCCACGGCCATGAGGGCGTCGCCCTGCTGGTGGCGGTTGCGGCCGAGCTTGAGCGGCTTGAGGGCGCAGACGAAGCCGGTGAGGAAGGCGAAGATGGGCACGCCTATCCTGCCCTGGGCCGGGATGCGGATGATGGGGAGCTGCCAGAAGCGAGGCGGCAGGTCTGGCCTGTCCCTGGGGAAGAAGAGCGGGAAGTCGAAGGCGCGCGCAACATGGGTCATGACGACCATGACCGAGGCAATGCCCCTGAGGCCCTCGACCCACTTCACGTTCTTTGCGGACTGGTGAGCAGCCATGGCGACGGTCGACTTCGGCGGCGGCAGAATCTGTATGTGATCAGCCCGGCCGGGGCAAGACAGGGCGCTGCCTCGTTGGGGGCGCAGCCCAGATGTCAAGACGAGTCCCAGATGTTGACAAGCGTCTCAGCATAGCATAGCACTTCTCGATTTCGGATGGTCGCTGGCCCAGGTGATGAACAGGCTGGAGGAGCGGCGCCAAAGTTGCCCGTCGACGGCCGACTCGGTAAATTAGAGCGGGTGCTCCCGATAGCCCCCGACAAATTGTGAGTTGTTGGTTAGCTGGGAGTGCTTATCGGATGCTGGTAAGAAGAGAGCACCGGGTTTTCGCATTCGCACGTGGATCTTGGGATGGCCCAAAAGTGAAGTGGGCTGCACCGACAAGAGGCGTCTCGTCCTGGCCCCGTCTCGTCTCGTACCACTCCAAGGCAGAGCAAGCAGGTGAACTCGGCAGGTAGAGACTTGTCGGTCCAGTTGGACAATAACAAGTCAGTCGATGTTATGTCAGTGTCTCGTCTCTCTCTCTCTCTCTCTCCCGATCCGGACAGGTGGATGGGTGGATGATCATTAAGTAGGGAAATGCAGCGCAACGCCACCCTCTCAAGGAGAGCTCAAGAGGTGCAGGGAGCCGCCAGATAAAATGAAGCCAAGCGCGTGCGGTCTGCCCCAGCCAGAGTCCTGAGCGAGTCCGTTTCTGGACGGCGCAGGATCCTTTGCCAAGCTGCCGGAGGAACAGAGAGGTGAGAGCCAAGGCCTTATTCCCGACAAGAGGAAGGTCGTCCTGTCGCCTCGACCAAGCAAAAGCCAGCCACCGGCCCTTTTGCTCCACAACTGACTGCAGGCAGCAGGCAAGGGAAAAATGCAGCGACCACTAGACCACTGTGTATTAGCGGCGCAATCCGTACCGAGGGGCCCAGCAATCAGTGGCGTATTGGTGCTTGTTGGTGTGTGTGTGTGTGTGTGTGTGCCTGTGTGTGTGCCTGTGTTCTGGCGCGCTTGCTCAAGCTGTCTGGGCAGTGTCACCGGTGCAGTCTGCAAGTTGTCTGCTTGTCAGGCTTGTCAGGCTTTGTCCAGCTTTCCGTCTTGCTTGTTAGCCCTGCTGGCCCTGTCAGCTGCCTGGCTGGGCAACGCTGCGCTAGGCCTGATGGAATGTTGCTGTGCCGATCTCGAAGACCTTTGCCGTCTTGCCGGCGCCGAGCCCAACGAGATATGCACGGCTGGCACAGCTGCCACACTCACACGGAACTTAGGTGCCGAGCGGGCCACGGGCGAGATTGACGGCGTGGCACACCTCGGTCAGCAAGACTGGGGCCTTCTCAAAGCCAAGGGGGCGCTGATTAACACGCCGGCGCCTGCTTTGGATTTGCCTTGGATGAGATGGTCTGGCAAGTACAGTTTGGTGACTGCAGGCCGGAGCCGCCAGGTGAGGTAATGGAGGCGCAGCACATGTGCATGCACGCGAGGGGAGGATATGGGAGTGGATTTGAATACTCTTCGTCGACGCCTAACAAGGACGCATGTATCAATGCCACACACACCCTGGGATACTGTGGTAGCTGGTGTTGAAGCACGGGTAGCAAATGAGACGTAGCTAGGTGTGTCGTTTGTCTTCAAATGTCGTGCCGCACGAGGTTGGATTAAATCCGAGTGTGTTCATCTGCAGATGCCTGGACTAACCCAAGGCAGCCTGGGACTGCCTGACATAACAACAGTTCCAAGTCACCAGGAGCGTGGGCGGTGACTTCCGTCCGGCCTTGACGGAACCGGGCCAAAACACATCGTGTGGCATGCGTCGTGCCGCACACCGACAGCAGCAATCTCCCAATTATCCAGTGCGCATCTGTCATACTACCTACCTGCAAGCAGGCCATGTGTGTGCTACAAGCGGGGGCTGACAGCAATAATCTGCGATATAGATCTCGGCATACGTAGGGGCAGGCCCGAGACTAATGGCCTTCATACTTGGGCAAACACGTGCGCATCAAGAGTAATCAGTGAAGGGCAACGGGGGGTTGATGAGTCCCTTTGAGAAAGGAGTGTCAGACGTTTTAAAAAGATGCCACTTTTGCGTTGAAAGACCTGAAGACTGATGGTGATCAGGCCCTGGTGACGAACTGCCTTTCTGGCCCCCTGCGGCTTCCACACAACAGACGTCATTCAGGGCGGCCGCTTCCTGCATGCATGTGTCGACGCGGAATAATATTGGACAATGATGCCTGTGTTCCAACGTACTGGCCTCCACACTTGTCTTTGATGCACAGCCTCTGAGCGCCCTGGCTGGCCCTCGGAAATAACACCGCATTCCTCCACTCCCCGGGCTCCCCAGCCACAGATCTTGGATAATAACAACATGTCTACAATTCTGATACGAGGAGACATCTTGAGGTTCGATTGTCCAACGAGGAAGACCACGCACGGCGCAAGCAACGCTTATCGTTATGTGCTTCCATCAAGGCCTTACCAGCCTGTCTACATTTTCGGGCTTCTGCGCAAGGCGGGTCAATGTCGAAATGGCGAGAACCAAGCTCAAGATGACGTGACTATATACTCTGTGCTTTATATCATCGCTATGCCCAGCAATCCTCGCTGCACTGGAACCTGGCTTTGGCGGCAACCACAGGCGTGTCAGGCACATTGTGGGTTCAAGGAAGAGCATTTTGGCTGTAGCTTCAAGTTCAAGCAGTCTTTTGCATGTGACTTACAAACCTACACAGTCAAGCGTTGGTAGTTGGCAATTTCTGTGATATATGTGAAATCGTGTGTGTCGTTAATCCAGCCGACCGTGACAAACCACTGATGAAGCAATTAAGCAAACGATAGTTGATTGTTGTTGTTGAGGAGAGAAATCTCCCCGCTATCGAACGCTCAGAAGGAGCCTATTTGTAGGCTAGCGCTAGCGTATGGGCATACGACCCTCGCACCTTCCAACAACCACAAGTCCCCTCTTCTCGATCCCGGCAGGTCAGGGGGTTCACTTTCACGGGCTGCGTATGGAAATTGATAGATAAAGGTTTTCTAGAAACTCTACCAACCCTTGCATTGGTTTGAACGTGTAGAATTGGACTTGACGCATTTCAACCACACTTGAACTCCAATTTGAAAATGAACCTTCAAAAGACTTCAATGTTCAGCCAGTGGCTAATTTACGCTGTTGCTCAAGAACGGCCATCACCAGAAGTCTATTTGGTCCTCACATACATGTATTAGAAGAGTGTTGGCTCCAGCTGGCTCGAAGCCACTTCAGTTTACATGCTCTGATTTGCTGGGTTGATGTAGGCAATGAAGACTCGGCTTTGACGCATTATCTCAACCTATAGTTACGCATGTGTACACGTCGCTCAAATTTTGTTCGAGTACGTCCCCCGCCCAGTATTTCTTGGAGCATCTTTTGCGTCATCTGCCCATTTGATGTCAAATTTCCCAAGCCCGTTTCCCATCTGTCCCGAACATAACTACAACAAAAAAAAAAAAAAAAACCGCCAGCACCAGTTATTTTTATTCCCTCCAAAATGCAGTATTGCAGAGGTTGCTCAACATTGTAACAGTCTGGCTGCCTACTTCTTCCTCTGGCCTAGTCGCGGCAGTCTAATTGGCAACAACAGCACAAGACTGGCTATGGCGAGGATAATACAAGATAAGAAAGCCGCCCTGATGGAAGCCTCATAACTCCTCACAACTTGCTCTTGTACGAGACCTCCCATTTTGCCAATAGCCTCGATGCTTTCTCTAACTCTTTCAATGACCTCAGCCTTGCCACCTAGGAACCCGGCGTCTTTTGCTGCCCTGTCGGTGACGTACGTCTCGAGGTAAACCCAGAGCGAGTTCTGGACGATGAGGCTGCTCCCTGCTATGCCGAGTACCGTACCCATGCTGCGCCAAAGAATCAAGGTACTGGTGACGACGGCCTGCTCCGCCTGCTCACTTGCTGCGAGGATAGCGATGAACGTACCGGGGAATGCGAATCCCTAATATGAAAATCAACGCTGGTTCCGGTACCGATCTGGCGCTTGTAGCGGAAACATGTCGTATGGGGTAACGTACCTGTCCCATCGAGTGGGGCACCAGGAGTATGAGGTAGACGAAGAGTGGCCAACCCCGCTGCATTGATGAGAGCACGACCGTCCCCACGAGGAACAAGGCCGCACCCAGCACGAGAGGCCACTTCAAGCGCTTGGTCCACTAGAGATTTGTATCTTCTATTTAGTATTTGTCGACACGCGAGAAATACCCAGCGCTTTGAAAACATGGTAGGCTTGATCGAAACAGGCACTTGGATCCTGTGTGTCTGGAAGCAGACGTGGAAAGGGACATGTAGCGCGTGAAGGATTCACTCACTGTAACCATGAAGCCCGTGGCAGTGCCACAGGTGCTAGAGGCAATTGTGGGAACCATCTAGTGACCGAAAAAATGAGTATTTTTGAGATGGAATGCCTGAGGAGGCGGTTGCACCAAGGGCATTATCGGCTTACAAGGCACAGGCCGCTCGTCGTGGCAGAGGTGAGGAGCACAGCCTGGAAGTACAAGGGCATGTTAAACAGGATGGCATTCATCAGAAAGGCGGCGAGGAAATTAGAGAATATCATGTTGGCATGTGGAGACCGCTGTATGAGGCGGAGAGGCATGATGGGCCGTGATGCAGACCGTTCGGCCCATAGGAACGACGGGAAGCTGAGGGCGAAGACGGCCAGCGATGTGAGGACGAGTGGGTGGGTCCAGGCGAGGACATTTCCGCCGAGGTTGAGGCCGAGGATCAGGAAGGTGATGGCAGCGGTCAGTAAGAAGGAGCCCCTGAAGTCGAACTGCCTCATGGCCTGGAGCACCGTCTCCTTGTGGGCCTGGACGTCCAACCCAAGATCACCTGGGATCGTGACAATGGAGATGCCAACACAGAGAAACAACGGGGGCACCTGAATGCCGAACTCTGCACGCCAGCCCAGATTCTCGGCAAGGAAGCCACCTAGAGCCGCACCGGATGTCGAGGCGACTCCGTACACCATGTTGATATAAGACTGATATGCTGCACACGGTTGCATCGATCAGCACACACACACACACACACACACACACACACACACACACGCACGCACGCACGCACGCACATGCACACAAGCACAAGCACAAGCACAAGCACAAGCACAATCACACAGCCCAACAGGACCTGCACGGCAGCCTAGGGTACTCACCACCTCTCCTCTCGATAGGGACCAGGTCCGAGACGATGATGCTTCCCAACGTCATGACGCCACCGGCCCCGAGGCCACAGACGGCCCGGGCGGCGATGAAGCTCGTCATGGTCTGGGCGAGGGCGCACCAGAGGGTTGCCAGTGCGAAGATTGTTGCCGTGGCGATGTAGGGGCCCTTGCGGCCGACCGAGTCGGACAACCTGCCCAGCAGCGGCTGGAAGGCGGTCGAGGTGAGGAGGAAGGCCGTCGACAGCCACGAGGCCGAGTTTGAGCTCTGGAAGTAGGAGGTGATGACGGGGTGCGACGAGGCCATGATGGTGCCGTCGAAGCACGAGACGAAGTGGAGGGCCAGGACGTTGCCGAAGATCCACCAGAAGCGGCCTCGAGAAATGCCGCCGAGGAAAGGTGCCCTGTCCAGCTCGGCGGCCACCTCGTCCTCGAGGGCCTCGCTGGTCACCGACGGTCGCCGGCTGGAGAAGACCAGAGGTGGACGGCCTGCCCTGCTGCTGCTGCTGTACTTGCGGTCCCCTCTGAGGAGCGGGGTCTCGTTCGCCTCTGGGCCCAGCGGGCCTGCCGCGTACGAGGACGAGCGAGTAAGCAGCAGGTCAAAGTCATCCGGGTCGATTTCCTCGTCCTCGTCCCCGTCCCCGTCCCCGTCCCCGTCTGCCGATCCGTCATAGGGCTCTGGGTACCGTGATGTGGTGTTTCCAACCAAGGGCGTGTGCTCGTCCGGTAAGCGCGAGGTTGAGGCAAGCCCAGGCGCAGGCCCGGGTCTGTTGCTATTGGCAGCGCTCATGACGTCGAAATAGACTTTCGCACGCGGACTGAGTCGACAGGGGATGCGGTATGTATGGAGGGTGAGTTCCGACAGCCAGGGCGTGGTTTGGTGTTGGTCGACGGATTACTCTAGCGGAACAGATGATCCAAAAAGTAAGTACTTGGGAGTGGCATCCCCAGTAGCAATTGTGTTGTCTGTTGACGAGAATGGATGCACGCGGGAGCAAATTAATCGCTCACACTGAGGAGAGGGCGTGAAGAGATTTCTTGATAAAACAAGGCGAAAAGACTAGTTGTGCATGCGTAGTATGGTGAAGGAGTCATGCCGGTTTACACTTATTCCCTGTACAGTAGGTATGTATCTCTGCGTCTCATTCTGGCCCTCTCCCTGTCTCGTGCACACTCAAGTGCTCACTCACACACACTCACACACACACACACACTCAGACCGAAGACCCAGGCAAGAGGATGGGCCGAGTACTCCGCCCTGCGTCCGCCATGGGCAAGTCTAAAGGTCTCAAGCGCTACCGAGCTGCGAAAATCGGGGCATCCGGTCACGACATCGACAAGGAACTACTCCTAGTCTGACCCGTCCTCGGCACCTCGCCTTATTACAACCCCACCCTAGTATTTGTACACATACAGCAGCATTGCTTTTTTGACGGGTGCCAAAAGTTCAAGCCTCCGATTCCGAGCCCGATTAAGTCTTGGCTTCCGGTTGTGTACTACGCCGCCCTCCGGCCCGGCATGCGATGCAAGCTAGAGCCTACAGCACGTGGTACCTACTCCGTACAGTACAACACGCAGACCAAACTCTAATGATTCCGGCACATTGGCACACGCATTTGTGTATACTGTGTACCTGGGATGTAATCTGCCAAGACCCACCCATATTTATTCTCTTTTCGTGGGCTTGAGGACTCGAGGATTCCGGTCAAGATGCTCATCTCGGCAAAATGCCCGTGCCGTCGTTCAATGCTTACTTGGTCAGTTACCGTGCGTGCAGTCAGTCATCATCAGCTGTCACGGGATTTCTTCATGAGGCGGGTGAGGATTCTCTGATACCAGACAAATTGTATGTGCACCGCGATAGACCCGCGCTATGCTATGTGGGTAGACCAAATATCTACAAGATTCGAGAAACATTTCAACATGAACATGAAGAGTCCCGCCTCATCTCCGCCCGCCACGTGCTGACTGCTTAGTCGTAAGTCACAACCACGGTGGATCCAGAGACCTTGGAGGACGTGAGGATGTTGTTGCCGGTGTCCCGGATGTCCATGATGACAGCATCGCTGATGGACGATGTGCTCGCTCCGCCCACCGTCGCTTTGATGTCGGAGAAGGTGACGGACCCGAAGTTGGCCAGGCCGGTGTTGGAGTCCTGGAACGTCACGTCCTCGAGAATCCACTCGGCAGCGGTGCCGCAGAGCGCATCGGACGAGGTGACGGTCTTGGTGAACTTCTTGCCATTTGTCTTGTTCTCCAGAACCACAGACGCCTCGGTGGTGCTGGCTGCCGTGAGCTCGACGTTGATGACCTACGAGACGAATTATTAGCGCCCGAGGTCTCGAGTGCCGTTCGTGCACAGGCACGTCCTGGAGGACAGGAGGAGGAGGAGCTTACATCGCCAGCAGCAATTTCTCCCAGGTCGACAACCTGCGTGTCGGCGGGATACCTGATTCACGCCGTCAGAACTCAACTTAGTACACCTCCCAGGGTTTTTCCAGACAGTGTCGTTGTTCGTAAGTACTCACCACTCGTACCACGCATAGAACGAGGCCTCGCCCGACGACTCGACAATGGAGTCGACACCAGCTTGCCAGAGCCCGTTGCAGTTGTAGCCGTCGAGGCCCACCCACGCCGAGGCTGTGTACTCCTTCTCGCCGGCCTCCTTCTTGGTGGGCACGGCCGCCTTGAGGACGGGGAAGCTGCCAGACGCCGCCGTGACGCTCTCCCCGGTGAGAACAGCGCCGGCCCAGTTCTTGGTGTACTTGTCCGAGGCAGCGGCGGCGAGAATGCGAGGGGTGCTGTGCTGGGCCCGCCGGGCCCTCGCTGCCTTGCGCCGAGCAAGGGAGCGTGCCACGGCGTCGGGGCTGGGAGCAGCAAGTGCCGCGGCAAAAAGAGCGCTGAGAATGACAACCGGCTTCATGTTGGTGAGACAACGGGCGAGAGAGTATATGACAGGGGGTATAAAAGGGACGGGAGAGGGTCTGCCAGAGACTCCTGGGGGAATCAAAAGAATGACTGTGTGTGTACATGCGTGTGTATAAACGAAGGAATGTCGCTGGCTGCGGAGGATCGCCCGCCGAAACATTGAAACATCGTGGCTGTCTCTCTTGTTATTTTATTTTACATGCACAAAACAGGCAGGACAAGTCGTACAACGACCTGCACCCCCTGGGCCTTGCTTATGCGCCGTGATAGGTGGAAACTAGTTGAAACAAGCCCTGCCCACTCCGATCCGCCCCAGTTCTCCGCAGCCGCCCCTGCAATGACCCCCTGAATGACTCGGTTTTACATCAAGTCCACAGCCTCGCAACGGCCCTGGAAATAAGACGGCATGGACGCACGTATGTGGTGGGCCGGAAGGGCGAACCACCAACCATTGCTGTCAATGCAGTCAGGCACAGCTTCCATGTTGATCGACTCATGGCCTTGGAACGGTGGTGGACAGGTCGCCTACCAGACAGGCGAGAACGGCACGGACGATCGGCAGCGAGGAGCTGTGGCCAGTGTTCGGGAGGACGCCCACGTGTTGCACGACTCTTGATGGTCAAGACGGGGCAAATGAGGTGCAACCCGAGTAATAATGCCCGAAGTGACCGTCATGGCTGAGCCTCTTTTAGGCATGTGTGTGGCTTACCCGTCCAACGTTGCGTGCTCCACGGCCATGGGGTCGGAGGCAGGGAACGGTCCACCGTGACGCAAATAGGCTCTCGGTGCAACCACTGGCCTGCCATTGTGATCCGCTGGACGGAGGAAACACATCTTTATTACTGTAAACTGGGCCACCTCTTACCAAGATCCAGACCCCAAAGTACTGTGCAAGTCATTTGTCAAGAACGTTCCATCTAAGTGTGTCCCCCAGTCAGCCAAGGGGCTTTCAGTACCAAATACTTTAAAAACACTTATCGTTTAGCTTAGAACCGTCGAGGTCAGTTTGAATCCAAACCGACTGCTGTGTTTGAAGAACTTGACGTCTTTCATCTCAACAATCACTGAGCAGGACTGGCTCCATGGGCTGGTTTGGAAGCAGCGCAAAAAAAAAAAAAAAAAAAAAAAAAAAAAAAAAAAAAAAAAAGACGGCCTGACTTCTCGCGTACTGCTGATCTCGTCCAGGTGAATCATGCGGTCAAGATAGCTGCCGCTGCTTCAATGGCTGCGATGGTCCTCTGCAACTCCGATGATGCCAGCGAACCATTTCCGGCGTCAACCGCCTCGGTGATTCCGGGGTAGATCACCGGCGCATACCCTGTGGCATCTGTTAGCAAGAGGTTGGGTTTGATTGGGGACGGCGTGTTGCTTGAGCCGTACCAGTGTCTATGCCTGGGGCAAACACGACGTGCCTAAAAAAGCCACGATCTGGTAGGCCGCCCTGCGAGGTGAAGCCACGTTGGAAGTCACGATACTTTGAGTTCACCTGGTCGACGAGGACCGCGTCCCCCGTGACGGTCGCTTCAGCTGCGAGTGCGGCTATTTTGTCGGCCGAATCTCCGAATGTGTCGATAGCAGCCGCCAGAGGCTCCACGTCGAGTCCTATGCCAGCCTCGGTAATCGTAGCACGCAGCTCTTCAAGATAAGCCCTGAGCTGTGTCGTGTAGTTTGGAACCTCGAGGGGGATGACGGGATCATCCGCGAGGTGATAGGCCAGCAGGGTGAGGAACTGGCCCATGGCCTTGTGGACGACAAATCCTGGGTCACCGTAGGCGGTCATCCAGTGATGACTGTCGTAGTTGGAGCTGCGTCCGTGTCAGCCACGCCGTCTCTTGCAGTTCTAGGCTCTGCGGCCTTCGACCCACTGGTATTGATAGACGGCATCGTTGGGTCCTCCGGACGATCCGACGTCAACCGAGCTGATGCCGTTGTGCACGAATGCAGTGTAGTCCGACCCGCTGCCCAAGACGCCGACGTTGCCTCCAGTCTCGTCGAACCAGGCTTCGTACATGGTCCTATTGAGCTCGCCAACGCCCACGTGTGGCCACAACACCTTCTTCATGACGTCCTGGGTGATGTTGTGCAGCTCTGGCGTGGACGAGAACCTCGGACGGGGTCCCGACACGCCAACGTCGATATTGAGGTAGGCCACGCCGGTCTGCGCAAGCCAGGGAGCATATTCCTCGACCCACTCGGTCGACCCGTACAGCCCATATTCTTCAGCGTCCCAGCTGCAGAGGACAATGTTTCTCCTCGGCCTCCAACCGGTGGACAAGAGCCTCCCGAACGCCTTGGAGAGCTCGACCATGACTGCGGATCCGGAGTTTGGGTCGGCTGCTCCCCCAACAATCCATGCCTGTGGAATTTTATCAGCTGAGTATACTCACTTGACAGGTTCAAGCCGTTTCACCATCGAGGCAGCACACAGGCAGCACAAGGCCCTTTACTTACGTCTCTGTGGTTACCAATGACCAGTGTGTAGTCCGGACCGGTGCCATTGATGATTCCGACAGCATTCCAGATTGGAGTGATGGTGTCCTCCATTTCGTTAGACAGAGAGAGGATTGCACCAGGAGCCGGCCCGGTACTGTACGTGACGTTGAGGCCGCCGACCCAACCCGACCGGTTGACCTGTGCCCCAGGTACCCCAAAGCCGTTCAGCGCAGCGAGAATTGGCACAGCATCTTTCCAAGAGATAGGCACCGACGGGATCCGTGGGGTGACGTCGGATGTGTCGGCCCTGGGCGAGTCCTGCTTGGACGGATACCCGGGCGTGGTTGGATCCCCAGGCCGTTGCGAGAGGAACTGGACCGAGCCGCGCTGTATACTTGTTGGGTTCCGCGCAGGGCCTTCAGGATAGGGCGCGAACCCGTTGGCTTCTGTGACGTTACCATCATCCCCCGGGTCTGTGAAGATGACGACGGCTTTCATCCCGTTGTGCTGCGCGTTTTTCACCTTGAGGCCGCGAAAGGGGCCGCCGTACTTGGCCACGGCAATCTTGCCCTCCAGAGGGACACCAAGAGCCTTCAAGCGTTCGAAGTCCACCTGCTGGCCTCGTCCGACGTAGACGTACTCGGCCGACTCCTGCCCGCTCCAGGAAAGGCCATGGAATGCCGGAACACTGTTGGGATACGACGTCGTCTCGTCCTGGCTCAACGTCTCCTCGATGAGGACGGCCGAGTAGCTGCTGCCGTTGGGGAGTTCCAATGAGACCGACTGGGAGACTGGGTAGTTGAGGAATGCCCAGTACTCGGCCTGGGACGAGGGGACGCCGAACGACGACCACTGGTCCGCCGTCCACTGAGCCATGGTCCTGTTGCTGCCTGCGACGTGGTAGCCGTGCGTGTAGTAGTACGACCAGCTATCAATCGACGTGTTGTCGAACGAGTTTACCAGCAGACTCTCTGCCTCTGACAGGACAGGCAGGGGGCTATCCTGCCGCGCTTTGATGACCGGCTGAGTATGGCGCAGGTGGTTGGCCCCAGAAGGACTGTCGAAGTCTCGCTGGCAGGCGAGAGCACCGGTGACGGCCATGAGGTAGCTGAGGCCAGGCGTTGGCCGATATGTCTTGCTTGGTGCCATTGTCACTGACGTTTGGACGAGCCCTCTCAGCCGGCTGTTGCCGCACTTGTCCAGGAAAATGTTCCGAAGCTGGGGTGACAATCAGTGTGTTGGCCAGGCACTCTGCAGTACGAACAGAGACTTTGCCCGGAAGGTGTCTTCTTTTCCCTCCAGATGAGAATCATGCGGCAGTCGTGCGCAGGTCTACTTAACTTGTAGGTAACTTGCGGGTGCCCCAACTTGCCTACCATATGTGGCCTACTCCTACCTACTATATACGAATGCAGAGGGCCATCCCGAACTCCTCCAGAGTTTTCGGCAACCCACGCGATGCTACACACTGGCAGGGTAATAGTTCACAATGACACCATCGGGCCTCTATCGACATCAGCGATCCCACTCCCCGCACCGTTTTGGACCGGAATGGCAGCCGGCTACTTAGTAGGTATGGCCGATATACTTTGTATGCCAAGCCGGTGGGGTAGATATTTGATGGGGGGGCGGCAGAAATCCAAGGGCAACAGCTGGCAGTTCGTGGGGGTCTCCTGCCGGATCGAGGGGGCACTTGGATTTTGATTTGTCCAAGACGTGCTTTGAACACCGAGGTACGCACGTATACTAGCAGCCTAACAATGAAGTACACGTTCCACGCCGTGTCTTTCCCCCAGGGGACTCACAATTGAGCGTATTACCATCTCTGCTTAACAAGGTTGAATCGAGATGTTGGAGTGAAGAATCAATTGGCGTTTGTATATATATTCATTTTAGTTGCATTTCCCTTATTCACGTCACCAGTCAGGGAGGGAGGCCTAGTCTGTCAGGTTACTCACGAGAATCTAGATGTAGGTAAAGTGCGTGAGTGCATTGAATAGTATCCAGCATCTTGAGTTGTGTCCTGATGTCGTCATCCCCAAGGCCTGTCTGACAAGAGCTGCCCAGATGGGGCCCAGTCGACTCAATTCGACATCCCTTGCCTGGGCGGGAATGCATGCCCACGTGTAAGGCGGCTAGAACCTTGAGGGACGGAAGCTTCGAGGCCAGCAAATACAGGCTTCGAGGCGCATCTGGCCCCCGAGAGGCCCCGTCCACCGATGATGCGGTTGTCTCAGCAAGCGCCGCATGACCCTTGAATCTGCAGTGAAAAGTTTCTCCTCGGGCAGGCGGTTGGTCGTGCAACGCGAGCGGCAGCCTCTGCGCCGCGAGATTGAAATTTGGTCCGCGCACGCCTGTGGGCCCAGACCAGGATGGGCAGGGCCACTTTTGGGACTCTTGACTTGTCGACTTTGCCCGGGGCCGCTGAAGAAAACGGCACTCGATATGCAAGTGCCCAGCCCATGGCCCGAGAGAAGCACGAGTTGCAAGTGCAGAGCCCGGCTCTCCGGGGCCACGGCCACCGTGGCCATGTATTTATTGTTCGAGGTGCCATGACTCCTCGGCGGATCCCACCGTCAAGCCCGGATATTTAAATTGTGATTGAGCGACGAGTTACCGGCTGAGCAGACCAAGTACACGCAGCACGCGCGCCAGTATGTCACCTGCCTGCGCCTCTTGTCTCGGCCGGTGCCCTGCCTGTATGTTCTGACGGAAGCACCAAGAGTGCCTAGGTCCATTCGCTCTATATTCGTTGCGCATACATAGGTCAACACCACCCAGCATCACCATCATGGGCCACCGTCCTTTAACCGCCTAGCGACTGCCCACGACGTTCTTTTTTTTTTTTTTTTTTTTTTTTTTTTTCAAATTCTCTTTCATCATTCCGAGGTTGATTTCCTCCAACTTCACGGCTCCAACGGCAGCCTGTCGAATCCACTCTCCTTGTCGCGCCCGCCCCCAGCCTGCTGGTGCAGACGACCCAGTTCTTTTGGGCTGTCCTTTCCTTTCTTCACACCCACGTTGCCCCCCCCCCTTGGGCTCTCCTTGCCATGAAGTTGTCTCTTTCACTCGCTCTTGTCGCTATGGGGGCGTCGCTCTCGAGTTGCCTGTGCATCCGCGGGACATCCGCCTCTTCAAGGGCCGCGTCGCGGGTTGCCACCTCGTCGAGTGCCGAGTCCACGCAGGCCGACACACAAACAAGGGCGCCTCTCGCAACATGGATCTGGAACACGACCATGATCACAGATGCCTCTCAGACGTCCCAGTTCTTCTCGTTCGCCCAGCAACAGGGCCTGCAGAGGGCGTATCTGCATGTGGACGCCGACATCGACAACTCGTATTTTGGGAACTTCATCCAACAGTGCAGCGCCAGCGGCATCGCGGTGGAAGCACTGATGGGAAATGCCCAGTGGATCCTCGGGGGTGGCACGCCCAGCCTGCAGTCCAACCTGGAGTGGGTCGACCAGTACCAGGGCAACGCCTCCGCCGGCGCCAGATTCTCCGGCATTCACATGGACATCGAGGTGATTTGATTCGAGCCCATCCCCCTACCTTGGCCCGGGCACACGGCGCTGACCGGAATGTGCACAGCTGTGGTCCCTGAGCGACTGGCAGTCGATGCTTGGTACATATATACCCGCGTGGGAGAACATTGTCACCAGCGTGTCCGCCTTCGCGAGGTCACACGGCATCTCCGCCGCAGCTGACCTGCCCTTCTGGGCATATTCCATGTCCGACCCAACCACCGGCCAGGCCATGGACTCGTGGATGCTCAATGCCCTGGACTCCATCACCTTCATGACCTACCGCAACTCGGTCAGCGAGCTGTTTGAAGTGGCCGAGAAGCCACTCGCCGCCGCCGACGCCGCCGGCAAGCAGGTCTACGTGGCGGTCGAGACGGTGGCCAGCACCGAGGCAATGGTCAGCTTCAAGGGCCTGGCGACGGTGACCTCGCTCTCCACCAGCCTGCAGTCCATCAAGATCGAGTGCTCCAACCACACGAGCTTCGCGGGCATTGCCGTCCACGATTACGCAGGGTGGTTGGCTCTGGGCTAGTGACGGCGCATACAATACACACAGCATCAGATATCGATGCCCAGGCATTGCCTCGTGCCTAGAGCATACCGGTATCGGTACCTGCTCAGGCGGGTGCGCATTGCTATTCTGAGGCCTCTTCATTATTTTGCAGCTTGCCTGGAGGGCGCAGGTCCCAGAGCTTTTCATTCTACACGATCCTAGCGGGTGACTTGGGAGAAACATCACTGGCAGAGGTCTTCATTGTGGTCATCAGGGCCACCATCGTACAATACTGTAGGTATTACGTCTTTGGTATTTATCATTTGACAAATATGCAGAATCTTCAGTGCACCCGTCTCCACCTCTCTTCTCCGTGCGAAGTGATGATATTGCATGAGTTATTACGGGACGTTACACGAGAGATAAATTATTCGTAGTCTACGGCCAGTCCCACGCATTCTTGGGTATGTGGTTAATGTTACATATATCAGAATGGCGGTACAGCCCGTGTGTCAGCTGTGTACGTCGTGGACATGTTGGTTTCTGAATCCGTCAAGGCCAAGCGTACAGCTCTCTGCAAGCCGTGGGTTGAGGTCAAAGCTACCGAGGAGTAAAATCTCCATTCCCGCATTGCTAGGGAATAGCTACTCAGGACTCTCGCGCAAATGAAGGAGAAAAAGATGGCAATACAGATCAGGATGCAGATGTGTGCGCCTCCTATGGGATTAGTATTTATGGGACAACCTCTCGAGGGACAACCTTTACGGAACAATCCCCTCCGTCCGGTGATTGCCCTTTCTGACGCCCTATCTAAGCCCAAGCTTATGGCTCCAGGAACATCCCTCAACGCTACCCCTTGCTACCCATAATAGCAAAGGATACATGAAAATAGACATCGTCTCGCCCCCTTGCAAGCGCATTGCCTTAGCCAATCAGCCTGGTAACTATATCAAGAAAAAGAAAAGAGATTCCGAATCATCTCGGACTGCCGTATTCTGCACTGCTTCTCTCTGGTAACTGCCTAACGCTATCATGTTTGTCAATATCGTTGTGGTCGCATACTAAATGACCAAACAGAGACGGCTCCCAGCTAGCTACGCATGCTTGAATGGCGCGGACCAGGGAAGCACGGAGGTGTGTCATAGCGGCTGAAGTATGATTCCAAGGCCCTGTTCGGGCATGTGTGAGGATTCTTGTCAACTACAAACCAGAGACCTGGAAATGTGAAAACTACTACGGACCAGCCGATGCTAGAAATATCAAATCTGGCACAACAGACAAGCCAGCGTGAATGAACTTCACCCAACGTGCCCAGGATTCCGTATCGGAAACAAACGAACGAATCAGGCCACAAGCGGCGCCATCTCGTAAGTGCAACCTTTTTCTACGTATAACCTGGATGGTCAAATACATGCCGTATGAGTGTGTCCCTTGTAGGAAGTGGTTGCGCCATTGGCCATGGCCAGTCAACCCGAGTGGTTCAGGCCACCGTAATAATCCTCGGCTGCGAGGCAATCTGACCAGCCCTGTTCATGAGAAAGTTTCTCTCAGTGCCTGGACTATGCCACACACGCATTGCGATGTATCCACCATCGCATCCCAAGCATGTGTCCACCCGCGAACGGACACGTCGCAAAATTCTGGTCCATCTAACTGTCAAGGATACTTGAAGATCTATCTACATTACAGTCGCCACCATGTGGTGGATCGTGTCGAGCTGTTGCACTCGGCACGATGTACCTCGATCTGTGCAAAGCGACGAGCAGTCATCGCCTCGTCCTTTCAAGGGCATCATTGGATATCATTGGGTACAGGGTAAATTGGCCCATGTGACATGAGAATCAAGTCCAAGCTTGGTCACGATCGGTTCAAGGAGTTTGACCTGGTTGGGATTTGGTGTTGGGACTTGATGAAACCAGTCAATATTTGTACCAGCTTACCTTGTCGGTAATAAAAGCCACCTCATTCGGGGCGGCGGAGGAGGGACCGGCGGGGCGGAAACAATACCTAGAAGCCTTCGCAACGGATAACAGCATTTGAGAAGTACGAGAAACATGTCCAGCGGCTGACCCTTGATCCTATCCTGCGTACTGACTGAAGCACTGAGCTGGGAGGCCGGGATGGTACTGTTTATTCCGCCATGGCCGGCCTGGCCCATTGCAGTCTGCCTGGACAACATTTCAGCACACGAATGGCCGAAGAATGAAATGCCTCCGACATGCCTTTACTGCTCATCTATGTAGAAGCCGAGCCATCGAGCAGCGAGTGACTGGCCTGGCCCATCCTTTGAAGCGACCCCCCAAGGTCTTATGGTCCACCTGGGCAGCTCTGAGGGCCGCACGCATGGTTTTGATCTACGACTCCTTGGCTGGCTGTGAAGCAAGACATGCTTCTCTTTTACCTTGTGCCCACCATGGAGTAAATGTAGGCATGTTAGTAACCCAACGCAAGGGATCACGGTGACCCAGGTTCAGGACACGACCTGGGAAAGCGACGAGATCAGGCATGACGGCAATGGAAGACAGACCCCATCCAGCTCCCGTGCCGGCCAAGTCCAGCCGCGAATTGGACCCCTCTGGGAGACTTGTGCTAGGTTTACGGCTGGGTTTGCAGAGACCAGAGACCACATAATGAATGCCTGGGGGAAAAATGCCGTGACCGAGACTAGTATTCAAGTCAAAGCCGCTCATTGACAAGGGTCTTGAAACCTTCTCGACGTGCTCCTCCTCTCTATGTACAGCACGGCCCTCGGAGGGGCTCCCTCTACTTGTGCATAGTCTGCTCCATTCCCTTGATCTCGTTCAAAAGGAGCGGTCGGCCAATCGTGGGCCATTACTCCCGCGTTTTCTGTCTCCTGGGTGCCTCCTGTTCCCAGACGTGTAGCAGCATTAAATCGAAATGCTCTCTTCCATTACTGCTGGCAGATGCCATGCCCCTAGCCCCCACTTCGCCCTATTGGTCTTTTGAGAAGTGAATGCGCCCTGGAGGAGAGGTATCCGGGCCGCAATGCTGGTAGACTAAAAACCGATATATCGAAGAAAGCGGAAACTCCGGTACACGAAAAGGTATTATAAAAGAGAAGAAGAAAAAAAGGCTGGGAAGGGGCTGCGTTGCGTCATGGTCGGGAATGATGGGCGTGAGAAAAAAGAATTAATTGGCAGTCGTGAGCGTCGTGTCGTGCCCCGCCGCACGGAGACGCGCACGTCTACAGCCAGGCCAGGAAGACAAAGGCGACAATGGCCGCAAAGGCGCTGGCCCCAAACACCTTGTCGTTGCCGCCCACGGCTCCGCTGCTGCTGCTGCCGCTGCCAGAGTCGTTATTGCAGTCGACGGTGAAGCCGGTGGCGGCGCAGTCGGCACTGCTGGAGGTGGAGCTCCCGCCCGAGCTCGAGTCACCGGACCCGCTCCCGTCGCCGCCGACGACGTTTCCGACGCCGCTGCCGCTGGTGCCGCCGGGCACCGAGTTGGCGGAGGCGGCGGAGCTGCTGGCCGAGGCGGAGCTAGCGCCGGCCTCCATGTCGGTGCCGGTGCCCATCAGGCTTGCCAGGACGGTGGGCTTGTCGCCGTCGACGACGGTGTTGTTTGTGCCGGCGGCGTCGGAGTAGTAGTATCCCTTGCCCTTGTTGGTGCCTGGGGCGGAGGTGGCGTTGAAGCACTCGATGGAGACCTCGCTGAAGGTGGCAAAGTCGTAGCCGTAGTTGCGGATGTCCTCGGAGTTCCAGTCGATCTCGCCGCCGGCCCACTCGATGGTGTACTCGGAGTTGGTGGAGTTACCACCGGGCCAGATGGAGAGCTGGACACGGGCGGGCGTCTGGGGGAAGTCCCACTGGTTGGTGGTGGCGTTCCAGGTGTCGGACTTCTTGAGGGTGCGGCCGACCTTGCCGTCGACGAGCCAGACGACCTGGTCCGGGGTCCACTGGATCTCGTAGTCGTGGAAGTTCTGGTACGTGTCGGAGAGGTCTGTGATGTTCTTTGAGTTTGTCCCTGCAAGGAGTTGTCAGCATTGTTATTGGCGGCTTGCAGGCTGCTTCTGCTGCTGGCACTGCAACGGCCACTTACAGACGGGGTTGGCCTGGTAGTAGTAGTTTGTCTGGACCGTCTCGAGGTCGGCGCCGATGAACTCGAAGTCGATCTCGTCCTTGACGTCGGACAGCAGGATGAAGGCGGAGACGACGCCGTTGCCGCGCGACGACTTCATGCGGGCCTTGACGTTGCCGTACCACATGTAGACGGTGGAGGCCAGGACGGTGCCGGCCTTGTAGGCGGGCATCGTCAGCAGGACGTTGTCCTTGTAGACGAGGGGGTCGCCGGACGAGACCCAGTCGGCCTCGGAGGGGTCGCCGAGGTACTTCTCGATGGACTGGACGCGGTCGAGCGAGTCCATGGACAGGCTGCGGGACTCGCAGACGGGCTCGGGCACGCAGCTGTCGAGGCTGAAGGAGAAGCGAGGGTCGCAGCCGCCGAGGCAGTATGCGCCCACACCACACTCTCGCCATACTCTGCACGCCACCGGGCTTGTGTCAGCGCGTGCATCCATGGGTACACAAAGAGACAGACGTTGGTGTCACTCACGCGAGCAGCAGGGCTCATCCTCGGAGCAGGAACTGCCCCTGCCACACTTGGCGGCGAGGACGGAGGAGGCAGCGAGGACTGCGGATCCTACAGGGAGAAGAAGTGACGGCAGCATGGTTGGAATATGTCTGCAGCGGGCGGGGTGATTGGCGAGAGAGACAGAGAGTGCGTGTGGAAAGTCGCGTCGAGTCTTAGGCGTGATGTGGCGTGGTGCAGGAGCAGCAGCAGTAGTAGTAGGTCTGCAGTTGCAGGTGCAGGTGCAGGTGCAGGGTCAAGGTGCGACTGCCTGTTGGTGTCGCCGGTGTGGAAAGGCACACTCTGCTCCCAGCTTAAGCTACAGCTACAGGCTAGAATCCAGACGCAGAGTCAGAGGAGCGAGTGATGGGGGCCGCCGCGATTAAAACGAGTTGCGAGGAACGAAAGACGAGCGAGACGACTCGGGCGGGTGACGATGCCGGAGGCTTTGGGTCAGTGGGCGGGTCGAGGTTGAGAACGGTCTGGTCCACTACTGTAGATAGATGACTGGCCGACTGCTCCGGGGAAAAATCACCAACAAAGCCAATTAACACACTCCGTGCAACGAGCCGTAATAACGAGAGTGAGGGAGAGGGAGAGGGCAAGGGCAAGTTATGGGGATGAGGGCGAGATGGCACGAGTGTCAACGAAGGGAGACGGCAAACCTGTACGCGGAGGGACGAGGAATGGAAAAACAGAAGAGCATTTCTCTCTCTCTCTCTCTCTCTCAGTCAGTCAGTCAGTCAGCAAGGCAAGCAGGCAAGCCATCCACCCATCTGCCCATCCATGCGCGCCCATTTCTTGATCCACAAAGGGGTGTCCCCCTGGGCCGAACAGCCAGTCCTGTCAAATCACAGGCAGCCTCCCCCAGAAAAGGAGTGGAGCGCGACGGACGGTGGAGGGTGGAGGGTGGAGAATCGAGGATCGGGGATCGACGAGCCAACTCCACCTGGAGCTCGATACGAAAGGGAGCTTAACTCGATCGAGCAAAAGCACACCGAGGCCATGCCATGTAGGGATACGGAGAAGGGGGGTGGGAAGGGAGGAAGGAGGGTGTGGTGTGGGCCACTGACCGATCGACTGGCTGACGACTGTACGTACATGTTGTTAAAGAAACGAAGCAAGGAAAAAAAGTTGCATGCATCTGTGCGTTCAGAGAGCATATCTGACACCAGATGGTTTACCTTCGGAATCGGAATCCATCGTTTCAACCGCACGCCTGCAGGTGTTCTCTCGAGAAAGTCAACTGTCGTGTCGGGAAACTCAATTGCCTTCTTTCCCCGCCTCAATGATCACCCACAGCCGAAACCTTGCTGAGCTTGTTTTGCCAGCACCTGAAGCTTTGACGACACGACACGACACGGCACGCCACGGCCCAAGACACATGACACACGAGAGGCTGTCTGCCCACAAACAATCGACCAATCAGTGTCACATTGGCCGTTCGAATGCTTTCGTCTGCTGGCTTGCCCGTCTCCTGGGGTCTACCCATCATCACTCTCATTTCCGTCTCAATCTCTGCCATCCATGTCCATGTCAGCATCCTGGCCCGACGCCGTACCACAATATACACGCGGCACCTATATCTTATCATCTTCTCCACAGTGACCGACCCTCGCAACCTGAACCGTACCGCACAAGTACAATCGGGCGTACCGCAGCGTATTTCTTCTACTGCAGTGTGAAATGCATACACGCGACGGTACACTCGTCACTTGAAAGTACACAACATGGCTGCACACAGCGATATACCAGGTAGACAATAAATAAACGCTTGCATGCGGAGAAACAGGGTCCGCATGCAAGCAGGCAACGCGTGCTTTGCCCGGGTCTGAACTATGGACCTCACTCGACAGGCCGACAGGCCGGTTCCGTCAGTGTCGAGACGTGCATCGGAACAAAAATATCAAACTGCCTCACCCTGCTTGTCCATGGCATCTCGGCCATCCACCCGGCTTGGCCTGCCCTGGCCTGCCCTGGCCATAGCTCCCCCATCCCCGGCCAAGCTTGTCCCGTCCCACACAACCGGGCCGTGGGCACCAACCAGGTCCGAGCCAGTCGACTGTGCTGTGCTGTGCTGTGCTGTGCTGTGCTGTGCTGTGCTGTAGACTGACTGGCTACTTGCTGTACTTGCCTACGACATGTAGGTACCAAGCCATACATCATCGTGGTCAACAAGGACAAGGCATGCACCGTGTTGGCCAAGAAGAAGGAAGTGTGTAAAGATACCGCTTATCGTCAACGCTTAGTTTACAGTATATACCAGTACATGTGCGTGTACGTAGACTGAATGGAATACTCAAAATATAGTCATGTACCTCCTCCCATCCCAATACCCAAAGCTTGGGAGGCAACCCCGGCCGTCTCCGGCAGTTCACCAGCCCACACACCTGCCTACCTGTACCTAGTACCCCGGTGGAGCCTGTACCAAGTGCACTCTGGTACAAAGACGGTCCACGCGCAATGTATCCGCCTGTCTATGCCACGGGTCTTGGATAGTACACATGTACCTACGATTTCCGTACTTCAGAGTATCTATCCACTGGCCTGCTGCATCCGGGTGACCGGACTCACCTCCAGGATGGCTGCATCTCCCGTCACGTGCGACCCACGTCGGATCACCAAACACTTACTGACAACCATGCCCAACACAAGACATTGCCAGAGGAATTTAAAGCAGTATATTGGTGGGGGGTATAACGATTCCCTTCATCAAAATGGCCACCACCTCGTCCTCCCTCGGAAGAATAAGCCAGTCATCACAATCTCCCCGCAGCCAGGTCCCCTACTCGACATCAATAAAAATTCAGTCCTTGTCACCCTCCCTCGTCGCCGCCCAGCAAACAGGAGCCATCCATCTGTCGCCGGGTAAGAATTACCACTTCCCTTGAGATCATCTGCCTTGGGACCAACAAATCGCACCAAGTCATCCGTCCGTCATCATTCCCCCTGCCTCCTCCCTCCTGCTCCTTGAGACCTACGACGCCACGGGCCATCTTATTCCTGTGACCGCGCGCACCGCAGGATGAAAAAAGTCGTCCGTGAATAGGTCGTGTGCGGAAATGATGAGTGTCAGTGGGTTGAGTGTGCGGGTGTGTAAGTCTGTAGCATCCACGCGCCTTGCCGTGCCGACCACGAATTGCTTCAAATATGTCCGAGAATAGCTGCATATAGATTCTGTTCCCAAAAAAAGATGGGCTATGATGTTGACCAAAGACCAAGGACCAGTCGTAACAAGGAAACCTCGCCCGTGGAGCCGACGCCGAGAAAAGAAGAAGAAAGAAAAAGAAGAAAGAGCCCAGCCTGCACACACAACAAACACACACACAAGTCGTCGAGGCATTAGAGGAGCATAGCGTCACGTGTTTTGCGTCGACGTTTCCCGAGCGCCCACCAGTCAGCTCATGGTCCCAGGAAGGCACGTGCCATGGTTTAGTGTCTAGAACGGTCAGAAGGCCCAGAGCCCGTTGATGCACAGCGCGCCTGGCCGGCCGGCCGGGTTTCTGGGGCCTGGTGAAACAACGCCCTCACCATCAGAGTGGCTATATGCCCCGGTCCGGGTCCCTCGTCGAAGGGGTTTGATGTTGACTGGCCGACTCCGAGCGTCAAGGCTTGGGACCCTAGCCCGGAGGCACGCTGCTGGGTGGGCCCTGGCTGTACGGACTTGAAAAGACAGGTAGAGGGGGTGGAGGAGGAGGTTGTGCATTCGGGTCCGGCTGCGGGTCCGCGTTGATGGGTGTAGATCTCTTTTCAGCCTTCTTGCGATTCTTCGCCACTGTTGGTGATGATGACGACGGCTCCTAGCCACGCTTCGCAGGGTTGAAGAGATCTGCGAGCAGGTCGTGTCAATCTCGTGCCACTGCCCAGAACGGGGTCGCAGGTTGGGAAAATTGAGCTGCGTGGGGCTCTGCCCGGCGGGTGCTTGCTTACCTGGAAAATGTTCCTTGGCATACTGCTCGCATGCCTTTGCGGGCTTGCCAACCTTCTGTCCGATTACCTTCCACTTGTTGTTCTCATACTCCTTGATCGCACTCATCAACGCCGCGCTCTGCAAGGTTCAAAGTCAGTATGCTGAGAAGGCTGTCACCGGAGCGCCCGCGCCGCGTACCTCGTCCTCGGCAAACTCTGCGTAATGCATATCCTTGTACCAGTGTTTCTTGACACTACCCTCGGTTCTTGCTGGGAATGTCTGCGGGGGGGGGGGGGAACAGTCAGCTTTGGCTCCCACGGCTAACGCGTTTCCAGCCCGGTCTTCAAGGGCATACCTTGGCAATCTCGGCCCAGCTAGAACCGGAATCCCTCATCTGTTTCAGGCGCAGCTCCTCCGCCGGCGTCCACGGTGTATTCGTCCGGCTCTTTTTGGCCGGAGGGGCCTGCGCGGCGGGCTGGGCGTTGTCGACAGGGGTGGCAGGCTGGGTTGGAGCAGCTATCGGGGCCGGAGGCGTGGGCACGGGGACGGGCGTCGCGATCTGGGGGGCCTGCTGAACGGGGGTCTGGACAGGCTGTGGAGGGGCCGTCACCGGGGCAGTCGGGGTGGGCGCAGCGGCCGATGGTGCGGCGCGCTTGCGACCTCTGGAGGCCGGGGCCGGGGCCGGGGCCGGCTGGGGGGTCGGCTGCTGCGGGGGCTGCTGGTGGACCTGCTGGGGTTGGACAGAAGTCGACTGCGGCGCGTGCTGGACATGTTGCGGCTGGACGTGCTGTGGCTGGACATGTTGTTGCTGGACGTGCTGTTGGGCCGGCGACCCCTGCTGGGACTGCTGCGCGAGATGCTGCGCGTGCTGCTGCTGTTGCTGCTGCTGAGGGTGTTGCTGGACGTGTTGAGGATGCTGGACGTGCTGTGGCACGTGTTGTTGCTGAGCAGTGTGCTGCGACACGGGAATCGGCGGCTGGATCGCGCTCGGGTGATGCTGTTGCTGGTGGTGTTGGGCCTGAGCTTGGGCCTGGGCCTGGGCCTGGGCGTGTTGGGCCTGAGCGTGTGGTTGGGTCTGATATGTCCTGTAGTCCATGGAATCGTTGCGACGGTTCATGTCGGGCTGGGCATACTGATGTTGGGCGCTATATCCCCAAGCAGGCGTGTTAGCAAAAGGCGACTGTTGCTGCGTCTGCATCGGCATCGCTTGTTGGGGTTGGGGAGGCCATGACGGCTGGAGGTCGCCTCGCTGCTTCTTCATTGAGGAGGCTTGACGAGACGAGGATGGGTAGTCGCAGTCAGGGAGGTCGAGACGAGGAAGGGCCCCGAGGGTGGGGACGTCGCGTCGAGCGCACGAAACAAAGCAGGCAAACGCAAGGCGCGGAAGATGGCAAACAGATTAGGTGAGTTGTATGGGCCTGCGTGCCTGCGTGCGTGGTGCGTGTAGGGCAAGAGACAGACAGACGCGAGGACGCGGAGGATGACGTGAACAATAGACCGACAGCAATTGCTAGTCGAGGTGAGGTATCAAGAAGGGGGTTCCAGGGGGCCAGAGCAGTATGTATTTGGCAGAAAGTAGCGAGACAAGATGTGGAGGTAGAGGCAGAGTAGTGGAAGTAGATGTGGATGTAGATGTAGATGCAGAGTCAAGAATCGGAGAGTCCTGGTCGGATCGGTACACAGGGTTGTTGCGTGGAAGGGGGGGGGGCCTCAGCAGCAAGCAAGCAGCACGCAGGGCAACCGCCGCCTCAGCTTCGACCTTGGAGCTTGGGAACCCGTGGGTCGGCCGGGACCGTGTGTGTGTGTGTGGAATGGTGGAGCAGGCGCGAACGCGGGAACAAACAGCTCTAGGCTGGTTATTTTTTGGGGGGGGGGGTGGTGGTGGAAGGGGGGAGGCTGGGAGCAGGGAGCAGGGAGCTTGGGCGCGAGCTGGGCTCGTTCACCGGCGGGGGGAGCTGGGCCTGGGCTGGAGCTGGAGCTGGAACTGGAACTGGATTTTGGACCTGTGGGGACTATCCCGACAATGGGAAGGTTCCGGTGGTCCCAACGCCTCCAGCACTGTATGTGTGTATGTAACTGGAGCCAGTCCCGGTACCGACAGACTCCCAATACTGATCGATACCTGACAGCTCGTGGCGCCTGGTGACCCTGACTATGTCCCGTCTGCGGCAACAGCAACAGCAGCGGGGCGACGGGGAAGGAGCAGCTTCTTCTTCCTTGGTCGAGGCTTTATACGGTGATGAGTGCTTTCCAACGTCGCCCAGGGTCTGATGTGATGCCCATGCTTGTTTGGTGACGGCGTCTGGGAGGGGCGAGGGGGGGGAGGGAGAGGAGTAAGGCAGGCGTCGAGGTTGATGACGGCAACGAGGGAGGGAGGAAGGGAAGTGAGAGGAAGGAGAGGAGGGATCGGGACCGGGACAAACAAGATATGTGACGGGGTACATGGGGTACATATCTCAGATCAGACGGGACGCGGGCAGGACACAGCGACAGGACAGGGCAGGAGCATGGGGCAGGGCAGCCCACTAGGGCAGACACGGCAGGCGGTCAGCCTGAGAGACCCTCCCGAAGTACCCGGGACCTGTGGGCAAGCCACTGAGCAGGTTCCCTCTCCAGGTTCCCCCTCGGGGTTCCATTGCGCAAGCCTCAGTCCCAACTGGCAGGGGGGACGGCCGTTGTGGACTCGACAGGACCAAATTCAGCCGGCAAGCGGGCAAGCAAACTTTTGAGCTGAGCCCGTCAGACGCCCAAACTGTGATTGCTCCTTGTTCGGACTTGATAGGGTCCTCGAGCCATTGACAGGTCCTGGTCTGACCCTGGTCTGACCTGGTCGACGCCGGTAGCCCAACTGAGAAACGAGAAGAGAAACTCGACCGTGCCCGGAACTGCATGGCGGACTGCCAGCCAGCCTTGGGCGAAGAAGCAGGCGCATGGCGCGACGAATGAGAAGGAAAAGAAAAAAAAGAAGTAACATGTGGAATACGAGCCGGCGCGGTAGGGGGCACAAGCACAGGCACATGCAATGGAGCTGGAGAGAGCTGGAGCTGGAGCTTGGCTTTCCCTCGCGAATCGAGCTCTGAAGGCGACTGGGGACCGGGGGGGAAGGGGAGGAGAGGAGGGGTGGTTGGGACCTTGGGGAATGAATGACATTCTGGGCGGTGCTCTGCTGGAGGGGGTGCGCTCGATACGAGCGAGGTACAAGAGAGGCGGGTAGTCACTCACTTGAAACCATCTGGGTGGTTGGTGGAGTTGCCCGGTTGGTACGCCTGGGCGTAGTTACCCGGCACGGGGCCAATGTGCCACTGCTGCATCTTCTAAATTTGTCGATGCGCGTCGCGCAAACTGTCAGCAAAGTGTACGCACGCGGTGCCGCCAATTGCCAGATGCGCGCACAGCGAGAGCGCAGGTGTGAGCGAGTGAGAGAACAGGAGAGAAGAGAGGATTCGGGGGATAAGAGAAGAGAATGGGCAATCGAGCGCAGAGGGAGTGAGGCAGTGTGCAAATTGGGGTGATGAGAGGGCGAAGTACTTGTTGCGACCCTGAGGACGGAAGAAAGGACGGGTTAGCCATGTATTCAACCAGCACTCCCAGATCGGCGGCATCGGGGTCGTGATTGAGATTGAAATGGCCGCCAGGCCCAGGGAATCCGACGGCCTGCGCGACGTGGTCCGCGCCCAGCTGGGCCCCGGTTTGGTGGTGCTGATGATGCTGCTGCTGCTGCTGCTGCTGCTGCTGCTGCTGGCCCCCCTGTGCTGCAGCCTGTGCTGCTGCCGCTGGCTGCTGGGGGTTCTGCGGCATGCGCGCAGGTGGGAAGCTAGCATACGACGCCATGGGTATTGGTGGCACCTGCGTCTGCATGAGGCGCAGACGAGGACGATCCAATTTGCAGGTGTAATGTAGTATCTGGCAATACTGGCCGGGGTACAGTACGGTACGGTACGGTACGGTACGGTATGGTCGGTTGTATCCGATTCACCCAGTCCTCCTCAGGTCGGTATGTCTGTGTCCTGTCTGTTGTTTTCTTTCGTTTCCTTTTCTCTTCTCTCACCCAACCGCTTCAGAGTCTCAACCACGTCCTCTCCGTCTCACCGCAAACACCACCCCCAACTCACAGGAACAGGGCGCCCTGCTCGGTTGCATAGCCCTGTTCCAGACACGGGTTGGGATTGAGCGCAGCTGCAGGTCAGGCGGCAGGACTCGGTTCAGTGGGCGGGCAGAACGGAAATAGAAGACAGAATTTCCTCGAGAGAAAAGAAAAAAGTGGCGACGGCAGACTTTTTTGTGGGGAATAACCGGTGATGGTTGGCTCCGGCTGACTCTGGCAAGGCCGGGGGGTGGGGAGGCGGCGGCGGCGGCGGAAAAGGCAGACGGCAGAAAAAAAGCGAGAGACAGGCCGATCGGCAAGATGATAGGGAGAAAAGGTCTGCGTTGAGTCGTGTTGTGACGTGACGTGCCGAGCCGTGCCGTGTAGAAGAGTTATTTGTAGTTTGAGTACTCTTGAAGCAGGACCCGGTGCCGTGAAGACGCATGTGTGGTGATTTTTCCCGCCTTATTTTGGTCTTGTTGACAGGGAGGAACAAAACAGGTGCGGGCCGGGCAGGGCAGGGCACAGCCATAGATCAGTGTGGTGTTGGTGGTGTCACAAGAGCTTAGCTCGGGTGCGTTTCTGCGCGGCGTTGGCCCCCAAAGTTTTCGGCGTCGAATCAAATGAGGGCGATGACGACCGGTGCTGGAGCTCAAATGCCGCCGTTTGCACTGGTCTGTCTTGAAGGCACTGGTGACCTGATACGGGGCGTGCAGCGGCTGTTGGCGGCTGTTGGCTGCTGCCGGGCTGCTGCCGGGCTGTTGCGGCATGTTGGTGTTGGCCCCGAGGCGCAACGAGACGAGGGTTTGCTATGTGTCCGCCCATTGAGGCGAGCAGCAAAGGCTCTCTTCTCTCCCGATGGAGGGAAGGGGGGCAGGCTCAGACCATCTTAAGAGGTTTCTGAGGAGTAGGTGCATGTGTTGTTGTTTGATGGTGGGCGGCTGTCAACGGGGAGGGCCACACAAAGGCTGAAGCAGGCACAGCATGACCATGGTCGTGGTCATTGTCGTGGTCCAAGTCCAAGTCCAGGGAGCATCGTGTTCCATGGTTATGTCGGGTGGCCATATCAATCCCGATGCTGGCTGTCGTTGCTGGGCCTTGTAGAGATGTACTCGGTACATGGCAGATGCGGCTCTGCAGATGCCAGGAGCCAGGAGCCAGGAGCCAGGAGCCAGGAGCCAGGAGCCAGGCAAGACGCAGTAGGCAGCGAAAGGGAGAGAATGGGAGGCGGTTGACGCGCCGGACGATGGCACAGACGCCAGGCGCCAGACACGACCACGACGTCGGAGGCAAGGGTGAACGTGGACGGGTGAAATGGTGGTGAATGGTGAATGGGTTAAATGACCAAGTGGATGGTTGTTGGACTTACGTGCATGTATCCTTTCTTGTCTAGGTACTGAATCCTGGCACTTGACGGCCGCGATGCAGCTGTGTAGGGGGTGGTCGACTGTAGTGTGTAGTTTGTAGTGTGTAGTGTGTAGTCCGGTGGACAGGATATGGTCGAGTTTGTCGCAGGTACTTTGTGGGCAATCCGCAGCGTGTACCCAAGTAGACAGTCTATCGGCCGAGACGTTTTAGATCGGCTGACTAATCGACCAAACTGGACGGAAGGGCTAATGATGACGGAGGTGGGAAAGAGAGGCTGGGCTCCGTAGGTTACGGCAAGGCCCACGACAGGGACAGGAACAAGCAGGGTAGCTTCCTTTCCTTTCTGCAGGAGGCGGGGAGGGATGGTTTTTTCCCTCGTCCTCCTTCCTCGCTCTCTCTAGGCTATCTCAATCTCCAAATCTCTCGTACAGGTAAGCCTGACAGGACAAGGAGCACATAGTGGCTCGAGCGTTGCGTTGTAGCTATGTACTGACTAAGGGTCAGGGTCAGGGTCAGGGTCAGGGCCAGGGTCAGGATTGCATTGTGAGGTCACCAGGCTGCCAGGTCGCAAATCATCTAAATCGCACAGCTCCTTCATCCTGTCGTGGAGGTAGCCAAGTAGTGCAAATGTACAGCAACGGCAGTCCCGCATGTACCGGGTTTCTGAACCGTGGGATAAATTCTTCAATTGAACTGTACCGTATCTTGACCAGACGCCTGTACCATTCGTTCTAGGTACCCAGGTGGCTTGATGATACAGCCTTCACCATGTTACCATGTGTCTACTGGATGCGGAAGCACCTTCCTTCCACACATGGGCTTTGCAGCTGAAGTGCTGGTCAATTCAGCAGCTCCAGCTGACCTGCCCCAGCTGGGTACGGGCATCATGGCAGGTACGTATGCAGCATCTTCCCCACCATGTCTACCAGGTACGTACCCGGTACCACCTGGGCAGCTAGTCAATACTGCCACACTGCCTCCAGCAGCCCTGTGCCCCCGTTTTGACATTCCAGTGTTTTGATGTTTCTTACTGCTTGGTGCGAATACGTTCGTCCGTTTGCTTTCGTCGGGTCTGGATCTAGTACCTACCAGTAGTCTGGGACTGCTGGTTGTACAATTAGAAAGGAAAGCATACCTCAGTCCCCGCTAGCCCCGGATGTGGAAATCCAACGGGCAGGATGCCAGGCGTTGTGCCGTACCATACCATGTCGAAACCTACCTAGATAAGTACCTAGATACCATGTGTAAGTGCTGTTGCCGTTCGCCCCTACATCTACATTTTTAGGCAGGCGCCGTCTTGGAGAGCTTCCTCGTCACGAAATACGCAAGACAGGTACAGTACTGATATTCTCTTGTCTACTTCTCTCCTGATCCATAACAGGTCATGAACCTTGGGGACCGGTCGCTCATATCCAACGACTCGATTTTTCAGACCGAGTTCCTCGTCAGGCTGCCAACCACCCAACCAACCAATCGACCACCCAGTGAACCAGTTGATTCCAATCTGTTCTCTTCCGCGCCAGCCTCCGGGGAGCAGACATCAGTCGGGTGGCGGTGGTCATGATGTGGTGGCTGGGTCACATACAGAATTCCTTGTCTGGACGGTGTCCATCCACCGCCCGTGGCCCACCATGGAGTGGACGGTTCGCAAATGGTTGAATCAAGGTCGACCATCCGGCCCAGCCGCCCTCTTCCCGACAACAAGGCAGGGCAGGGCAATTACGGCATCCATGGTCTTCACGCCGTCCTTGTCTGCACAATCCGCGGAGACGTTCTCGGATCGGGAGACTAGAAACTTTACTCTGGGAGAGCTGGGATTGGACACGGGCTTCTTCTGCTGTGGGGGCCAAACAGTCTGCTAGCTCCCTCTCTCCCCATCGAGCACGGCTCACGGCACGCACTGGGGTCGGTACATCCGCTTGAGGTCACCGTCAGGTTGCCCGAGGCTCACCAGGGTCCCACGTCCAGCACGCAGAGCGCCGTCAGGCCCTAACCCGTCCCGCTGCACCGTGTGGAGCTCGACGCCACAGCCGACAACGTGCTGGTCGCAGCCGTCGTCAGTTGATGTTGGCGAGGCATCCTGGCAAGCACTTTCGTAAGCCCCGACCACAAGTACTGTCTACTGTACTTGTATGTGTACAGGCCGTCTGCCTGCCTGTTCCTACCAGAAACTCATCCACATCAAAAACCGTTGTTCAGTCTGACCTAGGAAGACTACTAATCCAACCTGAGCGCTCACTCGCTCGTTGGCTCGAGCCGGCTACAGACGAGCTACTCACTATCTATAGGGATCTGTAGGGGTCCTCGTTCGACCAGTAGCTTCACAGCTAGGTGTCAATTCGGTTGCTTGCTATGCAAGACAGCTGTTGCTGAGCAGGACCCCCTGCCAACATGGGCCACCGAGCAATTGCAGCACCGGGATCGCAGCACGCTCATGTCGACTGCCGACCTAGGCTCTACGAAATGGCACTATTGTTCAGTCTAGGCGAACCTTCAGGGTCGGATTGACTGGCCTCATCCTTTGCCTGAATGCCGCCACGGGAGAGTGCCGCCTCGCAATCTTGCGCATCTACGCACACCGACGAACAGGATTCGGACCACCAGTTTAGCACGGATTGTCGTCTCACAATCCAATACCCTCGCATCTGTTTCGTTTCAGTCAGGCTCCGATATCACCACCAGATCCTGATATTCCACTTTGGTCTAACAGTCAATCACGACACTCAAGACTTACGGCGCATGGCCGTCCCACGAATCGTGCTTGCGCGTATAACGGCGGTTATGCCACCCGCCGCATCCTGCAAATTGTCTGCCATAAGGAGCGGACGGGAGGGCCCTGCAGAGGAGAGGTGAAATTGACTTTTATCAGCGAAACCCAAAAGTCTGAGGACAGAGCAACACCCGGTGAATTGCATCTTGCCTGCAGGGCCTAATTTCGAAACCCGCCCTGGCGGACGAGCCAATAAATGAACAATCTCGTTGGATCAAAAACCGAGGCCAGTGCGGCGGCGGCTGTCATAGATGTCCGAGGGCGAAGTTCGGGCCTCATGTCGCGCCTCGAGCCACGCCGCCACACAACAGACTCAACTGGTGGACTAACCGACGAGCCAGGCTGGAGATCTGTTACCATATGTGCTTGCGAACCAAGACTGGTCCACATTGCAGTCGATCTTGATCCGCTACAGGAGCCTGATCGATTCTTTGAGCTTCACACCGACATGCTTCAATACATCGAAGTCTCTCTCCGTCGAAGTCTCTAGACCGGGGACATGTAGAGACAATGCATCGAGACAATGCAACCATGTTTTGTGCAGAAGTATCTCAGACCACCCGTGAAGGCGAGCCCGACTTGAACCGCAACAAGAAGCAGTGCCGAGAGCACCGGCCGGTCCCAACTTCGCCAGAGCCCCGGTCTCCCGGTCCGTGTGGAGCTCCTTGGTCCGGAGATTGGAACGGAGGAGGCCGTCATCTGCGAGTTGAGGACCGACAGCACTTCATTCGTGCCGGCAGACCTCGAAAGCAGCTTGTATTCAATCCCCGATTCTCCCTGGCAGCTTGAAGTTCAAACACCCACTGGGCAGCTCAGTGGTGGCCCAGACCAGCCAGCCGTGCCGTCTGGCTGACCCCCATACAGGTTCCGCCACTCCCCAGGGAGCTGGGGCCTGAACAGTACCTTGTGTGAACCGTCGGCGCCTCCCCTGTCGTGAGGTTCCAGATGTTTGGATGGTAAAGGCAATGGTTACGGCAGCGTAGTAGACTTGCATCGTTTAAAGTGCAATCCCGGCCTGCCATGTACAATGGAATCAGTGTAGGCACAACTATCCTTCGCAGCTAGCTGGATCTGTCGAGTGGACACAGCCTCGCGAGATATCGACCGCCCGCGAAATGCTTTCCTCCACGACCCAAGGCAGATGGGTAAAAAGTCGAGGTTCCCAACAGTGTGCATGACACTGTGGCATTTGCACCTCACCAGGTAGCGTTGAGGATGGGGCCGCGGCCTCTGCGGAACCACGGCGAACGGACGAAATGCAACAGCCACCGGCGGTCACTCCCAGCAGCTGCGCCGTAGAAACTCCGGCTCGACTTCGCCATGGCCGATCCTGTGCCACTTAGAATGGCTGCTCACCACGACATTCAAAGCAAACTGACCTGTCCTCCGCCCACTGTCCAACACAAGGACCAGGGCAAGCCGACCTCTTTTCTTCCACACGTTCCCGGCGGCAGTGCCATGCGCCGAAGACGATACAAGTCGTGTCCTCCCACCAGAAGTCGTCGGCGCAAGAACCCACGTTGGTCGATACCGGCGAGAAACAGAGCAAGACTGCACAAATTCATCCATGCCTTGCATCCACGGGCGGCGAGGTCTCCCGACACGACAGAGACACCGATTCCGAGATAACCAAGCACTCAGTGCGCGGTGCTTGTCTGGCTAGACTTACGGACTGTCGTGAAGACGTCGTCCTGAAATGTTCGCTTGAACATCTGCCCGCTTGACATCCCCGGAGCGTCATGCCACGACTCCGGCCTTGTGAGTAGATAATGCCACCTCACAAAGACAGAAGACCAGCATTGACATCAATCAGCTTGGACGTCTCGAGGTGGCGACGTGGCTTCACCCTGCCATAGAGGGTGGTCACCGAGGCCCTGTGGTGATGCAGAAAGGGTGCGTGGTGATGAGATCGGTATGCCGCACAAGACGGAGCTCCCACTTCTAAACATGGGCGTCGTTCGTTCGGACCGGCTGTAATGCGAGTCAATTGGCATAGTTTGCAGCGTGTTGGTGTAGGAAGGACCTCTGGGTGAGCAAGCGATCACGACCTACTCAAGACCGGATGACGTTCAACCACGACAAGGAAGACTCAAAACACAACCCAAGCGGGCAGTTGTTTCGCATAAACGACGGCTCAGGCAGGACGCACCGTAACTGGGGAGGCTGATCAACCTACCCACGTAAGCTTCCCGTCCGACGCCCGACGACATCATCAGCAGAAGCGCAAATCCCAAACATGCTCAACATCGAATCGAAACGCGCGGCTGAACCGAAACATCGACAGCAGACTCGAATAGAACGAGACGGGACTGACCACTGTCCATGATGCACATCTTCATGCAACCCCTCAGCTCGCCATCCCCGTCTCGAGTTCGGACGAATTGGACAAGACGCCAACGCGTGCTGCGCTAACCTGTGCTCAACGGTTGCCCGCCCTGATTCGCGGGCTCCACACGCCGCACTCGAGCTCTCTCCATCTCTCGCTCGGGCCCGTCGGCATGCTCGACACGCTCGACACGCTCGACACGCGCCCTCGCCGCAATTGGACGGCCTCGCCATCCTCGAGGAGCCCGTCGTTTCGTGAGAGTACACACCTGTTGTCATCAGCCTCACGGCCGACCGTTGGATGGCCGGGTCGAACATCCATCCCAAGCAGCCTAACCGTCCCAATCATCCTTGGCGATGCTCAGACGACAAGACTAAGCGCTTGTTATGCAGATGCCTGTCTGCCGACGTCTCTGGTGCTTGACCGACCTCCACCCTCGTCATCCAACGGCGACCCCGGCGCTGAAACTGCGCCTGTTGCAGAGCTGTCAGTCTCCTCGACAAGCGGCGTTTGAGGACCTGCGGTGTCTACCACCGCCGGAACAAAGGCCTCTGCCGGTCGGCAAGCCCTCACTGACAGCTGCTCCGCCGGCCACAACTGATCAAGAGCTCGTAAGCGTCGGAGGTGGGGACCCTCAGCCCCTGCAGAAAAAGAGGCCCCCTAGTTCATGCATCAAGGGTGTTCCAGGCGCCGCCAGGGGCCTGGCAAAGTGGGCCTGTGGTCAAGATAACCTTAACAGGGGTTTCTCCGTTAAATGCCCGAAGCATGGGAGTGCGACTACTGGGACCGTCCGTCCTTACTGCGCAGCACAGCGCACACCACCTCGACCACGTACGAACATGGCTGTCTGCTCGTCGTTTTCCACGTTTGCCAATCAACCACCCCTACCCTTCGCCTGGGGGGCGGTGATCGCTTCGTCCTATCTACACTGCCCCTGCACACGTCTAGAGCACTACGGGGGTGAGAGCTGGCCATGGAAACGAGCCCTTCCACAATGGCCAAGCCATGGAGTCCTTGAGGGCACTGTGGAATTAAATCAAGGCAACGCGCCGCAACTCCAGCCGTTGTAGCATTCGATCAGGTATGTTGCTGTCAGCCTTCTTCCCGCTGCAGAGCACCGCGGCGTGCAGCCCAAAAAAAAAAAAAAAAAAAAAAAAAAAAAAAAAGAGGACGTACGTCAGCAGATGGCAGCATCCTTGACATCACCCTTGATCCAGTTTTGAGCCTCAACCGCCCACCTCCCGGCGCATGCGAACTCTTCCTGGTCTGGCTCAGACTGATGGGATGGGGGGGCACCTGTCAAGTTTCTACCCCTGTGTCGAGACTTCCAAAAATGGGTAGAGACTCGCCGGCGGCTTTCGGTCTCGGCATAACCTACCTCCTCCACGATCCACGTACCGCGGCAAACCAAGCTTCCGGGGCCTGCAATTTCGCAAGACCACCGGCCCCAAGATTGTCGAACCCCTTGCGCATCTTCACTGGCAGACGTGATGACCGGCAAGCGTCCGAAATTACGCACCCGAGGGTCATGGGATGACGATCACAGGACAAGCCCCGTCGGGGCGTTTGTCTCTCGATTCTCGAGGGCCGCGGGATTCACCCAATGGGCACAGCACTAATAGTACTCGTGAAGGAGTCCACATTCTCCCGTCCACCCTCAAGATCCCCGGAAGCGTTCACGTGCCACGCTATTTGGGTTTCCCTTCCTGCTGGAGATGATGGGATGCCAAGCTGGCCGCTGTGGGCTTTGTGACGCTCGATCCTCCAAGGACACGCAGAAGTTGCTGCAACTGCAGGTGGCAGCCACACACTCAGTCGTGCGTCCGAGGTCGCGGCTCGGTCTGAGGCTCAAATTTACGATCCGGAGTGGTTCGGATACCCAACCTACCCCATTGTCTTTTGCCAACACGCTCTTCCGAGGACAACAACAGGCTCGCCCACGATATTGCAGACTCGGGTGAAGCAGGGTTGATCAAGAGCCAAGGCTGGTACGCCTCGATAAACACAGCAAGGAAGCACCAAACCAGTGACTTGAAAGGTGCATGCTTTAATGTGCGCTCCTGTATGATCACCGCCAGCGTTGTCGAGCACAACGGACGAGCGCCAAGTCGCCACTCGGCACTGAGGCATGCAGAGCAGACCACTGTCCTCGGCCGGCGGAGAGGCCTTGGATCCTGGACGGCGCGAGGCGCAACTGCCTTAGTTTACGATCACGAACGGTGCCTTCGGATAATGCTGATCTATTCCAGGCGTCCAACTGACTCGGCCGCCGTGAAGTAGCTCGACGAGCCTTCTTCCCAGAGTTTAGGGGTGGGAGGGGCCAAAGATGAGAGGAAATGTTCTTGCAAACATGCCAAACGGCCTCGAAACTGGCCTCGAGCATGGAGGTGGCTTGATTGGGCCCACTGATGTGCAAGAAGTCGAGACGAGACAAGGCCGATCATGGGACAGACTGGCGGTCAAGGGCGTGCCTGCTGAGCATGTTTGTGATCGCCACTTTCGCAGGCACAGGCAGTCTTGTTTTCATCTCGTCTTCTGTTTCTGGTCCCTCCGCAGAATAGCCGGTGACTCAGGAGGGCGGGGGGGGGTCAAGAGTTCTCAACGACACTTTGGTCCGACCGCCAGTGAGAAAGAAGCCTTCAAGCCTTGTTGAAAAAGGAAAGGATATTATTGTGAAGAGGGGAAATGTGGTGAAGGTACAGAGTGAAGGGGGCCGGTGTTGGGCTAAGCGCCGCCACCGTGTCGTGTCAGGAAAGGCAGGGGGATTTGTGCTGTATGACGATGCTGGGCGGGACGTCGAATGTTGAGCCTCAAGACGGACTGCCAAAAAATTTGCGGAGCCAACGGCGGCAGGATAGGATGCATTAAGGTTTGGCTGCATTAGTGGGACGCGGGGACGGGAAAGCAAACTTCTCACAGGAGAATCTTGTTTCTGAGCCTTGACCGTAGGGGCGGAAGAGACGAATGAATGGAGACGTCACGGGGCTACCCTGTGGCAGGCCAGGCCAGGCCCAGCATGCCAGGAGCGTCGGGACTGCTCGAGGTCTCGACAGGGGTGCTGGTCCGGATGGTATTGCCATGCTGCAGGCCAGCAGGACTGGCATGGACGAGCGTTCCGGACAGGACCTGACTGGGCTGGCCGAAGGGGAAGAGGCGAGGTGAGGTGAAGTGAAGGTGAGGTGAACAAACAGTACACGGGTTGAGTGTGTATGTGTGTATGTGTGCGTGTGTCTGGACTCGACTGGACCGAATCGGTGTGGTGTGGTGGAAGGCTGACACAAGGGTGAAATTGTGGCTACCACCTAGCGAGTTTCAAGGGACCGGAGCCTTGCGGCCACACCCCGACGGTGCCCTTCCTCCTCGCCAGGCTTCACCAGCTCCAAGAGACAGGCATACGGACAGCATTTCTTTCTTGGGCCGCCTCTCTGCAGGATGGGCTGGCAAGTAGCCGTGCCGGGCCCGCAGTGGTTTTGCCATACGAGCTTCTGCATCTGGTTCACAATCTCGTTACTCGAGGTGTTATTGATCCTGCCCGTCAGCCTCGGAGACCTGCTGGCCGGAGCCGACGTGGGGCCAAGGACAAGGGACAAGGCCAAGATCCACACAACACGACCAGAGACTGCAGCATGCGAGATTAAAACCAAACAGGCAGAGCAGCGCAGCAATACTACAGCAATGCCACAGCACGCACTAGAGCCCGATACTACACAGGTCTGGGTCAAGCGTGCGGGAGAGATGCACTGACACGGCGGCACGCCGACCCAAGCTGCACGTCAAGCCTGTTAGACATGCCGTACCAACTCTAATCAGTACGGACTACAGTACGGTATCTGGTCTGACATGTTGCCATCAAGAGGCCAGCCAAGGCCGGGCGCTTGTCGACGCTGGCATGGGGGGGGGGGGGGGGGCTTGGCCGTCAGGGCCGTAGGCAACCTGCCGAGCGAGGCTTGTTGACGCCGGTCTTGTGAGGGCGGCAGGGCAGTGTCGATGTATTTTTTTTTTTTTCTTCTTCTTTGTTTTTGTTCTCTTTTTTCATGGATGCATGGGGTGGTGTAGATGGGCGACAGGTGGGATGGACAAGGCCGCATTTGTTTGGAAACCCGTCCAGTGAGTGTCGAGTTTCGGGATGAGCAGATGGTGCATGGCAGCGTCCTCGGCTCTCGCGCCCCCAAGCGACGAGCGTCATGATTGACCAATCGTCAGTATCAGGCTGGAGGATAGAAACAGCCTCTTGTTTCAACGGGGGCGAGGGGGGCCTTCGGGTGCCATGCCAAACCAAACAGCCTGTCGAGGATGACTGGCGGCTGAGCCTCAACCTGGGCAAGCCTGGGGTGAGCCTGGGGTGAGCCATGGCGTGCCCCAGGGCAAAGGCCCCACGCGCAGGCACAGCCCTTGCCCAAGATTATACGGGGCGACGCACAGGGCTGGGGTAGTCCCTGGAGGGGCGAGCCCACGAGACAGGAACCGGCGCTGCTGTCCAATCACGACGCGGCGGCCGCTCCTGGACCAGCGCGGCTCTGTAACGATCTGAAGCAAGAGAGCCGGGTCACAGGCCCCCCACACCCTTTCAAACATGGGCCACAGGTCAGAGGAGGAGGCCGGAACCTGGAACCTGGAACCTGGAACCTGGAGCCTGGAGCCTGCATCTCAACCTCACCTCAACTCTCGACTCGACTCCTCGACTATCCTACCCTCAACGCTGAATGAGGGCCGCTCCTCTCCATCTCTCACCTCCCCTCGTGGTGCTGACTCCTTGTTACCCCGCTGCCATGCTCAGAAACCAGAAGTCGGCGGCTGCTGCTGCTGCTGCTGCTGCTGCTGCTGCTGCTGCTGTTGCTGTTGCCGGTGCTACTCCAAACATCTCATCCACCGGATGGGACATGGTTAAATGCGGGCTCGGTCATGCTGTGCCCAACACGGTCATTGATCGCCCATCAGCCCCTCCCTCCTTTCGACGCTGCGACGACCATGGGCAACCGCTCGGGACGCCAGATGTTCGCCTATGGTTGCCCGTTGAACAAAATGGGGCTCTCTTCCATTCTCTCTGTCTACGCCTCGTGCGCCACTGCACACTGGGGACTGCAATGTCTGCACTGCCCGCACTCCCTGCGCTATATTGTCCAGTAGACTATCAGACTATCCGGCCTAGTAGGCCGTGATATCCAGAGCTGCGGTTACACATACATCCCTGAGACACATATCCACCGCGTGCCCCATAGAGCCAAGCAAGGCCTTGCCTGGCTCGCGTGCCAGTACCACACAACCTGCCCTGTCTACCCTTTCCCTTGCCTTGCCGTGCCCTGCCTTGCCGTCCCCTTTCGCGTTTGCTGCGACGGCCGGCCGAGAAAGGGCCCTCGTCTCCCCTTCGCCTTCGGTCACGCTGTCCGAAACGAAATTCACATCAAACAGAACAGATCTGATCGATGTAACGCAGGACCCAGATTTGCGCCCTGCCCAGGCCTGCCTGGTGTCTTGGATCTGTCGTGTTTACCGCCCTTTCACCTCCTGCCCGGGTCGCCTAGGCGTGCCTTGATGCCGGATGCCATAGCTTCCAGCCGCCATATGCACAACACAACACTCAATCTCCTCTCCGTCTGCGCGCGCGCGTGTGTGTGTGTGTGTGTGTGTGTGTGTGTGTGTGTGTGTGTGTTTCCAGGTGTCTGTCTCTCCAGTCGGGAGCGCCACCCTCCACTCCAATACCCACTTCATCCTCTTTTTTTTTTTGGGAGATATGGCGATCATCATTGGTCTTCCTCTGCCCCACGTCCAGACCAGAGCTGCAGGATTGTTTCTGGTCCGGGGCATGCAGAGAGGCGTTCGTGAGCGGTTGGGACGAATTTAGTGTCCGGCAGTAGTCGCCCAGGAGTCAAGACAACACGCATATACTACTTACTGTATATGCGAGTGTGCGTGTGCTCGCTCAACCGCCCTGTCGAGTGGTAGGGCTGTGTCGAGCAAGTCACCCTTCTCCCCTTCCCCCTTCCCCCCCCCCCCCCCCAGCCTGGTGACGACGAGCGATACCGATCAAGTGGTCTGGCTGGGATACTGACGCCATGGCCAGGCGCTCCCGCCGTCGACTGGCTGCTGGCGACCCTTGACTCGAAGCGTACGGACCTTGCGGATTGCCGGGATGGTCATGTCTGGGTGAGACTTCAAACTCTGCGGCTCTTGCTTGATGTGTGGGGAGCCCTTGACAAGGGCAGGGCCACACCAGGCCCAGAATGGCTGGGTGGAGCCGCACGTTGTTATGCTTTACACTGCTGCCACACACCTCCGACCCGTCAACCTAGTCGGCACGCAACCTTTTTTTGGGGCCCAGGGTTTCCAAGAGAAGGTCTGTAACAAGGCTAGAGCCTACCTGGACTGCCAGACCGAGCACCCCTGCCATCCGTCCCAAGGCTGAACATAGAACGTCCTGTCCTGTCGTGTCCTGTGGTGGCTCCCCCTTGGCGTGGTGCGGTCGATCCTGGGCTGCTGCCATGGGCGCCGGCGAGCAGGCGAGAGCAGGCAATACGCTCGAGCAACTATTATTAATGCCCACTCCCCTCCCGGAGATCGTTTGGTCTTGTTTACTCCTTCTTCTCATCACGGTTGATCCTGATATTCACATTACTGACCTTATCACGACGCTGTTGCGTGTGTGTGTCCCTTTCTTTAATAGTTTATTCATTTTACCGCGGCTGAACCCTGACGCTCATTTGTCTTCTACGAAGGAGACCAACTGGATTGGCTGCCCCTCCCTCTTTAGAAATACACACACTTTTAGTCAACGGTGTAATCTGGTTTACCCATCGCCCGTCGGTTTCAATACCTTCAATTCTCGGCTCGCTCTCCTCGACGCCAACCTTGCCGACAGGAACGACAGACAGCCGTGTGTGTGTGTGTCTCGGCAAGAACAAGAACAAGAAGCCCTACTGCTTTCGACGGCAACAAGCGTACCCAGGGAAAAGGCCACAATAATCTCCCCCCTTCATTTCGATTCAGAACGCAGCTTTGGCCTGCAATCATTTATTATCGCGAAACAACTTGGAAACGTATTCAATTCTTGGACACTCACACCAACACGAACATTATAACATCATGTCTCCGACCATGGCCATGACAATGCCCACGGCAATGTACGCCCCGACGTCTGATGTTATGGACCGCCACGAGTATGGCATCACCAAGAGCCGCAAGAGCTCGTCGACTGGAGGAGGCAGAGCCTGGAGCGAGGACGAGGTACGTGGTCTTGCACTGTGTCGATTTTCCGTGGTTTGTTGGAAAGAGGGGGGGGGGGTTGGTTGGTGGGGGAGGCCTTGCTTGGGCTGTTCATCGCTACAAGCCTTTCTTGTGTCTATATGCTGAGGGGGGAAGGGGTGGAACATGGATGGCCCAACAGTGTGAAGGACATATTTTTGCTGACCAGGTTTGAACCACAACAGGAAGTTTACTTGCTCCAGACCCGCCTGCAGAAGATGCCGTACAAGCACATCGCCGCCCATCTGAAGAAGACGGAGCTGGCGTGCCGCCTGCACTACCACCAGCTGAGCCACGGCAGCAACCGGCGCAAGAGGACGACGTCCATGTCGTCGAGCTCGTCGTCCAACGGGCACTCGCCGCTCATGCAGGCCTCGATCCCGAGCCCCATCCACGAGTCGCCCAGCCGCAGCGTGTCGCCCCCGGGGTCCGTCATCAGCTACGGCCACCCGGGCTCGCCCGGCAGCGTGCAGCTCCCCAGCATCATGAACGCCGGCGTGGGCTCCGGCTCGTCCCCGCGGCTGCCCGCCATCCTGCCCAAGCCCGCCGGCATGACCCTGGCCCTGAGCACCTCGAGGTACAACTCGCTCCAGGACCACGCCCAGCAGCAGCAGCAGCAGCACAGCGCGCCACTCCTGCCCTCGGCCAGCTTCTCGGCTGCCGCCCACGCCCGCACCACCCCGCCGCCCACCATGGCCAGCGCCCCTGCGCCGGCGGCCATGGCCCCGCTCCGCCTGGACTGCTCCGGGCTCCCGGCGCCCTCGTCTGCTGCCGGCGCGGCCCAGCCCGTCGACATGGGCCGGCTGCAGGCCGTGTACAGCGCGCACCGCAACAGCTTCTGGTCGGCGGTGGCGGCCGACTACGGCAACGGGGCCCACCCCGTCGCCCTGGAGCAGGCCTGGAAGGCGGGCGGCGTGTCGTCGGGCCACGGCTACGCGGCTCAGACACCCATCACGCCCATCGGCAGCCCCGACGAGAGGGATGTCTACGGCAAGCAGTGCCAGGACAAGACCCGCATCTCGGCCATCCTGGGGATTGATGCCAACCCGCGGAGCCCCAAGGAGAGGGAGATGGTGAGGAGGATGGAAGAGGAGAGGGTCATGGTTGGTGTCGGTGCCTAAAAAAGGCCTCATCGACGATGAACCAGACCAATCAGAAATGAGAGCCCTCAGGCGTTAGAGCTTTGGGCACCCGACACTGATACACCAACCATTTCCTTTGTTACCTCCTCTTTTCTTTTCTTCTCTTTTTCTCTTTTTTTTTTTTTTTTTTTTTACCTCGTCTCTTTTCCATTTGTCCTGTACGATGACGAACCACGAGACGACGATGGACGATCGGGGTTTCCTGAAGAGGGAATCCACGAAGGCCTTTTTCCTCAACATGATGACATCCTCTGCCGCGACCTCTCCTGATCCCTCCTTATAGCCTCCACGGCCTGGAGGGATCGGACATCCGAGCACGACACACGTGTGGTTTGAATACAGAAAAATCTTTCTCTTCGACCCGATACCTGTCCTTTTGAGAACCTGGCGGCTTGGTGAAAGGCATGAAGCGGGTATGAGAGCGTTCGCAAAAGGGGAGGGGGTGGGGCAAAAGCTGGCGGCCCTTGCTGTGTAGGATGGAACGGGCGGGCCGGGCTTGGGCTGGGCTTGCGGTGGGATTCATTTTCCTTGGTTGCCTGGTCTTGAAACGATTGCATGGAGTCATGCGCGGATCTGGGAAGCCTCGTGGGGAATGCATCAGCAACTGGGACACGGGGCTGGGAGGAAGGATGACAGGCGGCCTGGCATTGGTAGCTCAACAAAGAGGAACGTGCCGGCCGTTTTTGGGACGGGATGGACAGCAATACTTGACTTGATTCAGTACTTAGCGAAGGCGGCGGAGTGGCCTGATGGGGAGTGTGGAGGTTGCAATACCATTGATTGTTTTTTCTGGATGATTTGAAAACCCCTGTTCGAAGACCATTGTCGTTGATGCAGCTTAAGCGAGCGTTTCAAGTGCTTCGTCCAGCGACCAGATCATAATGTGCGCGCTTGTGGTTCTTCAGTGTGAGAGTTGGGAGAGCAGGAACTCTTGCCCCGTACCTACAAGAGCATATATTCATATTGCACCCGGTACATATAGTCCAGTACCCAGGTACATAGATATATATCGAACATACCCACATCGCATCACTTGCATCTAGAACCTGGTCAATACATGAACAGACTGCATGAACACGACTGCCACTGCATGTACGTGCAGTGCAGTAATCAAGATACGGCAGAGTTTGGACAAATAGCCGAAAGTGGTAATCCGGCGGGTTCTGTATTCTAGACTTGGGCTTGCCTATATTCGTGTGCATGCATGTATGTGGTGTGATTGGGGGGGGGGCTATGATGCATGACCTTACAGACACGTGTGTAGACATCTACTTCGTTATAGATTATCTATTTAATCCGGGCGGGTGGTCGTATTGAAAGGTACGTGAACGGACGGGTTGGAGTACATTGTACCGTTAAGGCTGGAAGGGTAGGTACAACCTCGGAAGTAGACTACTGCCCCACCTTCTCCTCCCTTCCTTCCCCCTCTCCTCTCCACCTCCCACCTCCCAACCTCCAACCCTTTCCCCCCACTGCGATGCGGGGGCAGCCAACCTTTGCAAAAACGGAAAAGAAAAAGTCAATCGGAACCCATCCTCTGTCGTGCAACCTTTGTGCCCTGTCTATGGTAGTCTACCACATGAATCAATCGGCTGTTCCACGACGGCTGTCAAGATGGAGCCGCAGCATGTCGTCGAGTGACAGCACGTCTGTGTCCATCCTTCCACGCCGACACTGTCGAGGTCCACGTCCAGGTTCGTGTCTGTCCATGTTCGTGGCTCTCCACGGCTTGACGGCGACACAGGAAGGCGTGGATGATTGCCAATGGCAGCCAGATGATTCGATCTCAACCGCTGGGACCAAGGCCGGGACCAGAAGCTGGACCAAGGACAGAACCTGGACCATGCACGCAAGTGGGTTGCGCCACGACCCGCCCTCTCCGCTCTCTGTCTCCCTGTACTCTGTAGTGTGTACTGTACTGTGTAGTGTGTAGTGTGGGCAGACCATCTCTCTCTCTCTCCGCTCTGGCCTCAACCATCCGCCTCTCCGACTGTCAACCTCTCCTCGTTCTACCCTGACTGCAGCTGGCCATGGAAGAGATGGGCTGGCTGAATTAGGGAAGGGGCACGGATGGCGGCGACGACGACGTGGGGACCAGGAAGAGAATGGGTGAAGATAATCTTTTCCTCCTCTCATCGGGTTCCTTCCCTCCTCAGGGTCCCTGCGGCTCAGGATCTGGCATGCCTCTTCCTGCCTTATTAGCCTCCCGCCCTTTTCTGCCGACCGCGGCATATAGACCACTACTGTGCTGTGCTGTGCATCGAGCATCAACCATCAAGCTACTACCCCTTGTTAGTCGGCACTTCCCAACATGGATCATGCTTCCGGATGGGTAGACTACGGAGAGTACCTCGCGAGTGCTCACACGGTACCTGTCTCTCCCCCGTCTTCCCACCTCCCCTCTCCCACCCCCGCGCTGTCCCAAACAAAGCTGTTCCCCCACACCTTTGTGCAGGCACATGCACAGGCACACAGGCACACACTGGCACACACTGGCACAGCATCCATCACCAGGCACAGGACCAGTGCGGTGGGCCGCCGTTGGGTTGGTCCTTCCCGGCCCACCTCGGCGACAGATGTCGCTCTCTCTTCCGATGAACGGGTTGCACACTCCATGTACAAAGCCGACCTACTTCCGTCTCTCTCTTGTGCCTCTTGCTCTTGCAAGCTCGCCTCAGGCAGCCATGACCTAAATACCATTGACTTTTTACTCTCGACCCTCCCTCCCAACATTCTGAACCTCACATCCGATCCCCACCTTCTACTTTCTTGCCGTTGCGCCCCTCCGTCTTGGGCCTGACTTCCCCCCCTGTGATCCGCTCCTTTCAAGTGGTGCCATCTGAGGGCAATCGCATCGCCAATTGCATGACCATAAACCTTCTTCGCACTGACCAAGCCTAGCCTTGATCTTTCCTCACTCCCAGAGCCCCGGGCTGTTTGTCTTCCTCAAAGACTTGTGTGTGTGTCCTCCTGCCCTGTCCTGCCGTATGTGGTCACCGTACCAGATTGCTGCCACTCCATTCTCACAAGATATGCCTAGTTCCAGATTGGCTGACGGCGAGAAGAGACCTCGCAAGAGAGACAGAAGCAAAAAAAAAAAAAAAAAAAAAAAATGGACACAACCGTCAGCAATGGCAATGGCGTCAGAAACGTCCCCAGGGATGGCGACTACATCCAGTGGGACTCTCTCCCGCCCGGAGGCGCACTCAACCGATGGAGTCACAGCATGACCAAGGGACACGACTATGTCGGCGCTCAGGTCAGTCCGAGATGCCTCACCCACGCCCACCGCATGTCATGCTGATCTCACCAACGTGCACAAGGCAATGCTATACGCCGCTGGAGTCCCTGACGGCGAGGCCATGAGGAACGCTCCACATGTTGGCATCTCAACCGTGTGGTGGGAGGGAAACCCTTGCAAGTGAGCCAGCCAATCCTCCTCCTCCTCTCCCTCGCATCGGACATGACGCTACCAGGTTCTGACATGAGACAACAGCACACACTGTAAGCACTGGACACGGGCTCGCCGCCACGAGCGGTGCTGCTGCCACGGGTTCGGAATGACTGACACTCGCCAGTGATGGACATGGGCAAGATCGTCAAGAGGTCTGTGGAGAAGCAGGGCATGCTTGCCTGGCAGTTCAACACCATTGGCGTGTCGGATGGCATCACAATGGGGAGCGAGGGTATGTCGACTCAGAACTCTCCCCGCCGTCCCAAGACCGGGACGGCCTCGTCCCTGCTGTCTGTCACTCACTGACTTCAGCCAAAACTCTGAACCTTGGAATCTGACCAACCCCCGCTACACCAGGAATGCGCTACTCTCTCCAGTCAAGGGAGATCATAGCCGACTCGATCGAGACGGTGACTTGTGCCCAACGCCATGACGCAAACATCTCCATCCCCGGCTGCGACAAGAACATGCCCGGCGTCATCATGGCCGCCGCACGCCACAACCGGCCCTTCATCATGGTCTACGGCGGCACCATCAACAAGGGCCACTCCTCCCTGCTCGACCGCGAGATCAACATCTCGACGTGCTACGAGTCGACGGGCGCCTACACCTACGGGAGGCTGCACGCCAAGTGCCCCAAGGCCAACGGCGACGCCGCCACCCCCGAGGACGTGCTGGAGGAGATTGCCCAGCACGCGTGCCCCAGCGTTGGCGCCTGCGGCGGCATGTACACCGCCAACACCCTCGCCACCGCCATCGAGGTCATGGGCCTCTCCCTGCCGGGGAGCTCCTCGTACCCGGCCACGTCCCCGGAGAAGGCCCGCGAGTGCGAGCGTGTGGCCGAGGCCATCAAGGTCGTCATGGCCAAGGACATCCGGCCCAGGGACCTGCTCACCCGCGCCGCCTTCGAGAACGCCCTGGTCCTGACCATGGTCCTGGGAGGCAGCACCAACGGCGTCCTGCATTTCCTCGCAATGGCAAACAGTGCCGACGTGCCCCTGACCCTGGACGACATCGACAGGACGAGCAACCGGGTGCCCTTCCTGGCCGACCTGGCGCCCAGCGGCAAGCACTACATGGAGGACTTGTACAGGATCGGCGGCACGCCGTCGGTGCTGAAGATGCTCATCGCGACCGGCCTCATCGACGGCTCCCTGATGACCGTCACCGGCAAGACGCTCGCAGAGAACTGCAGCTCATGGCCCTCCCTCGACCCCGGGCAGAAGATCATAAGGCCGCTCGACGACCCGATCAAGAAGACGGGCCACCTCCGGGTGCTCAAGGGGAACCTCGCACCACAGGGCGCCGTGGCCAAGATCACGGGCAAGGAGGGCCTGTCGTTCACGGGCAAGGCGAGGGTCTTCGACAAGGAGCACGAGCTCAACAGCGCGCTGCAGGGCGGGGACATCAAGGTGACGGACGGAAACCTCGTCCTCATCGTGCGGTACGAGGGGCCGCGTGGCGGGCCGGGCATGCCGGAACAGCTCACGGCCTCGGCCGCCATCATGGGCGCCGGGCTCACCAACGTGGCGCTCGTCACCGACGGGCGCTACTCCGGGGCCAGTCACGGCTTCATCGTGGGCCACGTGTGCCCGGAGGCGGCGGTGGGAGGGCCGATCGCCATGGTGAGGAACGGCGACGAGGTCCGCATCGACGCGGTGGAGAACCGCATCGACGTCCTCAACGCGACCGTCGAAGAGCTGAGGGAGAGGAAGAAGAGCTGGAGGCGGCCGGTCCAGAAGCCCCTCAGGGGTACTCTGGCCAAGTACGCTCGACTGGTGGGCGATGCGAGCCACGGCGCCGTCACTGACTCGGCTGAGCCCTTGTACAGTGCAGAGTGGTGAGGGGACCGAGGCCGGTTCGGAGTGGCCATTGATACTAGTTGACAGAAATCTGACACGAGACGCTCAAGCGCTCTCTCATGGCGTTTTCACCCCACCTCCTCCGTCATTCGCCGGCATGCCTCTACCCATGGACACTGGCCGGCAAGAAGTGTCCAGTCAGAAATGCCACCTTCGAATCGGTCAGTCATCGCTACCCGTCCGTTATCCAAAAGGAAAAAAGGAGTACCATGATCTCTCGCCCTTGGGCGCCATCTATGCTTGCCTTTGGTGTAGGAGACTTGACTGTTGGCAAGAAAGGGATGGGGAGTGCCGGGAGTGCCAGTCTGCATTCCCATCTCTGCTCCTAGTAGGTTCAGACCGTCTTTTAAGGCAGCGTTGCTCCCCTGCGGTTCAGGCCTAGAGGCTCCTCAACATGGACATCGCAAGAGCACAAACACAAACGAACATGCAAACACATAGTCACGCAGTCACACATACACACACCGCCAGAGCCATTCCTAAGCTGATGCTGACCCATTCCGTTTGCATTAAATATGTGGTATCGTTGTATATCTGACAGAAGGGAAGGGGCAGGCACAGCAGCCGCACACAAGCAGAATGGAGAGGCGCACAGAAGGACCGTACCGTGTGTGTGTGTGTGTGTGTGTGTGTGTGTGTGTGTGTGTGTGTGACAGAGACACCAGCTGCTATGCTGCCCAACCCGGCTCAGCCCAGACGAGGCGGGCCACCTCCGTGCTCTTCTATTCCTGCTGGCCCCGGGCGACCACCCGCCCCTCTCCTCCCTCCCCCCGACTCTATGCAGAACAAGATGCAGGTATGACTGACTGTAATTTCACGAGCGCCCCTTTTGTCGTGTGGCAAACGTCCCAGCAAAGACGCCGTTGAAACCTCCCACGCATAGTGCTCGCTACTCTGTGGCTCTTTTGTGACCGAATATAGACAAAAATCCGACATGAATCGTGATGCACAGGTTTCCCAAGCCCGGCTCCCCAGCCCCCACCCTTCCCCCGAATCGTTCCCAGCTATAAAGTCATGGCAACTCCTATCTCGTGTCCGTTCACGTCGTGACCAGGCCAACCAGGCCCAATGTTGGTAAATTTTGTATACACAGTCCCTTCTCTCGCATCCCATGGGACTGGCTGCCGGGGCCCTGACTGGTAGGCAGGTTTACCCCTTCTAAGGGCTGGCCCATCCGCCGGCGACGTCAACCCACTCGGCCATACAACTGCCCTCCTTGCCTTCTACGTCGACGATATCGGTGTCGCAGCGGCACCGGCAGCCCACGCCGTTCTCCTTGGGCGGGTCCCAGTGCTCCCAGTAGTCGTCCTCCTCGAATCGCTTGCGCTCGTCCGTCGTCGTTTTCTCGAGGTACGGCTGCCGAGGCAGTTGGCGCCCAAGAGGCGCGTTGGCAGGGCAATGCTGGATGGTCGTGTGTCGGTACCCAAAGTCGCGGAAGTAGTGGATGTCGCGCGGGGACAGCAGGGCACCGGCGGCGAGCGAGTGGATGGGCGCATCACCCCACTGCGGGACAGGTCAGTCTGGTGTCTCGGAGAGGAGAATGAGTGAGTAGGGCATGAATGCTTCGACGACTTACACGTTCCATCCAGAAGCCACCGCTGCGGTCCATCATCTCGAAGAAGTCCTCGTATTCCTTGCTCCTGAAGAAGCTCAGGCGGGCGATCTCGAAGTTGGACCAGAAGTGGCACATGTTGTAGCTCTCGCCCTCCATGGCCTCAGGGTCTATCTCGGGCAGGCCGTTACGGCCAGGCTCGGAGCGCAGGATCTCCTCGGGCAGCGGCGGCGTCTCTGGGTCTTGCGGAGGCTCGTTGCGCTCGGGCTCCGGCTTGGGCTCGACGAACATCTCCCACAGGCCCTTGGAGGTCAGGTTGTTCATGCGCTTGTAGGCGGAGGCGTAGCGCCAGATGTTGGGCACGGTTTCTCGGAGCTCTTTGACAGCAATGGTGAAGCCGTATGTCTTGTTGGCCTCGATCATGGCCAGGAAGGGATCACTGCGGGGAGGTCGTGTCAGGAGATGGACAGCTCACAGGGGTTAAGGGGGTGGGGCGTTTCTTCATACTAGGTGATGTCACAAAAGTAGCTGATCTCGGGCTCCAGACGCCAGTACCACTCGTACTTGGCGAGGAGGGGGTGCTTGTAGAAGAAGCTGTTTGCCATGTTAGCCAACGGTGGCCGCCAGAGCTGCGTGCTGCGGGGGCTCAACTGACCCAGAGTAGAACCTGCACATGGCGTGGTAACTCTCAAGGCCGCCGTACATGACGGCGGCGTCGCCCTGCTTCGCGATGCCTTCCTTGGCGACCTTGGGGTCGATCCAGTCCGGGAAACCCCACATGTCAGGGCCGACCTTGCCGAACTCGACGGGGGCGGACGTGTAGTTCTTGATGGTGTCCTTGAAGGTCTGGTTGAAGTCGCCATCGTTGAGGAAGACATAGGGGTAATGGTACCAGCGATTGAAGTGGCGCTCGATGGACTTGACGGACTGGATGACGCCGTCCAGCTCCTTGTTCCTGGCCAGGACGACGAAGGCACCGTTGGCCCTGGGCTTGGACGTGTCGGGTTCCAAGCAGCCTTCGACGAAGACCTTGTCGTATTTCTCACTGATTTTCCTGTGAAAGGGGCACGTCAGCGGCAGGCCAGCAACAGAGACAAAGTGCGCAAGGTAACTTGAGAGGAGTGTGAGGGCGTCTTAAGGATTGCATACCTGATGGCCGGAGGAGCCCCGGCCGGCATCAATATCCTCCCAGCAGAGTTGGGATGCCTGACAAAGAGGACAAGGATGAGGATGACAACGATCAGGGGGAAGAGTATCACGACGCCCAGAGGTATCGAGATGGCGGAATTGCCCTTGAGACGGAGTGGTCTCCGGAAGAAGGCCAAGCGTGACCATAACCTGCCGGGTTGTGATTTTGACTTGTGGAGCTTTTCGTCTGCGGTTGGGAGCGGCGGAGGGCCAGAGAGGGCCTTCCCAGCCCGGCGGATCAAATCCATGGCGGGCGATGTGCTTGTTTGGGGCGCTGCGATGGTATACGGTGGTATGCGCTGCGATGTATTATGATGCGATGCGACGCGTGGCTCGGGGAGTGCGCCCTGGGGGTTGGTGGTCGCGAGAGAGGCCTATAAATCCAGGACGGAAGTAGAAAGGTATTGAGACCTTAGAATCGGTATCTAGCACTGGTCAGGCTGGCGTCCCGGGGCGTGATGCAGTCCACCACAGCAACCAGCTCGTGTGCTCGCCTTGCCAAAGCAAATACCCACCGGCTGGGGCGTATACAGGCTGTAGACGGGGGCGAGACGAGTGAGGGCGGTGGTAACGAGCGGCAAGGGAAGAAAGATCCCTCTCAGATTGTGTTTTTGCAACGGGGAGGCGTGGCGGGAGAGGACGTGTCGAGGCGAGCAGCTTCGACAGACAGATAGACAGACAGATAGACAGACAAGACACCAGCCGGCGCGAGGGAGCAGCAGCGGGCAAGTTGCGGGTATCCAGCCGTCCTGACCGCCTGAGAGGATGGATGTTGGAGCTGAGCAGAGCTGAGCGGTGCAGGGCGGTCGATGGAGGAAGCCACGAGGTTGGATGACACTGCAGCGAGGTCGAACGACGCAGGCAGGTAATGGATTCCCAGGGTTGGATCAGACCAAGGCCACGCACTGCACGTGTTTTTGGTTGCTTGTCAGGTTATAGGGTGCCCTATGCAGAGCCCGTGGTCGGGGGCATCGAGGAGGGCGGTGGATGGTCGTCGATCCGAATCGAGTCGAGTCGAATTGTACCCAGGCCGTGTTGTGCGGTGTTGCGTTGTGTCGCGCTGTTGTTCTGCAGCGGGCGAGTCGAGTTTTGGTTTGGGTGAGAGGTAAGCCGTGGTTGGAAAAGTGTTGCTGTCCGTTCGTTATCTGGCCAGGTTCCCGTCTGGTCCTGCTGTGCCTAGGTAGGCCTGCCTGGCTGCTGCTCTGGTCTGGGGACGGGGGTGGACGGGGGCAGACTGGGGCACGGGGACGGGAGACGGGAGACGGAGAGGCGTGGATGGCCATTGGTCGGGTGCTGGAACGGGGCTAGCGTGTGCAAGACCGAGGCCACTGGTTGGTAGATAGGCGAGATAAGCGGGCTTTGAATGTGGGGCAAGGGGTACGTATCCTGTCCCCCCGTCTCCGTCTCTGTCTCTTGTCTCTGTCAATCTGTCTGGCCTGTGTGTGTCTCTTTTTTTCCTTCCTCTCTCTCAAAACGCACAGTAATCATCTTGCACGCTGCATGGGCTACTACCCGCCAGCCCAATTCATCCAGTCGATTTCATCCCTCCATCCCTCTACCTGTCCCATCCCTGCCGCCTTCCACCCTTCCACGCAAGCAGCCCCTTTTCACCTTTGCCACAACCGGACTGGCGGGCAGGCGGGCACACGGAGCAAGACACCCTAATAACGGGCACGCGTCGAAAACTCTGGAAGCCGTCAAGGGCTAGTAGCGTTTTTGTTGTTGGGACGGATAAAAATATGACTGCTGCTGCTCCTCCTTCTAGAAGGTCGTCCGTCCAGGTAGGTGGAGTAACTAACTGCCCAAGCTTCGACAGACTCTGCCCGCCTGGTAGCTATCTACTTAGGTAGTGTTCCATATACCACACGTGCTGTCATTGTAATTTAACATGGCAATGAATGTCGGTGCGGTGCCGTTGGATCCTAGACCACTAGCCGCCTTGCAAGCATCAATACCTGGCATCTGTCGGAGATGAGACTGGTCACGAACTGGACAGCTCTAGGTCCTCGCTCTTGGGCCCTCTTTGACGCACCCCCGCCCCTTCCCCCACCCCCAACCGCCACATCAACCTGAACCCTGACCGAGTGCCCTCTCGTATTCAAACCGTCTGCATCGACAATCATCGCCTCCGTAACCCGGCTTGTTGGCCGTTAACCTTGCTCAGAGCTGCCCGCCAGGCACGGACACGAGACCTACTCGCGCGCAACTTGGACATGGCCAGGGCAGCAGGACCACCGCGGCGCTCTCTCTCGGCTCCTTTCGTCTCGTCCTGTCTCGTCTCGTCATGTCACGTCACGTCGGTTCTCATCTCGTCTTTTCCCCCCCGTCCTGTGATATTCATGATGTGCTATGGAACCAGCGGCTGTGCTATACAGTACAGTACAGTACAGCACAGTACAGTTACGCTCTGTCTTGCCGCCACCCACCAAGCAACATGGCGTCGTGTTGCTCAACTACCAAGGACGCATTCCCGCCCAGCATCGTCCAGTTTGCGAGGCTCGGTCAAGAGTCAGGGCCCAAGCAAGGACCCCAAAATTCAAGATTCATGCAAGCAGACCATGGCATCCCCCGGTGTTTGACTCGAGCCAAACCAACCAACCTGCAAGAACGGGTGGCCACCACCCACCAAACAACAGAGGCAACAAGCAGTCCAACAGTCAGCGCCAAACTTGAGCTGCGGGCGTGCAGGCGTGGTGACCAAAAAAGCCCCATCCATCCTGCGGGCCGTCTGGTGCGGAACCCACCAGCAGACAGGGCCACGATCGCGGTCGGCCTTCTCTGTCTGGCTACCAACCGGGACGGGAATGATGCTATTATAAGCACTTCCTCTGTGTGTCTTGCCCGTAGCACTGGATACAGTGGGCAGCACTGGCCAGGCCAGACGGGGCCGTCCACTGAGCAGAGGAGACTGAGATGCCTGTGGCCCGCCAACCTGCATCCTCGACCATGCAACAGCTCAAGGCAGCGAGATATGGACAGGGCGATAGACTGGTGATAGAAACTAGCACACAGCACACTGTCAGGCCGTCTATCCACCGTCGCCTTGGGCGTGGTTAGAGCGGCGTGGTTGGGGCTTGTGTGGATCTGCTGTGCCATCGGCCGAATTTCCCGTCGCCTCCCCGCCCTGCTAAATTTGGAAACCTCGAGCTCGGGGGCCGCCGGGGGGTCACAGTACGGTTCCTGTCCTGCTGTAGGCTCAGGTACGCAATGCGCTCTTCTGGTTCCCTCCGGAGATCACGAGTGTCGGCCATGTCAGATTCTGAATGCTGGATTGTGTTGCGTGAGATTGCGGAGCGGCCGAAGATTGGATGCGTGGCTTAGCCCCGAAGACCCGCGGCCGCTCTTGCTGCTTTCTCTCACTGTCTCTCTCACTGTCTCTCTCTCTCTCTCTCTCTCTGTGTGTGTGTGTCCCTCCCTCTCTACGCACTAAGATCTGTGCTGATCTCCCTCTTTTTCTCGGTGTGTATGTGCGTGGTGTGTGTGTGTGTGTGTGTGTGTGTGTGTGTGTGTGTGTTTGTGTGTGCGTGCATTCCCTCGCCCCAAAGAAAAAGCCAGGCCAGGCCAGGTAAAGGAGGGCCAGGGTGCGTGCAACAGACAGGCCAGACAGACAGGAAAAGGCGACTCGAAACAAGCCACCCTGTGAGCTCCTGCAGACGCACGTTGAGTCTCACGTTTCACATCCAGATTGGCCCGCATCGCCGCGCCCGACCACCCCTGCTCGCCTGCCATCGACGGCGGGCGGCACCAACGGGACGTCGCATCCAAGCTTTTGGCTCCTTGTGCTCCTTGTATGAGCCTTGAGAAGGTCCCACAGACCGACGGCGTGGGTGCTCGGCGCACGGGGCACGAACTCTCTCTTATTCAATGATCGATATTCCTTCCATCCTGCGATCAAGGGCCCTCTCCCCTTCCCAGATTTATATATGTGTCTGCCCCTGTCCGCCCTCGTCTCCTTCCGTCATGCTTGTTTGTCTCCCTTTTCCCACTTTTGTTTCCTAACTACGTCTCCCATTTGTTTGCAAAGCCAGGAAAGAAGAGAAAAGCCTGTCCGTCCATTCTCCCGACATAAACACAATCTCGTTTGTTTCTTCGTCTTGATAACCAACACCCCCTCCATCTGGTCATGGAGTTCGCAAACCACTCATCCGCACCCTTCATTGCCGATGCTGGCTCCGAGCGGGACTGGGCCCGCCAGCATGTCGCCGGGCAATTACACATGGCCGACTCCAAGGGCTCTGGGCTCCTGCCACTGAGGAGGAGGTCTGCCGTCGCCCTGAAGCGGAGGGCGAGCAGCGATGTGAGGCACCGGCCAGAGAACGGCCCGTCCGGCGTCAGCAAACGCAGGCGTGTCGACAGGCCGATCAACGTCACCAACAAGCCCCTGAGCCCGGCGGACAAGGCCAGGTCGGCCGGCGACTGGGAGCAGATGCTGAAGCTCTCCGTCAACAACCTCCAGGGCCTCTACGCCAAGATGGGCAACACGCCGGCGCCGGCCACGGGAAGGCTACTCGGGGATAGGTTCCCCCAACGCGTGGCTGACAGCGACCGCGGCTTGATGGCCTCCAGGGCGATGCATCACGCCGCCGGCTGCTGCAGCGAGGGAGGCCTGGACGAGGACGACGACGGCTGCTCGTCCAGCTCGGGCGAGGAGGACATGGCAGACTGGGCCGAGACGGACAGCTCCTCGGACGACCAACCTGCCACTCCTGACACGGCACAGATGGACGAGGACAGTGACGTCGAGGGCATGATGCACACACATACGCAAACGGCTTCATAGGCCTTCCATCCGATGCTGGAAAGAAGCGATGTCGGCCAGTGGGACGCAGACCAATCAAGAAGGTCTGTCTGCCTCCGGAGCCACTTACTCCGGCCCTGACGTACCTATTGGTGCTGTCGCAGTCCTGTCACCCGGTGGTAGTTTTCTTTTTATTTTGGACGGGGCCGTCGGTTGGAGAGTGGGGAGGGCGCAACAAAGGGTTCCACCCAGAGGGACCGGCATATCATGGTCATCGGCGTCTTGTTGGTTGGCGGGGAATCACGTGCATTCTTCTCTTGAGACGGGGAGGCAAAACATGTCAGAAAAACGCAGGCCACAATGGTGGTGTGGCCGTGGCCGCGTTGGTGATGCCTGATAGGGGAAGGGGCGTTTGGGGGCATTTTGAAAACTTTATAGAAGATACCCTTCCCACATGGGAACTATAGTAATCGACCATTACCAAACATACACACAAGATTCTTCAAGGTTCCTGACTAGGACATTCTGTGCCTGGGCCCCCCGGGGATGAGAGATGGACCACTCACGCATTCTTGGCCATCATGTCCTGGTCCTGCCTCCAGCGGTCCCTGACGACGTGCAGCATGGACTTCTCGCGGGCCCAGGCCGGGGCCAGGTCCATGGCGGCCTGCTGCAGGGCATGGGGGAAGTAGCCGACGACGGCAGGGCGGCCACAGCCGACGCGGGCGAGGGCGGCGGCGGCCATGGTGGCGGCGTGGGGCTCGAAGAAGGAGACGGGGTGGGAGTTGTACGAGGTGGCGGTGACCTCGCCGACGCGCACGGACAGGATTTCAAGGTCGGCGTGGCGGCCCTGGAGGACCAGCTCGCGCGAGAGGATGCGCGAGGCGGTGTCGCCGAACTTCTTGCTAGAGGCGTACGAGGCCAGCATGGGCAGGCCGTTGTCGGACATGGAACCGATGTTGAGGACGAGCGAGGGCGCGTTGGCGAGGAGCTGGGGCAGCAGGCGGGCCTGCATGAGGAGCGGGAAGACGGCGTTGAGGTTGATGTTGCCGACGAGGCGGGCCTCGGAGCAGTGCTGTAGGAACTGGTAGACGGGGTTGACGACGCCGCCGCCGGCGTTGTTGACGAGCACGGTCAGGTTGATGTCTGCCAGCGAGGCGGCGATGGCGTCGAAGTCGACGAGGGCCGGCTGCCTGTCGACGTTGGAGTTGCTGGCTGGCGATGGTGTCGGAGGGCGGCAGCTGTTGCAGGCGATGGCAGACCCGTCGGCTATCAGAGTGCGGAACTGGCGCCGGGGGAAGGCTCTCTCCAGCTCGTCCCTTACGCCTGCCAGCTTGGAGGGGTTGCGGCCGTGCAGGACGACGTTGAAGCCGCGGGAGGCCAGCTGGTGGCAGAACTGCTTCCCAATGCCGTCCGAGGCGCCCGTGACCAGGGCCCAGGCTGGTTTCCCGTCCGTGTCGTGGAGGTAGCGGCCGAGCCTGGAGGGCCGGAGGAAGGGCGAGACGAAGCTGGCGACGCTGTAGAGCACGCTGAGGACGGACAGCACGCCGACCCACGAGCACAGAACGGCCACGAGGCTGTCTCGGCGGGACAGCGACGCGAGGCCCCAGATGTCCATGGCTGCCTCCAGGTCCAGAGTGTGATGATGGTCAATAGGGTTGATGTGTCTCAGACAGACCACATCCACGGTCGAATATCCCCGAGACAGACAAGCGGGTAGAGTGTTTTGTGACTACTGGTTTATATCTGAGAAGTGTCAGTCGTCCACAAAGTCCTGAGGATGAGATGGATCATGTCTGGCTGTTTTTTTAGACTAACCGGCTCGCTTGACGTGCTCCTGCTCAACAGCGCCTAGGTCAAGCCTCATTCAACATGCCAAGCAGCGTCATTGAAATTGTGAGGGCTGAATACTCGTTGCCGCAGGAGTGAGTTGTCGACTGTGGGAGATGGCTACATCAGTTGTCCCATACGGGCAAGCCAACACACACCAACAGATAGAGTAAGTAGCCTACCAAGCAACATGGATCAGGCATTTACATCACACCCTACTCCACACAGTCCGTGTGCCCCCCCCCCCCCCCCCCCCCCGTAGCTTAACACGGCTCAAGCTCAAGCTCTCAAACACGACCCCACCCGGGCACTTCCTGGCTCCATATTGCCCCCAGTGTCGCCATTTCACACGATGCCGATGACGGTCGCTCGAGCTATCCCCATCAGACACCCCGACCCAGACAGACCATGTAGCCCAGCTAGCACCCGTGGACTGCTACCTGCTACCGTGAGGGTGGCTAGGCGATAAGAGCAATGCGTCGACCATATCTCCGTCTCCTTGGGTCTGTCTACCACAGTATATGGATTTAAATTTACGCAGTCCTCTATAATCTGTTCACCCCAGCGTGAGAGTCCTGCTTCCGTCTAGTCAATCAAGCATCCATCCATCTGCACATCCATCCCAGACTATATCCTGTTAATATATATACACATACCGCCCACCATGCCTCTCGTCGCAGCAGCCCCGACCCCGCGCGTCATCCTGGGCCTCATGACCTTTGGCGCCGACGAGGCCACCGGCGCCCGCATCACGTCGGTCCCCGAGTTCGCCAAGGTCCTCGACCTCTACCAGCAGCGAGGCTACAGCGAGGTCGACACGGCCCGTGTCTACATCGGTGGCCAGCAGGAGGCCTTCACCCGCGAGGCCGGCTGGAAGGAGAGGGGCCTCACCCTCGCCACAAAGGTCAGGTATCCCGCCAACCCGGGCGACAACACCGCCGACAAGGTCGCCGCCAGCGTCGAGACCAGCCTCAAGGAGCTGGGCACCGACTGTGTCGACCTCCTGTACCTGCACGCCGCCGTATGCCTGGCCCTTTCAACCTTCTCTGCCCTGCCCTGCCCTGCCCTGCCTCTCCCCGCTGATGATGCTTCCAGGACCGCGCAACGCCCTTCGCAGAGACCCTCGAGGCCCTCGACAAGCTGCACAGGCAGGGCAAGTTCGTGCGGCTGGGCATCTCCAACTTCACCGCCTTCGAGGTGGCCGAGATCTGCCTGACGGCAAAGTACAACGGCTGGGTGCGCCCCACCGTCTACCAGGGCATGTACAACGCAATCACCCGCTCCATCGAGGCCGAGCTGGTCCTCGCCTGCCGCCGCTACGGCCTCGACATTGTCGTCTACAACCCCATCGCCGGCGGCCTCTTCTCGGGCAAGATCAGGTCCAAGGACTTCACCCCGGCCGAGGGCCGCTTCAGCGACACCGCAAACAGCGGCAAGATGTACCGCGGCCGCTACTTCCGCGACTCCACCTTCAACGCCCTGCAGCTCGTCGAGAAGGCCGTCGAGCCCCACGGCCTGTCCCTCGTCGAGACCGCCCTGCGCTGGGTCGTCCACCACTCCCAGCTGAAAGTAAAGGACGGCAACGACGGCATCATCATCGGCGTCTCCAGCATCGACCAGCTGGCCAACAACCTCGACAACATCGAGAAGGGGCCCCTGCCAGACGACGTCGTCAGCGCCCTCGACGAGGCCTGGAAGATCTCAAAGGTCGACAGCGTGCCCTACTGGCACGGCGAGGTCAAGTACCACTACGACCCCAAGCAGGTCTTGTTCGCCCCCGGCGCAAAATGAGCTTGCCTGGAATGCGGACATGCCGCCGCTTTCGCAGTGAATCACTGCCAATGAGGTCACCCGCCGAGAATCCAGAGGCTCTGCTGCTCTGCTGTCACCCTCCGGGGTTTTGGCGCGACGGTGATTCCAATCAAGATAGAAAATGCCGTACTTGCTAGCCTTCTTCCTCATCGAGTACGGCTGGCCGACGTATAGGACCAGTCTAGCTGCACAAGTCTGAGATGGACGGCATCCCTCCTGTGCGCGTCACGGCCGGACTCGCGTGACTGAAGACATCCTATTTGGAGTCTTCTCATCGGTGTCACTGCTAGGTCCGTAGCCAGTATTCAATATGACTCACGCGGAGGTCCTGCTCATTCCCAGATCCAGGCTTTCCACCCGACTTCTCGAAGCCCCGTGCTGCATCCCGCAGCTTCTCGGCCTGTCTCGGCCAGACATTGCTCTGCCAGTGATGTGTCAGATTCTCCTCATTTTCTCTCCACATGATCACAAAAGAGGAGGGGTTCACGGCGCTGAATTACATCTTCTACGGTGTCCTTCATGACGTAGCGGGTAATGGTGACTTGTTCCGTCTGTCCCAGTCTCTGCGCTCGTCCAGAGGCCTGTTGCTCTAGTTGCGGGTTCCACTGCGGCTCGAGAAGGTAAATCCTCGACGCAACCGCCAGGTCGAGTCTGGTAATAGCAATAACGAGTCAGTCAAGGCTGCTCTTGGCCTTGACGGCTGTGCGATGCCGGCAAGAATAATTTTCGCAACTCGCAACTCACCCAACTGCTCCAGTCCCTAGCGTCATCAGTAGTATGTGGGCATTGCCAGCAGGTCGAAATTCATCCAGGATGCGCCGTCTTTCGTTCAGCGGGAGTGCGCCGTGAATGACATAGAACCCCAGCCCACGGGCTGCAAGAAGCTGGCCGACGAGATCGAGCGTCGACTTCCAGAAGGAGAAGACAATACTAGTGCCAGGGCATGTGTCAGCTAGACCTGCTGGACGCACTTCTGCCTGTGTTTCATTTGTGCCCAGGAGCGCTCCTGTTCACTCACCTTTTGACAGCCACCTGCGCCTTGATATCTTCCACGAAGGCACACAGCTTGGACGGATATGGTGGGCCCTGTGACGAGTGACCAGCACCTGATGTATCCTGTGCTCCCAGCCCCCTCAAGTTCTGCAATACCCCTTGGATGCTTGAGCCGGTGTCTCCGTCGACACACCGCGGACACGATTTCTTTTTGCCGAAACCCGTGGCGCAGTCCCTGCAGGCAAGATGCGAACACGGCTCCAAGGGGCAGCCCCCATCTGTGTCGGGGACGCTGCTTATAGAGTAGATGGTGCATGAGCACAGGACGCACGACGCTTGTCCGATTTGTTGCAGGCAGCTAAGCACCTCGTCGGCATCGAATGGCATCTTGGACGCGCCGCGGCCCATGAAGCCGTTGTTGCAGAAAAGCCGCAGCTTCAGTATCCCCTGTAGCATACGTGTGCTCTCTCCTCTGGTTGTATGCCCACTGATATCCATGTCAATGTGCATTCGGAGCTGGTCCAGCAACTCCACATAGTCTCGCCTCTCGGCTGGGCCAAGTGACAAGATCCGTGTCTGGACGACGGTATCAGACATGCCAGCCACATCCTTGGTCCGCCTGAGGCAGATCGATTCCGCCCTTGATATCCATCGAGTACTGTCGTCTCACACCGATAATGGTGTGCTGGTAACTGTCACGGAAGTTCCCCGGTCTCACGCGTGCAAAAGAAATCCGGTCCTTCCATCTGGTAGCTGTGAACAAGATTTCTCAGGGTTCGGCTGACTACAACTCGCTGGCATTTATTCATGCATGTGCGTATAGAGCATTTCAACTTCCTCTTTTAGCTTCGATTGTAATGAGACAGCTGCAGCTTTTTTGCTCAAGATAGCATGATGGGATGGCGAGCTGAGAACATTGCTCGTCTCTGTAGGTGCGTCACCTTGCTCGGGTACCGGCGTTGCAAGACTATTGGAATCCACTCCGCGCGCGTTCATATCGGTCTTCGTCTCAATCTTAAACTTTGGACTCTTTCGAACCGGGCCCATGCCCAAAAATTCCCGAACGTGAAGGAAATGTGGATTGTAGTATGTGGACTGTTCCACGCCACAGATCGGCTGTTGTGACTGAATCCCGAAGCTGGACAAAATGTCCCTGGCCTTTCAGCCGTCTTCTCTCTTCCCGTAGACGTTTCTGTCCACGTTGATAGTGCTCGCGGACTTGGCACAGGCTGCGAGAAACTGTCATCGGCCGATGAGCCCTTCAAGGCGTAGCCCATCTACCTCAACGAGCTGATGCATGTATTGGGAGGCTGTTTTGTTCAAGCCGGAAAAGATGTCACCGTGTGCACAGAGTCCGTAGACCAGGCCATCAAATGCATGGGAGATGACGGAATAGCAGTGGAATGGCGGGAGCCCCCTAGCCTCATTCTCAGCTCCAGGCCATTGTCGCATTCGATTCGTCAAGTCGACTGTCTATTGCTGTGACTTGGTAGCCAGTTGTCATCAGTCTTGGAGGCCTCATATTACCGTACCATAGCACGTGGAAGATACTGTTTCGGCCGATTCGTTGGGCAAAGAACCCCCCACTTGATTTGCGTCATGGTCCTCGCTTGATTTTGACAGCAGTCGCTTGCGCTTGAGTGATTTGTTGCGGCCTTCCATCGTGTCTAAGTAGGACCTAGGAAGAATTCATCCGCGTTCTTCTGTCTATTCCGAACCTCAAAGATATCCGGAATAACGTTACCAGGCTATGTTTTGCTTTATGGAAGGAACTCCCTCTGCGTTGATCTTGTATGAAACAAACCGCTGCAATGTTCACGGTGATCTGTTAGATCATTTTCAGTGATCTCACCTGTCGCCTTGTGCGTCCTCGTAGACCCCTACCTGGCGAACCTTTTCAAGTTGGGTATCTTTGAGCCGCACAATTCTGCACCAACAAGAATGCGAGAGTGAGACAGTCATCAACATACAACACAGCCCAGCAAGCACTTGGACCTCAGAAAGCAACATGTAAAGAGTTCAGAGGTATGATATCAGCAACAGATGTGTTTTGAGAATCTGCTCGTGCTGGTAGAGAATGGCATCAGAATGTGAAGGGGCCGTGGTAGGTTGAGGCGTGACTGAGCCCCTACCTAGGTACTGCACGACCTGGACAAGTGGCTAAGCGACCAACACATGGGCTCTCGGTGGCTGAGCTGCTTCGCTTCTGCAGAGCTGCTTCTCATGCACAAGGGACAAGGGATAAGGAACCAATGATATGCCAATGCCGTCCACCTTCTCAGCATGCTCAAGTCCATCGAGCCCTTGTGCACCGTTACAGGTGATGTAAACATGCTTGATGATGTTTGCTCTCTCTTCTTTAACTTTTTTTCTGTTCTTGATCTGCTAGGCAATGCTCAGCCGCTGCTTCTGCTCAGTAACTCCACTTGTATTTCAAACTCTTCGCAGAAGTCATGGCCAAAAGGGGACGTTTCCGAGATCCAAAATGGCTTCACTTCAGAATACCATGTTGGCTAAAGCACCTCTGATTCCCATTCCTCGCTGTTTGGTACGATTCTGCTGCTCCTGTCACCTGCCACTGTTCCTCCTCCGAATACACTCGTTCTTGATCACCGCGTCTCGAAGAAAACAAGCTGACTCATTATAGGCTGACTCTTGAATGCTTGTGGCCGTCAGGAGATGCCTGGTTTGTCTTCCTCACGCGTGAGTTCTGCGCTTGCCTAGGCCTCCTAGCCTGGTACCATGACAGTAATGATCTCCGTGAGATACCAACAAGCTCTCTTGCGGTTTTGTTTCCCAGAAGCTCGACAAAAGTATTGGCTTTATAGATTCTTTCCAATAATTCCCTCCGTCCCACGTCAGAAGTACTTGCTGATGCCCATTCCCAGTTGACCGATGCACCTTTACCGTCATTGTTGTCCAGGAGTCGATACTGTATGCCGAGTCGGAGGCAGGGGTCCTCTGAATTATGCCACTTGATATCGCCGAGAAATCGATGGGGGTGGGGAACTCCAGGCTTCGATAAGTCCACGCGAATTGCAAAGAGCGGCTTAGGACAGAAGACATTGCCCTTCGACGGCTTGACTGAGAATCTGATCAGACCGTGGGTGAGTCCCAATATCCTTGAGTCATTTTTGGCAGTGTTTGGGACTTTTGCTTCGAGCTTCAAGCCAGTTTCAGAGAGCATGGCTGCAAGCCGCGATCGCATGCCTAGACCGGGCCTCTCGCTCGGAGTGGACGGAGAAAGATGCTGCGTTGTTTCGTCATCATCCTCTAGGTAAGACTCTTCTTCATCAACGGCTAGCTCGGCATCCAAATCATTCACACCGATTCCCTCGTCAACAACCATGATCAGATTATTGAGACTTTGGACGATGTCGCCGCCCATGGTGTCATCATAGTCGTTGATAGCATCCTGAATATCAATCGCTTCTCCATCACCAAGGCGAGGGTCTTTACGCGCTTCTTGAAAAGTCTGGATAGCTGCCAGGTGTTTCTGGTAGACCCGCTCGAAGAGTGCCGCGGTCTTTTTGTAAGCTGTCTCGTCGAACTTTCCGCGATATCCAGGATAACCTTCATCACGGATAGATTTGAAACCGCGCGACTTGTGGCTTAAGATGACTCTTATCTGTAAAAGTGCAACCGTCAAATTACCCGCGGTCCGTTCAAGCTCTTCAATGTCTGCAACATCAACGAACCCTCGGTAATGTAACCAATCACGGTATACGATACCTAATGATGCAGTTGTAAGGGATTCAGCGCCTCCTGCCTCGCGACGGACTTGTGCCATCAAGGCTGCGTGGAAACATGCATTTTCCCAAACGTTGAACTTGATTCTCTCATCAGTGAGTGCACTTGTGAGACCAAATACATCCTTCAAACGTCTTGCTTGGGTGATGTTGCGAAGAGGATCCACGACCAATGGCTCAGGACTCTCAATAAACATCTTGGTAATGTCTCTACCAGATGTTAGAAACCCTTTTTGGTGGGAAACGGCTGTGCGGGAGGGGGTGTGTGCGTGACTGGGTACTCTGACTTGTTTTAATAAACGGGACACTTTAACCAGCCAAGTCCCAACCACCTTCAGCATACATAAATACTCAGAAAATACAAGGGTAGGGAGCAGAGTCGTGACAAAAAAAATACCAAAAGATAAAAAAAATTTCGCCAGAGTCGAGGTGTCGAAATTTTTTTTGATCTTTTGGTCTTTTTTATTATTATCACACAACAGGGCCACCCCCAGTGCAGAGGCAGTTGTCGGAGGTCAGAAGCAGAGTAAGAAGGAACGGGAGAAAGGACGAGCGGCGGGGTCACAAGCAAAACAAACCCCAACCCTACCTACCTAGGCCTAGGTAACCAAGTACCCTAAATACTCCGTAGACATCCACAGGCTGCTTGCACAACTACGTGCTGGGCTTGACCTTTTCCCACCCGGGTCCTCCACCGCTGCTGACCATGTCGAACAAGATCACGGGCAAGAACCTGCACTACGACCAGTCGCTGCCGCCCTTCCTCGCCCGGCTCAAGGGCCAGCACGCCGTCGACTCCGACTCGCCCGACCCGATCCTGGCCTCGCGCCGCCGACAGGCCAAGCCGCGCTCCGCCAGCCAGGACGCCGAGGACGCGCCCCTCATCGTCGATGACGATGGCAACGTCCTCTCCGGTGTGGAGGTCTCTGCCGATGGCACCGTCACCGCCAACCAAGAGGCGGGGTCAGGCGCTGGTGGCGACAGGGACGGGGACAACAGGGAGACAGACGGGGCCAGGGACGGCGGCTTAGAGGGCAAGGGCGCCGGTGCCAGGCGGAAGGACAAGGTCGCCACGATCGGGGGCTCCAAGAAGAGGAAGCTCGGCAAGGTGGTGGGCGCCGATGCCGAGGACGATAAGCAGGAGAACCATGACGTCACGAAACAGGAGAAGGACAGCCCGGGGGAGCATCCGCATCCCATGACCAACAACAAAGCTGCCACAAAGGACAAGGTCACGGGGCCGGTCAAGGCGAAGAAGAAGGCAAAGAAGATCAAGCTGAGCTTTGGCGACGATGACGGCGACTGAGAGAAGCCCCTGCTAGCGAGTGAGCTTCACATCATATCACTTTGCAACAAGCCAGCCAAGGCATAGCCGAGGGACGGTACCAGGCTGATGGGCCCGTTGAAGGCAGGCCCGAGGCAGCTTCTAGGCTCCGAGCTCTGCCTCTCGCCCTCAGCCCCGGGCACTGACCTACTCTGCCTCGTCACTCGGTCGGTCGGCAGAAGAATGTACCCTACCCACACTGCGTTGAACGGAGCCGACAGCCATCCGGGCTCTCTTGCGGCCTATCAAAACTGGGTAGTTCAGTGCACCTTGTGCGGGCGTGAGACCCAGACGAGGCGAAGTTCATCGGATTGAACGGGGGACCGCATGCGCGGCTGTCGACATCGGCAGGAAAAAAAAGACTTCTATACACCTCCCGCAAAGACTATGTATTCTACAAGGCCCTTTTCCCAACGTTCCCGGCCTGCTGAATATCTCCTGAATCGCTCGCCTCCATTCTCTAGTGCATGTCATCTCTTGAAAAGGTATGTGTCGTCTGCTGTCCATCGGACCAACGGCGGTACCGCCAGACCGGGTCAGGCCAGGCCAGGCCAGGCCAGGCCAGGCTACGCCTAGTAGTACTCGGGCTTGACGAAGTCGGAGAAGTTCTTGGGCTCCTCGTGGCCGTGGTGGTCGTGGCCGTGGCCGTGGTGGTCGTCCTGGGCGCCGACGTACTCCATCTTGTAGACGCTGCCGCACTCGGGGCAGCGCTCGATGGGGCGGTCGCGGGTGATCTAGATGGTGGCAGTTGCGCATTAGCACTCGTTCGTTCCCGACTGCACGCGTCTGTCCGGCGCACTCTCCAGCATTGCTATAGTAAAAGTAGGGCTAGTGGTGGTGGTTGTGGTTGGTGGTGGACGTACGGTCAGCCAGATGACTCCGTGAGAGTCGACAGGGTAGCCGGTGCAACCGGCGTACTGCTCCTCGCCGGCGGAGCGAACCAGGATGGGCTCCTTCAGAGTTCCTTTCCGCGAGGCATCCAGGGGCTTCATGTCGAAGATGTCAACACCCTCCATCTTGCCCAGAATCTCCAGACGCTCAACACCAGTGGACTGCTCCAGGTCGGTGGGGACGGTGCCGGGCTGGGCACCGGGTCCCACAAGGTCGTCGATGGTCTTGACGTCTGTAGTTGCACATCAGTCAGCTGGGGTGTTCTTGGCTGCTTCCACCCGCGTCCTGTTCCGCCACGATGGCCCGCGAGCCGTGGTCAAGCCAATTGGCAAATAATAGCTGCGTGTGACGGGGAGGCAGCAGGGAGAATTGTGGCAGCGTACCGGACAGTGTCTGCGAGGGCTTCTCGGACTTGGCGGGAGTGCTGTTGTGGGCGTTTTCTGCAGATGGAATCATGTCATGTCAGCCACGTATGAACCGGTCATGCTGGAAGCCCAATGCAGGGTAGAGCAAGGCGATGCAGAGGCATGAGCATCCTGTCGCCAGCCAGCAAGCTGGGTGCGATGACGCAGGTACCAATTGCGGAGCTCTAGCCTCGCCATCGCAGCAGGCCGGGGCGGACTCACGGCGGATCATCGAGGTCGCAAAGGTGCGTCGCAGGGCGGGTGCGACGGCGGCCCGTCGAGCGACGGCCACGGCAGAGCGTTGCAGAAACATGGCGGGCGGGCGGTCGGTCAATCGGCAGGTAAGGCGAGGTGGGTGGAGTGGAGAGGGCCTCGTCGAGCTCGGTGGTGGTGGTGGTAATGGTTTTGTCGAGGGCTCGTCAATGCTCGGAGGAGAGGGATTTCGGCAACCAACGAATGGCCTGATGGGCGGGCCCCGGTCTGCTGCACTGTCAAATCACCAGTCAGGCAAATCAGAGCCAGCTTTGCCTTGCTGCTCTTGGTTGCGCAGGAAGGGGGTTGGGGTTGGCACTCTTAGATTTGCGCGGGGGAAGGGGGGGTTGCGGTCAGCTGGCGGCTGGTGAGTGAAGGAGCTGTACTCCGTACCAGTCACGTGGAGGCGAGGCTTTCTGCCAATGTTCTTTTGAAGGCTACCTGGTTGTATCCGAAGTGAATTGTCTCCTATCTCTCCGTATTTGATCCCGTTTCTCTCCACCACAGACTGCCGAACCCTTCTTCTCCAGTATCGTCGAAGGCGATCGATCCATTGGTTTTTTTTTTTTTTTTTTGAGTGGGATAACCACTTGACGGGCCAAATACTTCATATCTAACCGTCTCGCTGCGCTCACTGAAAGATCGGTGTGCTGGCCAGCTTGACTGAGCTTCAATTGAGTCCCCTCCCCCTTTCCATTTTCGTGTTAATTCCCCCCATGCATGTTTTTACGCCCAATTCGACTTAGACGATCGGATCCAGTCGGCCGATTCCACTTCTCGATTCTTGATTCTTTGTGATTCACTTCTGTGCCCAAACTTTCGGGTACCTTCCCTCCATCACGCCTCCCTCACATTCCGAGCAGCAGCCTCGCCATCTTACCACACAGCTTGCCGAGCAGGGAAGGTTGAGGCACGACATCAGTCTCGGGCCTGGTGTCCAAGATGCACTCTGTTGGGAAGTCTAGACCGAAGAGCTCAGATTCTGAAGTCTCATCAGTGACAGTGGTTGTAGACTGCGTTGCTGCTGAGGAGGAGAAGATGTACATCGACGGAGGTAGGTTTGGGTCTTGGCCGCCGAGGCCATCGTGCGATATTCTGGTTCGCTTGACGTGCTCCTCACTGGATTATTGTTAGCCCTGCTCTCAGGTCGGTGCCTTTGGCTGGCCAAGTCGGGACTGGAACATACCGTTCGGGCCGCGGGCTGCGGCGGCGCTGGTTGGAAGACCTTGGGCTGGGGCTGCCGTCACGGGCGTGATATCCGTGACGACCAAAGTTGCTCCCATGGCCCGGGCCAGCTGCAAGCGTGGCGCCAATGTCGGCCAGGTCAAACTTGGGAATGTAGTCGCCGGTTGTGTCGCGCTCCATGCCTCCGAAGCTGCTGCCCATGCGGACCCCCGAGAACAAGCTGGGCGTGGCCTGCTCAGCCAAGCTGCTGCGCATAAGGCTCAGTTCCTCCTCGACAAGGTCGAGACGGGCATTTGTGATCCGGAGCTGCAGGTCGGTCTCTTTGTTGACGTCACGCAGGGAGAGGATCATGCGGTGCTGGGCGAGGGTGAGCTTAATCAGCTCCGGAAGGATGGCATCTCCTTCAAGGTGGTCGGGGTCGCTACCGCTGTCGCTGTCTTGGTCGTCGTCCGTGTTGTTGTTTTGTCGCTTCTGCTTGGCCAATCCGTGGTACTTCCGCTGTGTTGGCTCGTCACAGTAGTTGTGGATGATGTTGCGGAAGAAAGACGTCATCTCGTCAGTGGCCCCGATGTTTCCCATGTTTGTGCCGTGCTGAATGTCTCGAGATGGCTCATCAATGGGAGTGAAGCCGGCTTGGTCGTCGACCGAGCACGATTTGAGCGTGGTGCGAGGCTGGTTGCCCCACAGCTTGGAGTTGACGTCGGGCGCCATCACGGGCAGGTCCGAGGTGTGAGCTTGGGTTCGGTGCGACCGAGTGAGCGACGCTGCTTGTGGCCGAGTGTCCAGGCAGGTAGGTTATGGGCAGTCAAGGCCGAGAGCGGATTCGCGAAGAATGACCTGAAATTGGTAAGTGCGTGTTTTCCTTGAGAGAAGGGGACGGCTGAACTCGGTCGAGGTCGGGTTAGGGGTCAGATCGAAGTTGAGGCAGAAGGTAGAAGGTCTGAACGTGATGGCCCTTCTGGGAGGAAAGCTGGAACTACCCAGGTACCTAGGTGGAGGTGAAAGTCAAGACGGAAGGAAGGTGGTGGTCGGGTGCCCACTGCCGGGCAGGTACGGGCTAGGTACCTGGAAATGTACTTCCATGGATGGACTCCAAGATAAATCTCGACATCATCAGCCCTGCCCTCTGAGGATGCACCAGCCGGTTTTCCCTCCCATGGGTTCTTCTGGGGACAGCTCTTCTCAACAGACACACACACTACAATCACACCGACCACCACCCACCGCTCCATGCGCCGCACACCACCACCTTGTCTGTTTTCTTGACGACCTATTCACCGGTGGATTCAAGTATGGCACCCGCGTGCCGTCGTGCCACATCACCTTGGTCTTGACCCTGGCTGGCTGCTCGAGGAGACAGGAGACAGGGGAAACAGGAAGCCATAGTGCCAGGTATACCCAACCCACCACCGGGGCAGTCCCCATGCGTACCTCATACTTGTCCAGCTCGGAATAGATGGTTGAATGTGTTGAGTGAACCTTCTTGCATTTTTGCCGCTTCCTTTTGAAACCCGCTTATGCTGGATATGAAATGATGCTTACAGCTGAGATACAACCAGATGGCAGGCCTTGCAATCGAGCTGAGACGAAGAGCATGGCTTCATCCGCGCCTGGTCCTCGATATTCCACCTGCCAACGGCAACCTTGGTCTGGGAATAAATGCTACTTCTACAGTGGCAGGAGCCCCTCTCACCTCGCACCCCATGGGATACCGTCCAAGTCATCCATGTAGTCCTCAAAGTGGTCGCCACCATGCCCTCCGTCTCCCTCGCCAGCAGACCCTTGAGTGTCGCCGGTGCCTTCGCTCTCGTCCGCCTCGTCAACGCAATCTCCTCCACCGAAGATGGCGCCGAAGTCAGTATATACCTCGTCAGACTCGTTCTCCAGGAAATCATCCGAGTAGTCCGTCGCCGGGAAGCTGAGCTCGTCGTCGTCCAGCCCGTCGCCATCGGCATGACCGCGCAGTGCCGAAAGCTCGGGCGACCTCAGAGGCTTCAGCCCCGGTGATGTTCGCCCCGGTGATGCCCGCCCCGCCCCCCGCGGCCCTGCGTGCTTGGGGGGACTGCTCGGCGGCGACCAGCGGGCAGCCGCCCCAGTGGTTTTCGTCGCCGAGGGAAAGCTCAGGGGGCTGGTGGTGACCGGCGGCTGAGCAGCACTCGGGGAGGACAGCATGGTCGACCTGTTTGACGTGAGGCCTGTATGCCCGGTTTGGTCCTGTGCTGACGGGCTGAGAGGCGTGTGCTGCCTCGCGGCATTCGGCTTCGCCACAAAACCTACACCATGCAAACCAGACCCGGCCCTCAGCAGCGCAGCGCTGGCCGTCAGCTGAAGGTCAGTCCTGTCGCCTCTTTGGCGGGCCTCGTCGCACACCCGGATCCTGAAACTGTTCATGATGGCTGCCCGCCGTACCATTTCTGCCGGCGCAAGGTGGTGGATGCTGTTCGCGGGGACGACGGTGGCGACCTGGGCGGCTGCCACTGCCGGGCCCGAGCTCCAGTCAGCAAGGGGCGGGGTCGGCACAACGACGGTCGTGAGCTTTCTGGCCGCCGCCGCCGCCGCCATCTTGAGGAAGCGTTTGGCTCCAGCTGCAGCCTCCCGGTTCAAGATGTGGGTGGCTGGCGACGAGTACGGCCGCGACAGCCTCGAGGTGATGAGATGACGACGTAGGCGGCGCTTCTTGCAGCCAAGGGAACCCGTATGAGGGCCGTCAACATCGTGGAGGGCTCTTCGTCTCTTGGGGGCGGGACGAGTCAGGTCTGGTGGTCGCTCTGGCGGCGTAAATGCAAGGCGTCCCTGCGGTCGACATGATGGCAAAGGAGACGAGGGCGCTGACAAGAACAGGGGCGAGGCACTCTCCGGTGAAGGGGGGCGTGAGTGCCCTGACGAGGACGTCTTGAGGGCAGAAGCAGGATCTTGGAGACCTTGGAGGTCGGCTTGTATTGCCATTGGCGGGGTTGGCTGTGACGGCTGATGGTCCCCCGGGAATTCGCTGTCGCAACGGAGGGGCGAGACCGCCCTCGCACGGGTCCCGACCTGTCTCTGACGATGATGGCCTCGATAGAAGTTTGCCTGAATCAAGCCATGGATGGAGACAGCCATGTCTTGGTTCCTCGCACGCACCTGGCGCAGACAAGTAGGATATAGCTGGACTACAGCACTGGAAGCCCACCGCCGATGCCGCAGTACACGCTTCTTTCCAGACGTGACAGACAAGGACACGCTTCTGCGAGCTTTAGCAGTGTACTCAGCCCTTGGCGCGTAGTTGGCATGTGGACCTGAATGTTGAAGGATATTGCGTGTGGGTGATGGATCAGGGCCGTACGGTCAATGTGGTCCAGGAAGTGCCCGGGTTCATCAATGACGGCGGGACATGATTGTAAGATGGCGCCGCCGTCGTCCAAGTCCAAGGCGACAGGTAAGCAGGACGTTCTGGTCCGTCCAAGCGAGACAATAGACTGTTTAGGAAAGAGAATCCTAAAGGGTAGCTGAGTTCGGCACGTGGGTCAGGTGCACGAAAGAGGCGCCAAAGGTCACCCTCGTTTCCTTCCAGCATAGATCGGCCCCCTCCGAGTAGGTGTGAGAGAGGAAATCTGGGGAGGATGCGCTAAGATAATATGCCTCGTCCCGGAGACGGAGGAGTCAAGGTGAAGTTAAGTCCAGTCCCAAGGGCTGAGGGAGCGAGTGGCAAAAGCAGAATACTCAGCTCAGCACAGCGCAACCCAACTCGGCACAACCAACTCAGCACTACACAACACGACCCAGGAGTCGCCCATGGAAGGGGGTGTGAGGGGGAAGGCGGCGCTTGCCCAAGCTCTGGATCTGTCCTCCTGCAAGCGTTGAGGACAGGAGGAGATGGGACGGGATGGAGGTTGCAAGGGTGTCCAAAGCACAGGTACCATTGCTGCCAACTAACAAGAATTGATCATGCGAGGATCCGGGGAGGCTGCATGTCAGTGTGCGTCCCCCACCGCAGGGGGGAAGGAAGGCGGGGGGGGGGTAGGCAATGTACGGGAAGGGAGTGTGACATGACCAAAAGTCGGGGAAGTGAAGAGGAGGACGTGAGTGGTCCGGACCAGGAGAACACAGGCTAGGTATGCAGGAAGGATGGATGGATGGACGGACGGATGGTAGTCTACCTCCAACCCCGTAATGTTGATGCTGTATTTAATTACTCTATTTTGCTGTTAGTGTGTGTAGGCGCACAGATGCACCAAAGAGCGAAGGTGAGGCCACGCGGTTGAGACGTGTAGGCTAGACCACATGTGCCCCCGCCGTGCCAGGTGCCCGTCTGTGATTGGGACTGTCCTGTCCTCACTCAGCTCGCTTGACGGTCGAGCTGACTGGTGCTGACGGGGTAATATGTGTGCGCAGTCTAGGGATGCGCGTGCACACGAGGTAGTCGAGACATGATTTGTTGCCACCACATCGGGGCAACCAGTCCAAGTTCAACCGAGTCCAAGTCGGCAGGTTCGTGCATCGCTCTGGGGAGAGTGTTCCCACGAGCCCTGGAGCGAGGTTTTCCAGGTGTGTGTCTGGGGTGATAAGGAGGAAGAATACCAAGCAGATTTATTGACAGGGTTTGGGGGGAGGGGCTGGCGACTGGTGGTCTCCTCTGGCAAAAGAAACTGCGCCCTTGCTCGGCCGGGCCAGACGATGTCTTCCAATTCGATAGAGGCTCGGTCACGCGGCACTCGGGGGGGAAGAGAGCTATTCCAGGCAAGGTTCTCGGCGTCGACCCGGTTTGGCCGGGTCTGGCTTTTTGGGCGGCCGGGCCTGGACGAGTCTGACTGCAGGCGTGCATTAGCCCATGCGTGGAGTCCATGTATGGAAGAATCCATGCGCCCTTGGGCCGCTTCCATGCAGATCAAGAAATCGGGCAGCCTCGCTTTTGCTCATACCACACATGTACTTTGGATACACACCAAAGCCATGCTTTCCCGTAGGCAGATCCCCGTGGGGCGTGCTTGACACCTGCAAGTAGCCGTTTCCTGCAGCCTGGTGGTATACGTACATATACTGTAGTACACAAAGCACGGCACGTCCAGTCGACATGCACATCAAGAGAGGGGAGAAGGGAAGAGGGGGGAACGATGAGAGACCAGCCAAATTGACAAGCACTCTATCTGCTCTCGCTACTCGCCCTGCTGAGCTGACATGAGTCGAGACGATCCAAGAGCAGATAGTCTACCAAGTGATTGCCAAAGCCTGAACCGTAAGGTGACATTGTCATTGAGTTGTAGCGTGTGCGATCAATCACTTCTCCAGTATCTGACCAAGCATGCTGCAGGCTTACATATGCCAGGTAGCGGACTGCGACGTATGTGTGCCCATCTCTAATCCCACAACCAGAGACCGCATGTCGGATATCCGCGGCACTGCCAGTTGACGAGACCTGCTCCAGCTAAACCGTGCCAGGCCCGCCAGCCGCCAGGTCAAACTGATTCATAGTTCAGGACCACACAAGAGGGCCCCGGGGCGCTTGTGACAGAAATCAAGACGCGGATCATCACTAACATGGCCATAGTGAGGCTCTGTTGGCGCCTGCAGCTGCCTGAATCGCACCTGTGAGGAAGCTCGGCAAAGCTCGACAACCGAACCGGGCAGGGGGCTATTGCACAACACGCTGTAGATGGTGCTCCGCCTAGACATTGCCCTCCGGTTTGAAGCCGTCGCACTTGGGTTTGTATTGGACTACATGTGCTGGTGATGCTCCCAACACAGCGGGCCACAGCCAAGCTGTGACCACACGGGCTGAGTGACCTCGAGATTGCTAGCATGTCGCCAATTGGCAGGGCGAAAAGTTCCAAGGGCTACGATTCAAGCTTCCGAGCACCACCGGGCCTTTGTGCATTAGCGAAAGACAAGGCTTGTCCAAAAGGAGGTAACTCGGTTCGGTCACATCCAATTCTCCCCTGTGCGGCTTATTATTTCGACGTTGGCCAACTCGCAGCTTTTCATCGGTCGTACCTTGGGCCCATCAGTGTTAGAGCGGAAGCTAATTAGTCTTCATATGCGTGTTCTCCACAATGCGTGGATATGAGCGACCAGTTGAGAGCTCTCTGTTGCTGGCTCTACCAGGTAACACCGGCCTCAGCGACAGAGTAACCCGTGGCCCCTTGTCAGGGAGCCTGGTGGTATTTAGATATGGGATATTTCGGGACAGGCCGTAGATCACGGCTTGGAAACAAAGCGTCGAACGCTCGCAGGCATTTACAATGAGCACCCAGGCTGTCCTCGGCAGGCCAGCTCCTCTGCCCGCCGGGAATGTCCCAGGTGCCCGTATTCCCTGTGCCGCTGTGAGAATCCGCTCAGCAGCAATGATTTCCACTCGGCAGAAATGTGTCGATTCTTCCCCGCTTGCGAGGGACACAGGTCCTGGTCCTACACCACTCACAGGAGTCGCCGGCGTGGTGAACATGGCAGGGCTCGACGTGAAAGGACAGGTCGAGGGGACCCAGAGACCTGTAGCCTTCGACAGCGCCGTGCAGGATCATGCTGTTCGGCCGAGGGCTTCCAAAAAAACAGGCAGGACGCGATTCCATGGCCTTTAGAGTTTTGAGGTGCGCTCAGCTCTCCGCCGGGAGAGCAGATCGTCCAACAGTGGACTCGTCGGACTCTTTGTTCAGCTTGCTGGCCCTGTCCTTGGCGATGTCCGCCATCGCCTGTGCGAAGCCGTTAGAGCATGACTTTACATGGCAGCAGCTGTCATTTGACTCACGGAAATAGCCTCCTTCTCCTCCTCTACCAGATCAGCCCGATCTATGCGCCTCCGCATGTCCTCCATAATCACGTCCCTGCCGCGCCCGTTGACGAAAACCACATAGCGCAGGCCTGGGAATCTTGCCTCGTACTCCCTGTTGAGGGCTGCCAAATTCTCTGCCTCTTCCTCGGCGGCGGCCTGCAGCTGGGCCTGCTCGGCGGCGCTCTGGCTGCTGTGCACCTTCTTCTCGCCCAGCCGAGGATGAGATCCTAGGATGGAGTGGAGGGGCTTCCGGGCATTGGGATCAGCGTGGACGCTCTGCGCGATGACGAGAAGCTGGTCGCGGATCGTGTCTACCAGTTCAGGGTAGGAGGCGAAGGTGATGGCGCGCAGGGTTGGAAGCGCGAGGGTGTGCAGGTCGTCGCTGGGCTCGAAGAGGAGGTCGAGGATGGCCATCAGTTCTGCATCGGGCAGGGTTGCGAGGCTGGTGACATCTGGGAGCGTTGGTGCCATGATGTCCTGCTGTGCTCTGATCCTCTGTTGTGGTAGAAGTTGTTCGCAACTCAGTACTCAATGGATGTGTTCAGCTCCCAAGTTGTGTGTTGCCTCTTATATCCAACAGCATTGGGGCTGCAGCGGCCTTGGAAGCAAAGCTGTAGCTACCTTGTATCTATAGCATCTCGGCATCCAATGTCGTCATGGCAGGTACCTTGATACTTCCACCTGACCCACCCGATACGGAGCCCAAATGCGGACGACAGGATTGGACACAGGCACGCGAGTAAGGACGAGCTAGCCATTCAGGTACGGAGTACGCACTGACCGGCCCCGAACATCTGGCGACAGCTGGCGGGAGCAGTTTGATCCCAAGCAGGCTTGGGTACGGGTACATTGATCAAGGTACTTCCCTTCAAGTACCGTCCCTGGTCTACCTCTGGCCGACCTTGCAAACGCGGCTGCAAAACCGTGCCAAACTCGATAAGTTCCAGCCTCGAGCTCCAGAAAAAGAACACCCATCGCATTGCATCGTCCACCCAGAGCCCACTGCTGGCCCTGACTCACCAGCGCATCCAGGAAAAGACAAGATGCTTTGTGCCAGTACGTACTGTTCAACCCTGCAGTCTCCATCTAGCCTGTCTCTTACAATCTACATGCGTCCTGGTCGAACGCCATCAACACAAGCTGACAAGCAACAGTCTCGGGGGAGGCTCCCGAGGAGCCTGTCGTTTCCAAGAAGACCGGCACTGTCTTCGAGAAGCGGCTGATCGAGAAGTACATCGAGGAGAACGGCAAGGACCCCATCACCGGCGACGAGCTCGATCCTGAAGACCTGCTGCCCATCCAGTCCGCCCGCGTCGTGCGGCCCCGAGCCCCCAACCTGACCTCGATTCCCGCGCTCCTATCCACCTTCCAGAACGAGTGGGATGCCCTCGCCCTCGAGACATTCAAGCTGAAGCAGCAGCTCTCACAAACCCGCGACGAGTTGGCAAATGCCCTCTACCAGCACGATGCAGCAGTCAGGGTCATCGCCCGCGTGACCAGGGAGCGCGACGAGGCCAGGGCGGCGCTGTCCAGGGTGACCGTGTCCGCTGGCTCCGGCTCCGCCTCTGGCGCAAACGGCGACGCGATGGCTGTAGACAACGAGACACTCCCCGAGGAGTTGGCCGCGCACGTGGACGAGACCCAAGCCAAGTATGTCACCTCATGTCACAATGATTACTACGCGCCTCCCCCGATTCTGACTTCGATGGAAATTACAGGTTGTCCAAGAGCCGCAAGAAGAGGCCGGTGCCCAGCGGCTGGGCCAGCTCCGACGAGATTGCGACCTTTGCACCACACGGCTGTCCGAGTCGCTGCCGGCCCCACAGGCGTCGTCCATCGGGCTGGAAGCAGGTTACGCGGCCGTGGGCGGCCTGAAGGGGGACGTGGCCATCTTCTCGACCACTGCAAGCACGCTGGAGCGGTCGCTCAAGGTGGATGAGCCCGTGACGGACACGCTGTGGAGCGGGTCCAAGCTCATGCTGGCCACCGCCAAGGGGTCAGTCAAGGTGTATGAGAAGGGCAGCGAGGTAGCGTCGTTCTCAGAACATGCAGGCGCAGCGACGGCGCTGTCGCTGCACCCGGGCGGCAACATCCTGGCGTCGGTGGGCACGGACAAGAGCTTCGTGCTGTACGACCTGTCGGCGCTGCGGCGGGTTAGCCGGGTGTACACGGACGCGCCGCTGACGAGGTGCGCGTTCCATCCGGATGGGCACTTGTTCGCGGCAGGGACGAGCACGGGAGAGATCAAGATGCTGCTGACCAAGACGGGCGAGGAGGCGGCGACGTTCTCGCTGGGGGCGCCGGTGGAGGGCCTCGCGTTCTCGGAGAACGGTACTGGATCGCGGCGACGGCCAAGGGCCAGACGACGGTGACGGTGTTTGACCTGCGCAAGGAGGGGGCGGCGGCGACGGCCAAGGTGCTGGAGGTGGGCAGCTCGGTGCAGAGGCTGGCGTGGGACTACACGGGCCAGTTCCTTGCCACGGCGGGGCCGTCCGGGGTGACGGTGCAGCAGTACTCCAAGGGCAGCAAGAAGTGGAGCGAGCTCCTGCAGAGCGCAACGCCGGCAGTCGGGCTGGGGTGGGGTGAGCAGGCGAAGGCGTTGGTTACGGTGAACGGAGACGGTGTCATCTCGGTCTTGGGGGCTCCTGATGAGGCTTAGGAAGGGTCATCCTCAGCCCCCGAGCGGGAGTAGGGGCCTGCATGCATCAAGGAGGAGTGTATCTGAGGAGGTTGTGGTGTGAGGACTACGGGCAGGGCCAGAGTGTACTTTATATCAAAAGAAAGAGAGACAGGGGCCCAGAGTGCACATGATACTTGGGCTGGATGGGTGGGATCCCAAGTACAGTGGCCGAACAAGAGCTCATCACACTACTTGCTGGAGCTTTAACTATGTTGTTGACAGGGCAGTATTTTTACGTATTATGGGCATGTTCTCAATGAGGGGCATATACGTCCTACCGTGTTGCTACTGCGAGATGGTAATGAGGATATGGCTTCCGGGGTTGTCCTGATGCATATGGGAGCGAAGGTACTGAGGTACATAGCCTTTAGCCTCTGGCAAACTTGTGGCAAACAGACCCACCTGACAGGTCCCCGTCGGCTGCTCCCGTTCCTGGAGAGGTAGCACGCGATCCGTGCTGATGCTTTCTTTGGGTTGAAAGAGAGTCAATAAATCCAAACGCAACAGAACATGGAAAAATGGAAAAGGAGAGAGAAGGAGTAAGGAAATGGAAAAGAAAAAATAAGAGAGGAGAATAGTGAGCAGTAACAACAGAGAAAGGACTTTAGAAGCAAGAGTTTGAGCTGCTCGCAGCTGGGCGCAGGGTGACCAGCCACAGTGTCACACAGAGCACATTCAATCCTGGTCCGGCTCAAACTCTTTTCCCCCAGGGAGGTCAATCAGCTGTGCGTATGCTGTGCCTGCTGTATTACAGAGTCATGGGAGAAAGAGAAAGCTGTGCAGGCTGACCGGCTGGTTGACATGCTCTTTCCCCATCACCCACCTCCCAAGCTCTAGGTCTAGCTCCAGCTCCAGCTCCAGACTCCAGACTCCAAACTCCAGACTCACACAAACGGTGGGCCCTATGTGTTTGTATTCATCTGCCCTTCGCCCTGACCTGCTCTCCGTTTCCCATTGACTTGTCATCGGGCTTGAATTTCCTTTTTTCATTTCCCTCCTCTCCTTTTCCTTCTTGCAGCAGCTGCTTTTCCTGCCTCCTCAATAAAGCAAGAAAGACGGACACGCAGACAAAGGAGACGGAGCAGAAACAGCAACAAAAAAAAGGATGCTTTGACCTGGGCCTCCCAGTATGAATAGATCACCGTTAGCCTTGGACCTTGGGGCCCCGCCGCCGTATCGCCCCGTTCTAAGAGGCGACTACTTCCTGCTGCAGCAGCAGCACGGCGGCGACGGCAGCGACGTGCACGAAAACCATTTCGAGGACTATTTCGGGGGCGAGTTCGCGAACGACCTCCAGCTTCCGGACCTTCCCCTTGGCTCGTCGCAGTCGCCCTCTGCTGGCTCCGCGCGCTCTGCCTTGTCCTCTGACGACGTTGATCTCCCAGTCTCGGTTTCGAGTGGTAGCGACGTGCGTCCTGACCACGACTTTGACCACGGCTACGACTACGACGGCGACGGCGACGGCGACAGCGACAGCCAGCGGCCATCAGCAGCCTCGCCGCCGTCCCCTTCCCGCTCTGTGCCATTCGCCCTCTCCCTCTCCGTCTCGCCGTTGTTGTCCGCGTCTGCCTCGCCTGACTCGGCGTCAGACCTGGAAGTGGGTGCAGACCCAAGGCTGGCTTCTGCTTCTGACTCTGAGTCTGGCCCTGCTTCTGATCCTGATCCTAGTCCTGCTGGCCCTGGTTTTGATTCCGATTTCGACCTCGACTCGGGCCAAGACACAGAAACAGCGGGCCCAGGCTCGAGTCCCTCTTCACCTAACCCAGACCCACTTCTCGATCGGCCCCGTCACCACTTGCAGTCTAACGACATTAACATACACAACTTTGGGCTCTACTGGCACGGCTTGCCACCCCGTCCTGCCCGGCCCGCCCGTGCGAGCCTGACACCAGACATCCACCCGAACCGCCGACTTCCTGCGCCTCCTGCCCACCACCACCATCACCACCATCACCACCACCAAGCCTTCGCCTTGAACGACCGCCCTTCTCCTCGCCCTCTTCGCCACCCCGCCCACCCCGACAATCACCCTTCTTCTCCACTCGCCAACCGCCGCCAATCTCACCCTCGCGCCGAACATCACCCTGTTTCTCAACCGCGCCATCAGCCTCCGTCTCGAAACCCAAATGTCGTCCGCCCACGAGCCGACCCCGCCGGCCACAATCGACAGTCTCAGCGTCCCCATCGCCACAGTCACTCACGACAGCAGGCGGCATTGGTAGAATTCCAAAATCTCCAAGACCAGCACGAAGAGGCCCACGAGGACGCCCACCACCACAACAACGAGGACCAGGACGATTTTCCGCTGCGGGAACATCTACGCCTTCGGAGGGCTCGCAGGGCTGCACGGGTCGCCAGGGAGGCTGGACGACCGCGCCCAGCGAGAGGCAACTGGTGGTCATTCAGGCCAGCAAGGAGGACAGCTGCAGAAGACTTCCACGAGTCAGGCCAGGAGGACTTGGACCATAGTGACAGTATGGATCACGACGATGAGCTCATTGAGGTGGTGTACCAGGGCCCAGTTGCTGCCCCTCCAACTCCCCCGCGCCGACAACAAAGACATTCCAGGCCGCAGAGACAGCAGCGTCACCACCACCACAACCACCACCAGGGCCGGAACCTGATGGAAGTCGACCTGGATCTCGACCTGGACTTGGACATGGACCAGCATGTCCCTGTGATTGATCTGACAGAAGAGCCCGACAGCCCTGAATTGCAACGACACCGACCTATCAACATCCTCCGCCACAACAGCCACAACCACAACCACGGCCACAACCACAGCCATAACCACATTCACATCTTTGACGACGAGGAGGAGGAGGAAGAAGACGGTGGCATTGCGCTGTACCAGCCCCCCAGAAACCCACGAAGGCACATGTCGCAGAATGGACGCATGCCATCCCTCAACCGCAGCGACGGCAGCATCCTTAATGGGAATGCTGCCGTCATCGACCTCACACTAGATTCACCAGACGACAACATCCCCGCCGACCGCCGGTTACCTCCCCCTCAGGCTGCTGCACAACTGAACCAGCCTGCAAACCGCAACCACCGTCGCCTGCCAGCCCCTGCTTCTCCTGCTCCTGCTGCTGCCGGCGCTGCTCCCGCACATCGAGCCCAGTACCACGACTTTGGCCGTCACCTAATAGGATCGATCCGTGGTCTGCTCCCAGGCCTCCTCGCCCAGGCCGTCAACAATCCCCGAGAAGCCGGCGACGTCCAGTTTGTTGGAGCCGTGCCCGCCTTTCCAATGAACCCCAACCCCCTCGCAGGCAACCCGCCCGAGTTCAACTACCAGGCTAACGGCTTTGGTGGCTACGGCGGGCGGCAGCCCACGCCCAAGCCTGACTTCCAGGCCCCACCGCCTTCGAGGCCTGGCTTCACCCGCGACACACGCCCCGACGGAGGCGAAACCGGCGCCGACGAGGAGCTGGTCGTCGTCTGCCCCAGCTGTGACAACGAGCTAAAGTACTCACCCGATGACGAGGACGACAGCCCACGGCCGGCAAAGAGACCTCGGGGCAAGAAGAGCCAGGAGGAGCACCACTTCTGGGCTGTCAAGAACTGTGGCCATGTACGTTTGCGCCTTGTTGATTTTCGTCCCATCTTTCCTGGACACCACCATTCCCACCACCACTACTAGGCGCTTGCTAACCGGGAGGCTCCTCCCCTCTACTAGGTCTACTGCAAGAATTGCTACGATAACCGCAAGAAGCACAGCAAGGGCAAGGACTCGGCGGCTGCCAAGACAGGCTTCCGCTTCCAGCCCAGCGAGACATCCAAGTCGATCAAGATCTTTTGCGCCGTGGACGACTGCGAGTCCGAGGTGTCCCCCAACGCTGCCTGGGTCGGCATCTTCATGTGAGCAGCTGGCTCTCCAGCAGCCACCCGAAGGAGGGCGTGGCTCGGCACGGCATGCTTGGGACTGTGCCACGGCGGGACACCGCAACAACAGCCACAATCCTGGCTTTCTTGTTTTGTTTGACTATCTGTATATTCACAGACTGCCCTGACTCATCCACCTGCACGGCGTTGGGGAACAGAAACCTTGCATTTGAGGAGCTCTTACAGGCTCTCACAGGCGGCAAGGAGGGAGGTACACATGCCACATTTTCGCAAAAGGGCGGGTGTCCATAACAGATGAGACGGACCATGGAGGAGAGAACATGGCCCAGCCTGCGCCTCTACATGTCTGCATGGGCTAAAGGTCATGCGTGCTGCATCATTGGAAGGCTTTAATAGGGCTTTCCGTATCCGCAGGTCATCAAGCTTAATTCACGTGCGGTGCTTCTCGACGGGCCGGTGTCCGTCTCATACATGGTGAATCTGCTTGCAGGCTGGGACTGTGACTAAGCCCTATGTCTAAGTGATGTTGTTCTCGGAACCTGGCTAAAGTCGTCGGTCCATGCGGGAGTATGGGGCCTTGAACCCCCTTTTCCTGAATAGCCAGACCTGACCTTCTTTGTATTGAGGTGGTCATGATCTCCACATGGTCTACAACGGCAGAGCTGCCGTCCCCGTTTCTTCTTTCCATAACACTTACAGCCCTTGCTCTCAAGCTTGCATCCAATACCTTATCCATGCTCATATCCCAACATCGGCCACGGCTGGGCTTCCATCATGACCGCCCCGGGAGGTCTCTGTGACCAGGGAGTGAGCACGTCCTCATTCATGCCGAGATGTCTTCGAAAGGTACCGTCACAGCAATCTGGTCTTGCCTATTACCGGCCCCAACGGTGGGAATTGGTGCATCGTGTGTCCACAAGAAGCAATGGAGAACTGGTGGCCATTCCTGAGCACAGTCATCCTCTGCAGCCCCACGAGTCAATTTGCACCAAGCAGTAGCCAAGAAAAGAGAAGTCCATGGTCTCAAGCCCTCGACCCGCGGGTCTAGGCTGGTTTGGACCAACTGCGATGACCAACTCGGGCAACCAGCTCTGTTCCACATCACCACCGCTCTCTACTTCGTGCAGTCGGTGGATGGGCCTTTGAGAATTCATACATGTAGAGCTACGGGCAACGTGGCCTTCAGATTCAAGGAATATGACTGTGTATCTAATATTTAATGACCTCATGTGTGAGTACTACCTGGGCTCTCTGCCAATGGCCATATGGATGCCCACCTCGCGTAGATCGTTCAGGTGCTGCCTCCATATCTACAACTCTCGACTGGTCGAATCTGCCTTTAGTGAGCCTTACTTGTCATTATCATTCCTCCGCACCTCCCAAGCTCAGCACCTGACACGGTAGGCCACCAGTGACCTGCCACTCGACCTCCACAAGGGACGTTTGAGCGCTGCTTGGTCTCTCGGGAATTTGACACAGGCTTTGCACGCGTATGCAACTGCCTGTACCTTCTGGACTTTACGGTCCAGATTGAGGACTTCGAACTTGATTCTGTCGAGTCACATCACCGGCACAGCAGGCCACACATGAAATTATAGGGACATCAAGTCTATATCGAGGGTGGTGACACACCGCAAAACGTGGACCTGGGTCTTGTCCCATCATCCACATCTTCTCTCAGCCGCACAAGGTATATAATTGATATACGTATCTCTGAGGTCGATGCGGAGGCATATTTGGCCCGCTCAAGTCTTGTCCGCCTCGACCTCGGGAACTGCCACTGTTGAGCTCGATGTGGCCAGAGGCTGGCAGTCCCCGCTCGCTCGCTCTGGAGGGGAATGCTCGGAAGTCGTTGGAGTGGTGTTAGCTGACGGGCGGCTGCCAGTTCCGCCCTGGCTGCCCCCCGGGGAGCTCACTGGGCCCTGGGGGGAGAGCAGCATGTCTATTAGCGTCTCGACAGGTGTTGATGTGTGGCCATGTACTTCCACCTGCATGTCCTTTCGCGGGTTGAGGACTGCCGGCCACGTCTCTGAGTCCAGCAGTGTCATTTTGGGCTTCACGTCGGTGAATTCTTGGCTCGCCCTCTCGGAAACCTTCCTGATCTTGTTGTGCAAGCGGTGCATCATGGCCTCTGCCTTGTGGTCACCCGCCTCCCTGGCCATGGTGGCCATCTCCATCGTTCTGGCCATCATCCTCTCAAGAACCCTCAGCGCTATCTTGCGAGGCATCACGGTTATGTGGAGGTTGGCCTTGAGTGCGATGCGGCTGGCTTGGAGGGATGCCTTCTTCAGCCAGAAGCGCCGGCGAAGGACCAGTCCGTCACGGCAGCGGCTCGGAATGTCGGGAGCCTTTGCATACTTCATGGCAGTCATGGTTGGAGCCGAAGCGGTGTCGCCACTAGGGACCTGCTTGGGATCCAGGCCGAGCGCCTCACACAGGCGGGTTCGTGAGTCTCTGAGTTGTTTGGCCACCGTTTTTGCAAGGCTCGAGAACTCTCTCGCAGCGTCGGTGAGATTCCATCGACGTTCCGCCATGGCTGCATTGGAGAGGCCAGCCTCCTTGCTCGTCCTCACGCAGGCTTGCCGACGGTTCTGGAACTCGGCAAGCCGGTTCTGGAGGCTCTCTAGCCTTCCATCCACGTCATCGCAGATTCTGGCGACGCCCAAGTGTTGACGGGTGGTGAGCGGATATTTGCTTTCCATGGCCCTGGACTCATCGTCTCGAGACATGTCGTCGCTCGATGTGTTCCTGTTAGAGGATCCGTCCTCTTCATCTCTGAGGCCACAGCCCTCATGGAACCTGGCTTGCTCCGGTATCCTCCAGGCCATGTACGTTTTTCGTAAATGCGGCAGAAGGTTACGGTTCCTCACTCCTTCGAGAAATGAATACACACTCAGGACATAGTTGAAGTCGCCCAGCGGTTGCCAAAAGTCCTTGATGGCTTCGTTGACGAGACTGTCTTGCCAGCTCCTAGCCTGTCGTTGTGCAAAACACCATCGCTTCCACATCTGACCAAAGCCTGTTACTGTTTGTTGCCAGCGTGCAACTCGTGTCTCGTGGAACTCGTCGCACCATCGCCCGACAGTGGCCATATCGAATGTGGGAGCCCCCCTCCCAATATCGCCTGCCGAGTGTTGGAATTCTCCTCCGTTGGACGTACACGTCGACCATCGTCGCGGCTGTGGCCGGCCCCCTGAGGTTAAAGTGTAGCATGCGGACTGTGTACCAAGCCAAGATCGGCATCTTCCCAAATTCGGTCGGTTGAGACTGCGACTGTCCTGATCGAATGGGCCACAGGCTGGGCTATGCTCTTGCTGTGCTAGGGGGCTGGCGTCTATGCGTGACAGAGCATATGTCTTCATCTCCAAGCCTGATAGTCGTTCGGCTGGCGGTACCTCTGGGCTTTCTACCCTTATGTAGGGCCCCTCATCACGGTGGATTCCCTCGGCAGCTGGTAGGCTCTCAAGCGTCTGTCGCGAAGCTGCCCCGGGGTTAGGAAATTGAGTCGGGACAGCCTCTGTTTCTGGCACTGTTGGTGCTGCGTGCACCATTGTGGTAATTCGCACCAGCTTGTCGTTTGCACTTGAATATTGCTTGAGCTGGTTTAAGTTGGAGAAGAGGAACATTGGGAGCATTCAAGATTCAGGAATGGGATTTGTGTGAACTCTCGCCAACTTGTGGCGGAACTAAGTAAGCGCTGGTACGTTCGGTGCATCTTGACGGTCTTGTAAGGCCACAAGTCATTTGATCTTGTGACTTGGGCAAAACCGTTGAACCTCAGTCAGCCGGAGGCCGTTTGGTCTGCCGCCAGTTGTCTGTAGCGGCCACGCGCGAGGGCCCCTGATGACACACCGAGCGCAGCCAAGACAAGTAGCAGACGTTGGTGAATGCTGAGTGAACATCGACGTCGACGGTGACTTGTACATTGAGGCTGACAGTCAGATCGACTACACTCGAGCAAAGGCCCGGAATCCGCCATGCATGCCTTTGTTGACGCATTTTCCTACAAGACGCCAAGATCCTCTCTCCTGCTCTTTGAAGCCAGGTCTAGATATGGAGCCTCTCCTAGAGAACATACTCTATCACCTGCACGGGCCTCGACGTAATCGTAAGTAGCGCAGTGCCACATGCTCCTGTTGTCCCAGATAGCCAGGTCGTTCTTGCGCCACTTGAAGCGGACCTGGGCATCGTGATTCTGCGTGACCAAGTTGAAGAGGTAGCCGAGGATCACGTCGGACTCGTCCTTGGTGACGCCGTTGATGCGTTTGGTGAATCCTCGGTTGACGTAAACGGACTTCCAGCCCGTCACGGCTAGATTGAACAGACCATGTCAGTCACGGCCAAAACATCGCATCTCACATGTCTCTCCTCGGGCTTGTTTGTACTGGGCGAGTATGGCACCGTTTTGTAACAGCCCATCCATACATCTGCGCGCCTAGAGAAGCGGACTGGGCGGGTGACTTACGATTTGTGCGGATGACGGGGTGCACCGCTGTTAGGCCATCGCCCTGATTCAGGGGATTCCCCCTGGTGCTCTTCCTCAACGGGTTGCCTAGCCGTTCGGCCTCCTGTAGGAAGAATTTGGCATCATGCGTGGCCGTCAAGCCCTCGAGCATTTTCTGCATTGGCGGCGACAGCCTGTCGTAAGCCTCGTAGCCCGAGGCCCAGAGGGTGTCACCTCCCGTGGGCGGCAGCGTGTGGATCTTGAGCATCGCATAGTCCGAGGGCACTGGCTCAAAGGTGATGTCGCTGTGCCAGCCCGCAGAAGCGAACCTGCTCGCGTCCGAGAGCTGATGGGTCAGGCCGCCCCCCTTCTTCTGCTTCTCACTGCTGATGACGGAGATCTGGTCGCCGAGTTCGCTGCCCTCTTCGGTGAGGGGATGCACATGGAGGCCAGATGATTCGGGCTGGTCTCGGTGTTAGTCTCCGCATGACACGGCTCTTCCTGTAGGCGTGAGGCTGAAGGGAGGGGGCCCCAGCACTCACACAGCCAGCCAGCTCTGTTATCCTCAACATCAAATCCTTCATCTCTGTTGGCGTGACGTCTTGGTCGCGAAGGAAAACCACGCCCCGTTCGGAGACTGAAGGGACAAGAGACACCGGGTCAGCCATGCTCGGAAAATGCCGAGACACCCCCATGGGCTTTGGTGAGGCTCACTCGTGACGGCAAGGTCCCTTATCATGTCATCGCCCCATTTGAGCAGGTCTCTCACTTGAAGGCCTTCGTACTCCCGGCCAATAACGGGAGTTATCTCTTGGTGCGTGAAGTTGTCCAACGTGCCGGCGTATCTCAGGGGTTCGAGCAGACGAGGACGGGCCTGCGCGTTGCCACCAAAGAACTGGCCGTCGAGCTGCTGCTCATTCGCGGGAAGGTCCACAGAAGGCATGATATCGGTTTGTCGTCAAGGGCTTCGTGGGTGGTAGGGGAGAGTACCGCAGTAACCAACAAACAAGAACTGGTGTTAATGGTGGAAGTGATCCCAGGGAGTGTGTTGAACTACGGTTACGGGGCGGCACCAGCAGTCGCTGGAAGTTCAACAGGCATTGGCTGGGTACTTATTCCTACGTTGATGGCCAACAGTGGTCTGAGGTGTGCCCGGCCAGGTTGGACTGCCGGGGAAATCGGCTGATGAGAGTGAGCATACCCGCTTGGCCGACCAGGACAAGGCCGGTGCCGCTGTGGTGGTGCAAGTACTCGCGGTGATCCATGGGAGGAGACGGACATGTCACCCCTGGCATGCCAGCGTCAGGCGGCCAATCTCTGCCGCAGATGACTCGCCAGGAGTGCGACACGCGTGGCGAGGGGCGGAGAAAATATCGGACTTGCACAGGGTGAGAGCGATCGCGCAATCTGGCTCCGGGGTGAGTAAATGCGGCGGCCCCCCACAAAACGAGCCAAGTGCCCCGACGTTGCATTCGTTCAAAGTTCCGGAACTCCCATGTCGGTCCGCCGAGTCGGGCATGGCCCTGACCAAAAGGGCCTAGCAGCAGGGCGCGACGGGCTACTCGTCAAGCACACTTTCCCGCCGTCAAGCCGTAGTCTGCCAGTCTGCGTCCTCCCTGTGAGAAAGAAAGGCCAGATGCCTTGGCTCTCTCCGGCGTGTCTGGGCCAAGCAACGGCAAAGCTAGGTACATGTCCATCGTGCCCTGGTGGGTCAGACTGGACATTCTGACAGGCGACGTGATGTGCCTTGCCCATGTCGCTTGCCCTGGCATCTCCGGGGGCGAGCCCGTGGCCAATTGGTGGCCCGACGGAATCCTGTATCAACCCCAGCGTCCGTACCACTACATAAGTATCGCCTCGGGCCTTGGGTAAGTCGTGGGCCGGGGCTTTGACATCCTCGCTCCAGTAACACTCCTCGGCCAACTCCAAGAAGACGTCGCCCTCGCGTCCAAAGGGGACATCACCTTCAACAATTCTTGTCCTGCGGGTCTGCCTTGCACGATGGACACCAAGGACGTCGAGTCCTCCCCGACCAGGACAGTCAGTGCTGCCGGCTCCGTCTCGACGGCCAATGTCGGCCGCGATGCGCTCGCCGGCGTGACGCCTCCGCACGAGAGTTACGAGGGCAGGCACCGCTTCGACCCAACAGCAAAGTGGACCGACGACGAAGAGCGCCGGGTCGTGCGCAAGACAGACATACGCCTGCTCTCGGCCCTCTGTGTCATGTTCTTCGGCCTGCAGCTCGACCGTGGCAACCTGTCCAACGCTCTGGCCGACAACCTGCTGGATGACCTCAACCTCTCGACCGACGACTACAACAACGGCACCACGATCCAGCTCCTGTGCTTCCTGGCCGCCGAGTTCCCTGCCCAGGTCCTCATCAAGCGCTACGGCTTCAAATACATCCTGCCCACCATGATGTTCCTCTGGGGGACAGTCTCATGGGCTCAAGCGTGGATGACTGGCCGCACCTCCTTCTACATCACTCGCGCCTTCATCGGAATGTGCGAAGGTGGTTTCATACGTAGGTCAACCTTGGGGGCTGTTTCTCGCCCCTCGCACTTCGATCCCATGTCGTGAGCCGCGGTCCTCTCTTGAGAGTATCGAGAGAGTATCATGCTCCCGCCTGGCTCTCTCCTGACTGTCCTGTCGTAGCAATTGCTGACTCTCTCGTTGCCGACCAGCGGGCACAATCCTCTTTGCCACGTACTTCTACAAATCGAAAGAGTTGTCCCTGCGGCTGGCCGCCTTCTGGTCCACCCTCAATATTGCGCGGGTCATCTCTGCCTTGCTAGCAGCAGGAATCCTTGAGATGCGAGGCATCGGAGGCAAACCTGGGTGGTTCTGGCTCTTCTTGCTTGAGGGTCTGCTGACCTGCGTCATTGCCGTCGTGGCGTTCCTATACCTCCCAACCTCTCCTGTGTCAACCAAGGGACCCCTCTGGCGGAAGCCCTGGTACACGGAGCGCGAAGAGGTCATCATGGTCAACGTAAGTCGCATCGCGCCCCAGACCAGGCACTAGACTAACACCAGGCCGACACAGCGGATCTTGCGTGACGACCCGGCAAAGGGCCTCACGGCGATCAAGGAGCCTGTTGCCTGGAAAGATGTGCGCGAGGCGTGGACAGACAAGTCCATGTGGGGACTATACTTTGTTGGCCTGGTCGCTTATATCCCCGCCACTCCCGTGCAGTCATACCTGACCTTGACCCTCAAGAGGCTCGGGTTCTCCACTTTCAACTCCAACATGTTGACCATCCCTTCGGCGGTCCTCCAGATCATCACCATGCTGTCGCTGGCATTCAGCAGCGATTACTTCAACGAGCGGGCGTTCCACGCCTTCTTCGGCGAGTTCTGGATCATGCCCTTGCTGATTGCAATGCTGACGATTCCGGACGGGGGCCGGGACTGGGGCCGCTTCTCGCTCGTCACCTTGATCTCGGGGTACCCGTATTTCCACCCCATCATCTCAAGTTGGCTTTCCGAGAACACCTTCGACGTGAAGAAGCGCGCCATCACCGCGGCGACTTACAACGTGATCGTACAGATTGGGAGCCTTGTCGGGTCGCAGATCTATAGGAAATGGGATTCACCGTACTACAAGCACGGCAATGCGGTCCTGCTGGCCATCTGTGTGCTGTCGCTGGCCTCGATCTTGGTGCAGCGGCAGGTCTTGATATACTTGAACAGGAAGAAGGAGAGGCAGTGGCAGACGATGAGCGCTGAGGAGATGGCTGCGTACCAGAGCAACACGGAGGCGAGGGAGAGTGAAGGGAACAAAAGGCTGGACTTCCGTTTCGTGTATTGAGAGCACATACCCACCCGTATTTTTCGTCCAGTTCATTCTTGCGGCCGAGACAAATCGCGTTCGGGATGTGTACCAATGCCACAAGAGCCAAAGTGATATAATAAGCCAAGAGCCTCATTTGGAGCGTCCTTTGTGTCCCGCCCCGAAGCCATTTAGATGGCCTCTCACTGGCGCACTGGGGGCTGCCTTCCGTCGACGGGGCATCGGCGACAAGCTCGCCAATGTCACAAGGCGGGTGGGTCCAAGGACGACCCACAACAGAACGGCACTAATGCATGACTCTATGGTGGAGTGAAATGGCGCAAGAACAGGACCCGCTCTGGAATCTGGGGTAACCGGGTCCAGCGGGTCGATCTCGAAGGGCCTCGGAGCCAACCCCCGTCCAGCCATCCAATTGCTTGCTGGTGCTGGGCGAGCACTCTTTGTCTCTCTGTTCAACCTCTCAGCGAGCCGACCATTGCCAGGCATCTCATCGCTGCTCCGGATCACGACATTGCCAACGAGACCCGGCTGACTGGTACGGCCAGGTCGGACGAAACATAGGGACGGCCCGCGGACATGACGCAGTAGATCATCGGGTCCCTGCATTGCACAGTGCTGGCGTGCTGCTTTGCTTGCACATGCTCGCCGTCCTCGAGAGAACCCAGCAAGTGGGTCGACACGCTGCAGACTCAACAGAGACAGCATGTCTGCCCTGCCACGACGCAAGATCGGCAGCCGGGCCTGTGACGGCTGCAAGATTCGCAAAGTGAGATGTACTGAAGAGCCACCCTGCGCACGATGCTCTTCCATCGGAATCGCGTGTACCTTCAACAAGCGCCAGGCAACGAGGGGCCCCCGCAGCCTGAGAGCCAAGACCCTGCAGGAAATACAGAACTCCCAGAACCTCAAGGAGGGCCAGAGCTCGTGTGGTAACAACAGCACCAACACTGATAGCCTGGTGGACGATCTGCCTGCCAAAGGGACCTCACCCGTGGGTCAGAGCCCGCCCGGCGGAGAGCCATCTCTTGTGCCAGGCAGAGACGGCGGATCCAGCGGCCTCCAAAGGACCCCTGTGTCGTCCCTGATCATTCGACTGTGTATTTACCGCCTCCGCCTCTTCCCAGTGTGGCCCATCCTCGATGCTGAAGACGTCATATCGTCGCTTCTCAGGGATCCCACAGATCTTGGGACCTACGCACTTGCCAACGCCGTGTGCGCAGCAGTGATAGTCCAGCTCAAGCTACCTTTCGAAGGAAGGACAGACGACAATGATCCAGCGACAGCTGCGTCCATGACTGCCGAGTGTCAAAGAACGAAGTTGCTCTTGCGGGACGCAAATGGAGACGACGGCCCCGATGCGGGCCTGGCTATGGTTCAAATAGCCTTCTTCCAACACATTTACCATGAGAACCAGAGCCCAGGGGGCACCAAGAGCCTGCTGTTTCTTCGGGAGGCCATCACCATGGCACAGATCATGGGGCTGCATAGAAAGGCATCGTATGTCCTGCTGGCCCCAGAGGAGCAGCAGATGAGACGTCGCATCCTGTGGTTGCTTTTCGTCACGGAGAGGGGCGTAGCCGTGCTACACAAACTCCCCGTTGTTCTGAAGTGGCAGGCCAGCTTCCCGCCGCTCGTGGACAGGGCCAACGTCGAGGTCGACGAGGCGCAAATCCTGCCGGCGTTCAAGAAGCTTGTCGACCTTTTCTGGCTGTTCGATCAGAGTGGTGCCTTCGACCTGCTCACGCAGGCTGACGATGACACCGAGACATATCAGGAGAGCCGACTGGAGTATCTCCAGCACCGCCTGCAAGAGATATCGTCAGATGGGTATGAAGGCAACGATGTGCAGAGGGCCGACATATGCGTTACCAAGTGCTGGATGCAAGCAGTGGTCTGGCGAGCGTCGTTGCGGCGGTCCAAGGCGGCCATGTTCTCCGAGCGTGAAAGTCATGTTTCACAGCCGTACCGCATCGTGGCCGACTTTCTATCGCACATCTGCCACTGTTCCAAGACGGCACTTGAGGCCCATGGGCCAACCATAGAGCTCAAGATCTTTGAGATTGCCAGTGCGCTCACTGAGTACATATACACGCTCACGACGGGCGCGGATATGGCACGGAATCTCAACAGTACGGACGCACGACCTGTGGAGATGCTTGTTAAGCTACAGCGGCTGCTTGCCTCGTCACGCGGTGGCAACAAGACTCTTCTGACCTTGTTGTGTGCGAGGATAGCGGAGGTGGAGAGCGTCGGTCCGTGCGACCTGGTGTGGAACCCACATATAGAGACATGCGAGGCTGACGACGGCAACGTCGGTGACGGGTCCTTCGAGACGGACCTGCAAGCTCCAAGGAGAGTGCCCAACTCGGCGTACTTGGGCTTGGAGACAATGGCGAGGCTGAATGATCCTCTGCGCGTGCAACTACCAATGTGGACCGATTTCCGGCAAGAGCCGAGCCAGCGTGTACTTGATGTTGCTGCTACTGAGGAAACTATAGCCACCATGTTGATGGCACAGCCCGCAAATGAGTCGTGGGATGAATGGGCTGCAGGCTTCGCTGACATGAGTCATTGTGTACTGTAGTGAGATTGGGCAGGTTTACCATACTCTTGAGGCGCCAGATGAATGACGAGTAAATTTGCCTGGTGTTTCATAAATTCGAGGGTGAGCAGGGGGAGAAGTATGCGTATGCGCGGCTTGATCCTCGGAATGTGGATTCACGATGCTAAGTGTTGAAAACGCCGGTTCGGGCTGCCGCATTGAGCCGCCGCTCCACCGGTCCAGCAATGCCGAGAATTTCTCCGCCCATCAATCGATGACCTACTAGGTCGACCAAACTCTTCGCTGCATCATCTCGAGAACGAGTCCGACAACTCGTCACTGGTTTACCTAGAAGCCCTTCAAAAATATCGAAAACCGCCTCAATCGGAGCTCTCAAGATGGCCTGGGAAGAACCTCGAAAGACCGGGATGGCCTACAGAAGGCTAGGTATGAAGGATGGTATTCCAAGTAGCCGGCGAGACACCAAGTTCTGACGCGATGTAGGCAATTCGGGTTTGCATGTGTCCGTACTTGGGTTGGGAGGATGGCTCACGTACGTATCCCCAAGCCATGGCCGAGATGGAGGTTGCGTCCGGGATGTGCTGACGGCGTCATCAGCTTCGGCGGGCAGCTTGAGAATGGTGCGTCTGGAACCGTCCCAGGGATCCCGGTGGCCAGTAGACACTGACGTTGGGGCCAGAGGGCACCTTTGCGTGCATGAAGCAGGCTTATGACCTGGGCATCAACTTCTTCGACACGGCTGAGAGGTGGGTTTCCGAGGCCTGCCACCAAAGGTGGGGGATTTGCCATTCTGACGCCGTCGCAGCTACGCCGGGGGCCAGTCCGAGGTGGCGATGGGCCAGGCGATCAAGAAGTTTGGATGGAAGCGCAATGACATTGTCGTGAGCACAAAACTCAACTGGGGAGGGGCCAACGGGGAGGTGCTCGTCAACAACCATGGCCTGTCACGCAAGCACATCATCGAGGGCCTCGGGGCGTCGCTCAAACGTCTGGATCTCGAGTATGTCGACATTGTCTACGCCCACCGGCCGGACCGTCTGACGCCGATGGAGGAGACCGTGCGGGCCTTCAACCACGTCATCGACCAGAAGGGATGGGCGATGTACTGGGGCACCAGCGAGTGGTCGGCGGATGAGATCGCAGAGGCGTGCGGGATTGCGAAGCAGCTGGGACTCATCGCGCCGGTGGTGGAGCAGCCTTTCTACAACATGCTTTCGAGGAAGAAGGTGGAGGGCGAGTTCCAGCGGCTCTACAGGCGGTTCGGCATTGGCCTGACAACGTTCAGCCCGATCAAGTTCGGGCTGCTGAGCGGCAAGTACGACGACAGCCCAGACAAGCCGCCGGCCGGGTCGAGGTTTGCCAAGGGCGACGACAAGTTTGTCAGCTCCGTCCGCGACTCGTTTGCGAATGCCGAGTGGCAGGACACGATTGCAAAGGCGAAGCAGCTGAAGGTGAGTGTCAACCCTCCGTTGATGATTCCGGTCCGTTTCGGATTCGATACCGAATCTAGCGGGCCCCTCCTCTGTCTGCTGCAGCTTGGGAAGAAGATAGCTAACAGACGGTCCTGGGAATCACCAGCCGATCGCGGACAAGCTGGGAATCACGCGGGCACAGCTGGCACTGGCATGGTGCCTGAAGAACGAGAACGTGTCGGCCGTCATCACGGGCGCTTCGAGACCAGAGCAGGTGGTGGAGAACTGTGCAGCCCTCAAGGCACTGGACAAGCTGACGCCAGAGGTGATGGCTGAGATTGACGACATTGTTGGTAAGGTTGATCTGGATCCGGCGAGGCAGGACTAGATATTGCTGCTCGTCACACGAGGCTGGAGGAGGAGGAGACATCACCAAGCCTTGAGATCTTGGGCATCATGAGCTGCCGAGTCCCGCTCGAGGGAAGTATGGTACATTGAAAGGCCCGGAGGAAGGCCTCGGAAACAATTGGGCCTGCTTCCTAGCCATGTACGGTAGATCTTTCGATTGCATGATGAGGCCTATACCCAGCAACAACACTGAATCTGAATGACAAAAAGATTGAGATGAAGATGGCAAGGGCGGGAAGGGAGCATTTGAGCACGTACATGAGTACAAGGATAGATACCTGGGTACCGGGGTACCTAGATACCCGAAAGGCTGCACGTGCTAGCGTGACAGCAGGGGTTGGAGCTCCAGCTCAGGACGCGTTTGTGGAGGGGGGGGATCCTCACACGTCCTGTCATGCCTCTCCTCTTCCGATCCCTTATATCCACAATCATACTATCACCAAGACAGCCAGACACAAAGAGATTGGCCTTCACATATCTACCGAAACTCACTGACCCGTGCAGGCCCAGTCAGATGAGCACCATGCCGCCATGGCACCCAAACAGAAGACCTTCGAGCTGATCCCAGACCTGCCTGGTCTCGCTCAAGCACAACAACGACCCGCTGATGCCGCCGCTGCTGTTCAGAGCAGACCACCCATGACCACTAAGCAGGCAAAGAAGCTCTACCGGCAGAAGAGCAAGGGCCCCAAACTCTCAAAGGCTGAACAACGGCGCATCGACCTCATGGAACAAGACCGCATACGCAAGGAGTTCGAGAAGGATAAGGCCCAGGCAAGGGCACGGACTGCACGGGACAAGAAGAAGGCAAAGGAGGACAAGGAAAAAGACGAGAAGAGGAAAAGGGGTCTGCCGCTAGTCGATGTCCACCCCAGTCAGGACACAATCTCGAGGTTCATCAGCAGGCTGGGCTTCGGGGGCAAGAACAACGCCCACTTGGAGACGGTCCAGGAAGCCGACTCGGAGTCCGCAACGGAGGTCGAATCCGATGCCGACTTCCAGAACGAGCCGTGCGAGGAGCGGGAAGGATACCACGTCCAAGATCACAACAGGAAAGCGCAGGGCAAGGAGAATGAAGACCCGGCGGACAACATCGGAGACTCGGCGGCCAGACCAGCCAAGCGACGGAAGCTCGGCCAGCCAAGCAGGAACTTGCTCGACAGGATGATACATATTCCTTCCCAGCGATCAGTCGGGGCCGTCGCAAGGGTTGCTCAGGAAATGGAGATGGAGTCCTGGTCACGGCCAAGCAGCGTCGACACCGATGATCCCGCCACCGAGGCCATGCTGGAGGATCAGCTCATAGCAGACGTCGAACTGGCCTCCTCCAAGAGTGCAACCAGATCAAGCCCGAATAGACAGAGCCCATCCAGAGAACCCCTGCAGTCCCGTGTCCAACCTCCATCACATGCTTCCCTCGCTCCCAGAGCTCCATCCCCGCCGCCGCCGCCGCGCCCTCAATCGCGACCTCAGCCTCCTAGACCACAGAAATTGCAAGGCCCTCAGCTACCAACCAGCACTCGAATTCCCCTGGGAGATGTCCCCCAAACAGGGAATCTCCGTGCTAAATCTAAACCAGTCGACGATGTCTTCAAGAAGCCGGCCTCACCGTTCGTCCTTGGAGGCAGACAAGAGCCTGCAACGAGATGCACGGTGGCTGCCAGGCCACCAGCTCCTCCCAGATTCAAACCACCTACTGGAGCTGTTGTTCCCCGATCCGGTAGGCCGAGATTCCTCCCAAAGCCAACCAATGCTGCACCCACACCAGCACCAGTGCAGGCTTCTCCTACTTACGCCGGCTCGAGGGGGTGCGCCTTCAAAGCAGCGGACGCTTTCCCCACAAGCACTCAGCTTTTGGTGATGAACCACGTGGACGACCTCTTCCCAACTCCCTCCCAGGAAGCACGGGAGCTTCATGAGGATCAGCAGCCGGCCAAGCCGGCCAAGATACCAACTGGACGGCCATCACTGCTTCACAAACCCCCATTACTCACTCACGAGCACGTCGATCATCACGACGGAAGACCATCAGCCGTGGCCCCCGGACGACCCACGCTGCTTCCTCAGGACCAGCCGAGCGGGAATACGCGGCCTGAGATCCCCTTCCTTGCAACACAAGATCTGATACTTTCTTCTCAGGACATAGCAGAACTGGACACGCCGAGCAAAGTGCGGTCGGACCCTGCATCCCGGACCCTGCATGTTGCCAGCCACGGGAACTCATTGCCTTTGCCTCCAGAAAGATTGGCCCTCCCATCCAACGAAAAGACACGAGTCGTTTCGGCAGTCCAAGCACCCAAAGACGCCACAAACGCAGCAAGAAACCCCTCTGCAGAAGTGATAGGTGTTGGTTTGGATTGCTGCCGTCTTCTTCCGACTTCTAGAAACGAATCTGGTGCCCGTGGCAAACCTCTGAGCCAGACGGTCAAGGAGGTTACACAATGCCCGACTCATGCACTCATACGTCCACGATCCCAGCGCCTTCAGGGGTCCAACAAAGGGCCTCCGCCTTCTCGACCGACCTTACAGCAGAACGCATCGTCCCCGCAAAAGCGAAGCGGCAAGCACGACGCTGCTGGTCGGGGTCAGTCGAATGAAGGCTTTGACAATCGCCCGCCGTCCCTGCATTGCTCCCACTCGGCAGCCAAACATTCACAAGCAAACTCACCCCCGGATGGTGGCAGTGCCGCACATCGGTCCCAGAAGGGCTCTGCCGTGCCACCGGCGTCGCCTCCGAAGAAGCGGATGTTTGGCTCCAGTGGACCGGGCGGTGAAGTCCTCGTTGCCATGGAGCGCAGCTACAAACAGAATTTGGCCGAGGAGCGGCGGCGCAAGGAAGAGCTCCGTGCGCAGGCTAGGAAGACCTCGGCTGAGGAACTTGCTGAACAAGATCTTTCCGAGATTCTTGAGGATGACCTTTTTGACGAAATTGGCCCTGGGGCTGTCCCGTCAGGAAATCCCCATGGATCTCCCGACGAACACGCCAGCGGTGACAGGTCCCCGGCTACCTCAAGACAACGCAGTCCCATTGGGATGGGCACAAATGCAGGGCCCAATGCCGTAGGCAAGGCATCAGAGACCCGGGCGGAGCCGGTGGCTTCGCAGGAGACAGATTACGGAGACTTTGACTTTGATGCCGGGGCAGAGCTCGACATGCTGGCCGATATTACGTGGGCCGACGATGACTTGAGCGACATATGACGGCATATAAGCAGTCATCGGCGAGCGAGGTGATGGTGAGTGCGGGCGTGTGATCATTATTTGAGCATAGCGAAGGCATGGGACGGCAGGAGGGAGGATCTGGGCTGCCATTGGGGCTAATAAGTCATGCATAGGTCTTTGTCAAGGTTCAACTTCGGGCGGCGGTGCCCGGCCGTGGGAGTGTTCCTTCCTGTCTATTGACAATGATCATCAAATAATCGTCCATGTTGTACAGGACTCTGCTGTTTGCGTTCTGGTGTATGGCAAGCCGGAGGGATCGTTGCATCGTCTGCATCGGCTCGGAACGGGCGTTCCCCAGCTGCACGGTGCTTACTACGTGGTGGTGTATGGTATGCTGGTGCTGACATGCAGCAGCCTTGGTGAGACGGGGCCGGGCGGTGTGTGGGGTGGGATGAAGATTGCATGCAATTTCCCATTGGCTGTGTCTTGGTTTCAGTCCGTGCCGGGGCTTGGTAGTCACTATGAGTCATTTTGGCTATTCCCAATCCAGGTGCGAAGGGAGGGGCTGAGCTGAGGCGGGTGGGCATGCGACAGCCCTCGGCATACCTTGACTGCACAAAGGATGGGAATGGGTGGTGGCATGGCGTGTGTCGCTCGCTCCATACTCAGTGGTGTCGGGAACGGTGGTGGTCTGTCTATAAATGACGACCACGGCCTCACCTAGCCTCTCCTGAATATGATTTCTTGCCTCTCAAGTCCAACCACCGGTTGATGGTATAACCTCAACCACACCGAATCAACCCCCCCCCCCTTTCTTCTCCTTAGGAGACTTCACGCCGGCCTCGACACTAGAGGCCGTCAAACACTATCGAACAATGGCAGCTGCAGCATCCTCATCTGCAGCGGCGGCGCGCCAGACCGCAAGGGCCGCCTTCCGACCTTCCCAGCAGTAGTTTCATCGACTACAGTCTCCATCAAGATCCCTCGGCGGCGGCAGGGCTCGGTCTCGATCCCTCGGGCTCGGACTTCCTGTCGCCACTGCTGTGGTCTGGCAACACCACTGGAGCTACTTATGCTGCCCAAGACCCTCTGTCGTTTGGGCAAGCCTGGGAACCGTCGGGAGATACCTTTACTTCTGCCGTGCCCCCCCTCGACCTGGACTTTACTTTTGGTGAGTTTGGCCCCATGTGTATGTATGCATGTATGAGTGGCAGCACGCTGACAAGTCATCGCAGACCCTGCCCTGATAGACGCCCTCCCGGAACCTACAGACATTCCAGATTTCTTCATTGACCCTCCACGCCACGTCAACGCCAGTCTTCATCCTCACATGCTGACATCACCCCAAACCCTTGAACCCATCACCACCACCGCCGCCCCAGCGGCCATTTCTGCCACTGCCACCACTGCTGCCGCTATTACCACCGCCGCCAACACCACCACTACTTCTTCCGGAAGCAAGTCACCAGCATCCTCTTTGTCCGACTACAGCCCGCGGCCTGTCGGCGCCAGCGGGGCTGGTCGACAGCCTGCCAAGCCGCACGACGACCCCGACGTCGTCCTCAAGCGCCAGCGCAACACCATCGCTGCGCGCAAGTACAGGCAGAAGCGCCTCGACCGGATCCAGGAGTTGGAGGACGCCTTGGAGGGTGTGACGCGGGAGAGGGACGACTTGAAGCTTCGGCTGGCAAGGCAAGAGGCTGAGACGGCGGCGCTTAAGGAGATGATGCGGATGAACTCTGGGCAAGACCGTGATAGAAATTGAATGTCTTCTGATCCTCACTGAAACGTTTCTCTCACCATCCTCTCGCCGAAATTGAAATGACGTGACACGGGTCAATTGTTACTGCTGCGAACAATTCGTCGCAGCAGCAGTCTATGCCTAATTACAGATTCACGTGAACACCACATGGTCATCCATCAGCCTGACTGCGATCTTGCGGCGCATCTACGGTGCAGGGGCCCGGTTAGCTTCGTCCAACTACCTAAGTATCTTGGCGGTCCGTCAGCTAATTGTAAACTCATGTCTGGCGATGATCGATGGTCAGGGGCAGGATGCTCAGACGATGTCGGCTCTTGACCAGTACTGTCTCTCAGTCTTGCTAGACTCATCTTCCTAAATGAGAAGCACGATCGGTATAGGGAACGAGAGTGTCATCTTGGCGGATGTGTTTGGACGGGTGAGGAAGTATGGCATCTTACCGTTGCAACCCAGATATTATTTGGTACGATTTTCAAGGCATCAGAATACTGCAAGGTCGACATGTTTGTTCCGGTTGCTTTGAAGGCCTCACTGGCATCTGGTGGCTTGGGACATACTTTTTATACTTTTCTCGTGGGTGATTTCCACTTGCACGCCCAGGGCACGCTACTAGTATTATGGCATATACAGGATGAGCGAGCATGATTCATATTGTATAACCTCGGGCAGATATCTTGTACTACTTCGGAATCAATTCTCCAAGACTTCTCCGCCTTTTGTCAGGCCATGTATCAGTTTTCAGTTTTCCTGGCGGCCTTTTAATAACGGCCTATGCATGTACGAATGCAGCTCTAGCATACCCAAGCCTTCGCAGGATGTTCAATTATGTTTCCTGTTCTTGGGAGGGAAAACTTTAAGAGGTGGACTAAGACCAAAAATGAAGCGCGGTCTATCCCTCCTGTGGCGCCGACTACTTTACTCGGGACATTTGCCATGTGGTGGCTGGCGTCCTGGCTCAGGGAGGCACCCCGTTCTATTGGCAAGCAGCAAGCTACCTAGGTACATGGGGAGTCATGCAGACCGGGCCCATTCAAGGTCAGTGATTATACTCCCCAAGATCAATAATGAAACTATAACTCATCCACTGGAGGGAGAAGGTGATGGGCTGCCCAGTACGTAGAGCATGATTACTACCGAAGTAGCTAGGTAAAGAGATCCGCAGCAATCCCCGGGGTATTCGGTATGAGCATTGTGACTCAGTTGGTGATTCTCGGATGGAATCTGACAGGTGACCTACCCATGTCTGGCCTATTCCAGTGTGCTGGGCCTTTTTGTTGCTGCCTTCTTGGTCAGCATGAGTGAGCGCAGGAGAGAAGCCCTGGGTAATGTCTGGGCTACCCATTGCATACCCAGGCATAGTTGCCCCCGTGTTTCCTGGGAAAAGAGAGATGTTGGCTGACTACCTTTTGTCCACCGTCCATTGCTACTACTTGCAAGTCAGCTTTATGTTGAGTCCATGTGGTGGTTTCTGGGTTGTCCTTCACTGTCGCAGCTACAGATCGAACGACAGGAAAGACCACGTCATGATGCCCCGTGGGCTTTTGCAAGCTCCCGGGCGGGCCGAGACGAGGCAATGGGCACAACTGGCGCTGTTCGCGAGAAATTCCGTCCGATGAGAGCTGTTTGATCAAGGCCGTCCCTCCCGTCTCTCTCGTCTCTCTTCACCCGCCCACGGGGCTCAACTGCATCGGTACAGTCCATCCCTCTTATCGGCTATCTGGTCTCGTTCCTGAGGGCGTGTGTCACTTGTTCCTGGCAGCTCGTGCTGTGACGGGAATTTCCCATGCCCCCACGTGTTTCGTGGACTGGACCTCAACCGCGCCTTCCTGCAAACCGCGCTCTCAACCACAAACAGCCTCCAAAGGATTGTCCTCGACGTCGTCTCATCCACAAACACACCCGAGATCGTGATCAGCTTTCCCATACTCAAACACCACCGACAGCTCACATTCTCACACAATGTCCTACACTGGAGTGGCTATTCTTGGCCTCATGCGGTAAGCTGCACCACACGGAATCCTCTCCCGATCAATGTTGCAGACACTTTCCAACCCCTGCCTCCCAAACGCGAAACACATGCGCTGGGAAAGGAGTCGCGATCGAGTCACCTCCAGCAAAACGGTAAAGGTCGTATCACCACAGCGCTGTGACCCTTATGTTGCGGTTTGCTCTGCTCCAAGCTGGCCTGAGAAGGGTCAACACTGTACCACAGCCACAGCCACAGGCACAGGCCATCACTCGCCGCCTTCCATCTACAGTCATCTGTTGGCAGTCAGCTGCAGGACCGTTGAGTATTGAGCCCTTGAACTCTAACTGACCTCCATCCTCGCAGGGCCTGGGGCGCTGCCGAGAACAAGGTCACGTCTGGCTACAACTCCAAGTACAAGCCTTTTCCCATCCCCGATGACCCTCTCTTCACCAGCAAGGATGTCTCTGTCGTTACCATCCTCCTGAGCCCTCCTAAGATCTTTGAGCTGTGCCTCAAGTCCTGGCTCAAGAACCAGCCCCGCGAGGTCATTCTTGTCACTACCTTTGACTACTGTAAGTACAACCCCAGGGGGGGGGCGCTGCAATTCCCACGCTCGCATTCCTGCACCGAGGAGGTCTCTGCCCAGGAGCCTGCAGGAAAAGCTGTTTTTGTGCCATCCATGTTGCACGAGGTTGACATTACCTAGTCCAGGCTGTCCTCTCAGCCCTCGAGTCCTACGACCTGACCACCGCGGACCGCGCCATCATCAAGGTCTTCCATCTCGATGAGGGCGTCAAGGGCCACCGCTTCCAGCAAGCCATGGGCTTCAAAGAGGCCACTGGCAAGATCATGGCTGTCACCGATGACCAGATCCTGTGGCCTGACAGCCTGCTGAAGAACTGTAAGCATGGCGATATGATAACCACGGCCACACCTGCTCAAGGACTCGCTGGCTGACTCCGCTGAACCTCGCAGTACTCCCGTGTTTCGAGGACCCCAAGGTCGGTGCCGCTGGCGGCCCAATCGGTGTTCAGATCCCCGAGGAGCGCCGTGACAAGAACATCGTCACGGCCTGGGAGGCTGCTGGTGCGTCTAAACCACTGTCTTCAGTATTCCCCTTGCCTACTTCCACAGCCAGCTGAAGCTGACACAACCCTCATGACAGGTGCCAAGTTCCTCTTCGGTGGCCGTGGTGGTGGTAGCGCCAGCTGGGTCGCATACAAGTGGACATGGTGCCTGGCAGGTTGCACCTGGCTGGCCCGTACACCCATCTTCCAGGACCCCGTATTCATCCATGCCCTCACCACCGAGACCTGGGCCGGTCGCACCCTGAACGCAGGATCCGACAACATAATCACTCGCTACCTGCTCCAGAATGACCATGTCATCGCTTACCAGAACACCGAGGATGCTACCGTCTGGCGCACTGTCAAGACAACTTCAACCATGCTTGACCAGCGCATTCGCTAGGAGCGGAACACGCTGCAGAACTTTTTGAGGTTTCTCACCGAGGTCCCCCAGACCTACCGCCACCCTTACATTCTCTATGTCACTTTGATGCGCCTGATCCGGGTCCCGATCGCCATCATTCACCTGGTTGGCTGGGCACTCGCCCTCAGGCATCACCCAGCCATTGCCTTGGGCTTCCTTACCTTCTATGTCCGCAGTATGGTCCCCACTTACCGCGCCTTCTGGGCCACATACCCTTACATGTTCAGTCTCCGCAACTTGCTGGCTGCTGTTGCCGTGGACTTCTCCCCCATTCCCATTGGTTTATGGGGCATCCTCACCATCAATACTGACAGCTGGGTTCACGGAGACGGCATCACCGCCAGGAAGCAGCCGGGTATCACCAAAATGGCCACCGAGAGACTCGAGGCCTTTGCTCAGGCCACCAGTGATGCTGCCGGTCAGGTCTTGGCTGGTGCGTGGGCATCCACTACCGCACACGCCCGCACTGCAAGCCAGGTGCAAGCCGCTGTTCTGTCCGGCGATCCCTGCCTCTCCAGCGGCATCCCCATGAAGCCGGGCCACATCGATGAGCAGAGCAAGGAGGCTCTTGTGACTCCCCACGGAGGAGGCCGAGCAGAGTGATGACATTGAGCCCAGGAATGAGCGGTGAGCACAGAGCAGAGGGGTCATGATTGTGATCTGTCTTGTGTTGTAGAGGCAACTTGTCCGGCGCATCCCAGCATCACTCGTCACCGTCTGACCGCACTTCATTTCACAGCCATTTACATGCATGACCTGATTTTCCTCAACATACCAAAAAGGACTGCGGATTGCAGTCTGGCCTGTCTCGACATCTAGCAACACTCTTCACTTTTCTTTCGCCGAAACCCTTTCATTCACGTGTGCTTTTTCTTACCCTTCCTTTTTCTTTCGTTTCAACTCCCCAGATTTGACATCGTCCGCTAGGAATCTCCTTCCGTTGTTTCAGTATCATCTTTCATTTTCGACCTTCTTATTTGCGGCGTCCATACTTGGAAGGATGACGGTACTCGGCCGTTGGAGAGCTCTGCGTGCGGGCAGGGACAGGTACGCACGGATGAGCGGACAGATCAACGGACAGTTCCAAGTAGGCCTGGTGGTGGACATGTTTTAAAGATTGTGCTACTCAAAGGCCCAAGATGTGGTTGTCATCCCTGGCAATTTGCGCAGGTATGGATATCCTTCTCCACGTTACGTGGAAAAGACCCGGCTTTTCTTTCGAGACGGAGCATTGAAGGGGGGAACACCTGGACTAGCTCTCTGGGTCAAAGCCCTGGATGCTGAGCTCGACGGCGAATGCTTTACACCAGGTTATTTTCTTCTTTTTTTCAAAACGTTGACTGAATCCCCAACCTTGCCGCATACGTGTGTGTTTCCACATGTCCATGTTCTCTTTACGATGCGACGATATGAATGGCACAAAGAATCTGAAAAACATGCGGGATGACTTGGTACTCGCTGGCCAAGGACACTGAACATTTATTCTAGGGCCACGCATCTCAGTAATGAAACTCATACCGTTGTGGCATTAAATACATTTACTAGAGACATGGCAACAGTGCTCGTTTGTTTGTTCCGCTCCACACCTGGTCCATTCCCTCACGGCCAGTACCCTAGCTGCCAGACTTACCCGACAGACAGTCAGATATGAATCTGTCTATTTATCCAAGGGGGTGGTGTTGGGATCCCAGCAGACAGGCTTGTACTCGGTGGTCTCAAGCTCCTTGACCTCTTCCGGGGTCAGGGCAAAGTCGTAGACCTCGGTGTTCTGCCTGATCCTCTCGGGCGTGACGCTCTTTGGCAGGGGGATGTAGCCCTTGTCCAGGGACCAGCGGATGAGCACCTGGGCCTCGGTCTTGCCGTACTTGTCGGCCAGCTTCTTGAGCACCGGCTCGCCCCAGCGCTCGCCGCGCACCAGGGGGCTGTAGGCCTCGATGGCAACGCCCCGCTTCTTGCACCACTCGGCGATGTCGTTGCGGGCGCACCAGGGGTGGATCTCCCACTGGCCGACGCTCAGGACGCCGCCCTTGCCCGGGCCGCCCCTCTCGGCCGCCAGCTCCTTGATGTGCTTCTCGAGCTCGTCGAGGTGGTGCACGCCGTAGTTGGAGACGCCGATGTTGCGGACCTTGCCCTCTTCGACGCACTCGACCAGGCCCCGCCAGGCCTCCTTGCGCGCCTCGGAGCCGCCGTAGGGGGCGTGCAGGAGCATGAGGTCGACGTAGTCGAGCCCGGTGACCTCGAGGGTCTTGTCGACCTGGGCCTTTGCGTTCTCGTAGGACAGGGACCGGCCCGGCACCTTGGAGGTGAAAAAGATCTGGTCGCGCGGGACGGTGGAGGAGATCTTGCGGATGGCGGCACCACAGCCGGCCTCATTCTTGTAGACAGCCGCCGAGTCGATCTTTTGGGACCGGGCAAACAGGGTGTTAGCGAGCCCCGAGCGAGGGAGAGCCTGGTGAGGGCCAACGTACGTGTCGGTAGCCGGCGTTGACGGCTTCTATGCAGACGCCCTCGGCAACATCTTCAGGGCTAGCAGAGTGTCAGTAAAGGCGGGTGAGGCTCCAAGATCCAGGCACGAGGACGAGAGCCGTGGAGGGTTCTCACGTCTGCCAGAGCTGCATGTAGGGTGCATCGTGTCAGCGGGCCGGTTTCAGTACACGGCGACAATGGCGGGCGGGTTCACAAAAGCACAGCTAGACAGCACTCACGCCGTATCCCAGCTGGGGGATCTGGTGCCCGCTGGGCAGCTTGACCTTGGTCTGGAGGGTCAACTGGGAAGCCATGGTGTGCAACTGTGGAGTGGAGGTGAATTTTGTGTAGTAGTTGTGTGCCTCGAGAGGTGGGATGGGATTTGTTGATGACGGGCAGGGGCGGCTCTCAGTGAACGAGTGAGATCTGCGGAGTTGGGCTCGGCGGGGAGAGGCGTTGTGTTTTATAGAAGAGGCATACCCTCGAACAAGCTCCATTCCATGTCACGCCATGTCACATAGGTAGCCGGGAAAAGAAGACCCTGGACCCAGGACAGGACGGGTAGTCTAGACCCCAGAGTCTACCAAGTAGATGCAATTGATTCTGTAACTTGGCGGTAACGGGTCGGGGGCCCTGAGGCAGCTTTGGGCTTCCGAACATCGGCACGGTGATGGGGTGGGGGTGCGCTCTTTGGGCTTCCGGCCCGCTCCCGATCTGATAAGATGATGGCCGGTCCGGGGGAGCTGGCTACATACTCAAGGAGACATGTATTATGGCAACAGTAGCCAGCTCTGGGGGAAGGCAATCGTCCTGGGCATAGATCATCCTCCCCAGTCCTAGCGGTGCCGTGAGCAGTCGGTCACTCTACCGGGAGCATATGTGCATGTACAGTATCTCAACCTACCTAGGTAGCGTCTTCCTAGGTATTTAGGTCGGGGCATAATTGGCTCTGGTGGGGGTTCATTGTGCTGTGCCCACTGTGACGCTGTCAGGATGTCACGATATCGGCGAAACAAGGCACCCGAGAGATCCTGGTGCGCTGTGGCGGTTCAAATGTCAAAAAGGTGAACGCCCCTCTCTTATATCTACATGTTCCTCGGCCGCTCGTTCTCTTCCCTCGACCTCGCCTTGGAACTGGCCCTGCATCAGAATTGGCCGTTCTCCCAGTCCACCACCACGACACTCTCGACCAGCGAGTCGATGCTCTTCTTGAGCTTCTGGTGGGCAGGGTCCTGGCTGACATAGTAGTCGCGGTCTTGGGTGCTGGCAAACTCGACCACCTTTGCTCAGTCCCGAAGTCAGCTCAGGCTATGATGAGAAGCAGCACCAGACCCAGAGTACAGGGCGTCGTTTGGGCAGGGTCACTCACAAAACCATGGGTTGCACCGTGCTGTGACAGGCAGTCAGTCAGCATCTCCTCTACCTCGCAGCCCGGACATCGGCGGTCTGGAGACTGACCTGGAGTCCCTCGGGAGAGTTGTCCTTGCCGCCCGTGAGTGACTTGACGTAGGGCTGGAGCGAGGAAGGGTTGACACAGGCGGTCCTCAGAGCCATCATTCCGTTACATGCCTTGTCCCACGGATCATGTTAGCATGTTGGCCTGTTGGCATGTTGAGATGGCAGGGCAGGGCAAGGGCATCGGAACGCCAGAACACCAGAACGACCGTACATTTCGGATGGCCTGTGGATCTGCATCCTTCTTGAAATGGAAGAGGACCGTGTGGGTTACGGAGAAATGAAAGGCTGGGACGGTCCAGTCAGCGTGGAGGGGATCGAAGATGAGCCAGAGGGTCAACAGAGCCGTGATGCTGATGGCTGCAAGACTAAAGACTGCATTTCTCATCTTGGGCTTCGGGAGTTCCCATGTCAATGAGAGGAGCTGAACAGGTTCTGCCGAGGTAGTCTAGTATTTATTGTGCTGTAGGCTGGATTGTCTGATTGTTACAGATGTCATGTAGGATGATGATGCAGGGCCTGGGCAGGCCTGCCAGGCTGGTCACTACGTATCACACTCGATCCTTTTACCACCCGGCCAGATGACAATCGAGATGTTGGTAGACAGGTAGACAAGAAGCAAAAAGCAGAGTGAGTGCTGCCGCCTCCAAGCAGGGGTGTGATGGAAAGGGAAGGGATGGATGCCGCCCTGGCACTCTGGAGGAACCGCCCAGACAGTACCCAGGCCAGCTGAGTGGCTGGTATACCTTGGTAGGCTGGGGAAAAGAAGTGACATGTCAGGCGCGTGCGTGCCTTCCTCGGCTCAACCAGAGGACAAAGGATGCAATTGCTGCCACTGGGGTTTGTTCGTGAACCATGTGTGCTTGCCCACACACCACTGCAAGGAGGTACTTCCAATTGGGGAAGCTACCTGGCCACCTGCTTGCTTGGGAGGGGATCTGTGAGTAGTACAAAGCATGGACCACAACAGCCCCACCTCTACATTTGCACTCAGGTACCAAGTATCTATCTTCTCCACACCTTGGTGCAGTGACATCATTGTTAGGTGCTTGCTTGCAGTGGGTAACCTATGGTGCACATTAAGGGCAACTTTCCCAAAACCACGTAGCAGCACCTTTAAATTTGGAATGAGCTTGAGAATACTAGGAATAGGCTAGAGTCATAAGGTCCTTAAAAGCACTAAACAGAGAGTTATGTAGATTTAAAAGACACAATGAGCTTATAAGCTATTTTCTTTTTTGAAAGTTAGCGCTGTCGTGCACCATAAAAACTATCAACCCCTCCATCCCTCCACCCTTTCCCACCGCCACCCTTACCAACATTAGCAAACCCCACCACCACCCCTCCAAAGCTTTCTAAGCATCTCACAGCAGAGAACCATTTAACACCCTGCCCCTCCAATACTTGAAAGCCTCCTAACAAAGGAACAAGCACGAGCACGAGCAGACACACAGGCGGAGAGAGACAGAGACAGAAGAGGAGGAAAAGTAGAGAGTAAGAGACAGGGAAGGAGGATTCGACGACGCAACAAAACCCACCATGCAGCTCGTCAACGCAAAAAAGATCCACAAGATCGAGGATCTTGGCGAGGACTCGGTCCAGCTCCTGCCCACCGACCCCGAGGACATGTGGCACGCCAACAACCTCATCGCTCCCGACGACGTTGTCCGCGCCCACGCCATCCGCAAAGTCGCAAAGGAGTCGGCCACCGGCTCCTCCGCCACCGAGCGTGTCCACACCGACCTAACCATCACGGTCACCTCCATCTTCTTCGACCCCGCCGCCTCCTCCCTGCACGTCAGCGGCCGCGTGGCCAGCGACAACGCCTTTGTCAGCCGCGGCCAGTACCACACCCTCGACCTCGAGCTCAACCGGCCCTTCACCCTGTGGAAGAGGCACGGCTGGGACTCGGTCGCCGTCCAGACCCTGCGCGATGCCCTCAACCAGGACAGGGACGGCGCTGTAGCCGCCGTCGTCATGCACGAGGGGCATAGCCAACATCTGCCTCATCACCGAGTACCAGACCCTGATCAAGTCGCGTGTCCAGAGCGCCCTGCGCGGCAAGGCCTCCGCCTCCTCCAAGGACGACAAGGGCATGCGCAGGTTCTTCGAAAAGACCCTCGCCACCCTCCTGCGCGCCATCGACTTCTCCCAGCCCCGCCCGCTGCTGATCGCGAGCCCCGGCTATGTCGCCAACAACTTCAGGCAGTATGTGCTGGAGGAGGGAGCGCGCCTGGCCGACAAGAAGCTCCTGGCCCTGGGGAGGAACGCCGTCGTCACCCACGCCAGCAGCGGCAACGTCTACTCGCTCAACGAGATCCTCAAGAGCAAGGAGGTGCTGGGGCTGATGAAGGAGCGCAAGTCGGCCTCGGAGACCAAATTCCTGGACGAGCTTGGCGAGAGGCTGCGCAAGGATGACGGCAGGGCGTGGTACGGCATCCGACCCGTCGACAGGGCCGTCATGGAGGGGGCCGTCGGCCGGGGTGGCGGCGTCCTGCTCGTCAACAACGACCTCTTCCGGAGCCAGGACATTGCCACGAGGAAGCGCTACGTCGCCATGGTCGACAAGGTCAAGGAGGACGGGGGCGAGGCCAGGGTGCTGAGCAGCGATCACGAGAGCGGGCAGAGGCTGGCAAGCTTGGGCGGCATCGCCGCCATCCTGACGTATCCAATGCTCGACCTGGACGAGTCGGATGACGAGGATGGGGGCGGTGGGGCAGAGGACGGCGACATGATCATATGAGACCAGGCACGGCCGGCAACGAGGACCATCAGAAAAGTTTCATCCCCAAAGATAATTCCCCCGAGCGGCGGGAGGAGGCGCTGACTTTCCACCCATTAGCCTACATGTGAACGGCCTGAGCAGTGGTAGAGCATGCGTGTCACGAATCTATTAACTGCTGGCGAAATAGACCGCTCGGCCAAAAGACCAGTAATTTTCAATCCCTTGGAAATACACCTAGCAGTATATAAGCGCTACGGAGCCATACCATAATGACATTACCCCCCTTAAGGCCCTTATAAAGCTCTTCAATGCCTTTAAAGCGGGTATGCATACTTATAAGTAGCTTAAAACTTAAATAATATAAATTTAACTTACTTATAATTTTTTATTTAAGCAATTATTGTAAGATTTTTATAATGATTATAAATTTATATAAAAAAGTTTTTGTTATGGGCTCGGCCCCAGAGGGGCTGCAGGCTGGCTAGCGCCTTCTCCCATAAGCTGCAAAGCAGCAACCAATTAAGCCAAAAGGTACGTAATAATCCAAGCTCTCTTAAATTATCTAGCTATATTATATAAGGCTTAAGCTTTTAACTTAAGCTTATTATAATTTTAATTAATAAGCTTTAACTTTAATTATTAAATTAAAAATTATTAAAAATTTATTAATTATTAATAAAATATATTATTTAATTAAAAAAAGTATTTTTTTTTAAAAAAAATATATTTAATAATATTAAAATATTATAAACTTATATTATTTTATTATTTCTTTTAAAGCTTTTATAAAGCTTTTAAATACCTTTAAAATAAATATATATATAATAAGCATGCCCATGAATCTCTGTTTAATTATGTAACCTAATACTGCGGGTATATAGCTAAAAGCCGGAGCAATACCTTTAGCTTCCTTTCTTAATTCTTTATCTTTCGTATTCTTAATATATTAAATACTTATAATAGCAAGCCCCGTTATATTATAAAAAACCCTTTTTTTCGCTTTAATTAGTTAAGAAAAGTACCGCTTTATTTCTTTTAATTCCCATTTTAAAATAACTAATTCCCTAAATCACCCTTATACTTAATTACTAAACATTTCTTTGCTTTAAAGTGCTTAAGACTTTAATACTTAGTGAATTAAAATTTGCGCAAAAATATTAATAAATGCTATAGCAATTAAACCAAAATACGCTTAATTATATTATATATATATATAATTAAGAAACGGCTTTATAAAGGTCTTTAAGTCTTTTATAACCCGCATAAAAGAATTTAATACAACGGGATTTAGTAATTTTTTAATGGCTTCCTTAATTAACTTTGTAAAAGCTGCTTATAAAGACTTAAATAAGCTAAAAAAGGCATAATAATATTTAATTAATATATAATAAATAAGCATTATAAATACCTTTTTATAAACCTTTAATTCCGCTTTATTTAATATAAAAGCCAATGCTTAGCCCTTAAATGTTAAAATTACTCTTTTAATTATAGCTTTTAATATATTTATAAAGAAATAATTAAAAATTAAAGACTAGCTTAATAATTATAAAGCGTTTTATAACTTTATATAATAGCTTTTTAAAATATTATTTATAAAACCCAAACCTTAATAAACTCCAACCCTTAAATTAATAAATATAAATATTAATAATATATATATAAAAACCTATATAAAAGGGTTTAAAAGCCTTTATTTTAAATATAGCAAGCTAAGCTATATTATTTAATATTATAAAGAACCTAAGGTAGTAGTAATTTAATTATTAATAATTATTATAGCTTAATAAGTAAATTTTAATAAAAATTAAGCGGAAAGCAGGGAATAAGGAGTTAACCTTAGCTATATAATATGAAAATCAAGCGATTTATATACCTGGATAAAAGGAAAGTAATGCCCTAACTAGCGGCCCATAGGTAATTTAAAATGCTAATAAAAGCTAATTATATTAAAGCGCTAATTAAGGCAGGTAAGGCGAAAATTAAAAGCAATGGCATGGTATTTATAAATAATAATAATAAATTTAGGGAATTTTAGCTAAATGTAATTTCCTTAAAAAACTAAGCGGTTTTCAAGGGATTTAAAGCGCTAACTAAGGTAGGATTCCTAGTTAAGGGGTAATGTAATGGGCATGCTTATAAATCTCTATTTAATTATATAACTTAATACTATAGGTATATAGCTAAAAGCTAAAACAATGCCTTTAGCTTCCTTTCTTAATTCTTTATCTTTCATATTTTCAATATATTAAATACTTATGGTAGCAAGCCCCGTCACAATATATATATATTTATAAATAACTTAAAACTTAAATAATATATATTTAATTTATTTATAATTTTTTACTTAAATATTTATTATAAAACCTTTATAATAATTATAAATTTATTTAAAATAATTTTAAATTAAAGGGCTTAAACCCCAGTTATTAAATTGGAAATTATTATAAATTTATTAACTGCTGGCGAAATAAATTGCTTGGCTAAAAAGACCAGTAATTTCCAATCCCTTGGAAATACACCCAGCAGTATATAAGTGCTACGGAGACGTACCGCACAATGCATAAAAAAGGATGTAGCATGGAGGGCCGTCACCCCTGACAACACTGCGGGCACTCGAGCAGACATGGATCAGCGCCATGTTTTCCGATTTGAAGCAGCAAGACCACATGCCAGATGCACAAGGGAATGGGCAGGGTTGAAATCAGTTTAACCGAGTTTAGTTAATAGCATCAAAAGACTTAATTACAAATTACAAGTATGGTTTAATAACATGTAATTTGTAGTCTGTTTCCCTGGGAATGGGGCCATTTGTTTGCCCGACGTGGACATAGTCTGCATGCAAATCGGCGTGCGGTGGCTTTTCATGAGTGACGTGAGGGCACGAGACGGATGGTACTAGGGGCACAGCAGCCGGAAGCTGCGGGAGCTTGGAATCCTCGGGATGTCCTCGCTCTATGCTGCCGATGTATGCATCCCGCAGTCATGTGCGATCCTAGGCCCCCACCTACAGAGATGCGTACAAGTCCTGCGTCTGCAGGCAATGCCTGTAATGCAGAGATGGAACAAGCGGGATGGTCGGCGGCTGTTGCAGGTCTTTTGCAGATGTATGATCAACTCCCAACTAACAGGTTGATGGTAAGCTAGTATACCATGACGTGGACCAGATGCAGAAACAAAAAAGGGGGAAGAGCCTATTGGGGTGCCGGGGTTCGCAGCCCTATGGGCGATTGAGTTTGGGCCCATGCTGTCATGTTTCTTGTCCCTGTCTTGGATCTGGGGACTGGGTTTGGTCTTGGTCTCATCCCATCTTCCGAGGGCTGTGGGGTCTGGGGTTTTGTTTGTGTATGTGTGAGTGGGTGCCCACCTACCGGCTCATGAGCCGAGAACAAAACAGAACGAGGACAAGTCATGTCTGTTTCGCAGGTCTATGTTTCACGAACAGTCAGATACTGCTGCGCGGAGTTGTCCGTGTCTGGCCTACGGAGAATGATAGTCTAGCTGCTCGGTACCGGACGGATCGACATGCCGGGCGCATCATGATGAGGACATAGTCTGAGTGCTCGTCCGGGCTGGCCACGAGGCACTCGCTGTCTCACGCATTTCGTTCCCAGACTGACAGAAAGGAAAGGAAGGAAAGGAAAGGAGAGGGGAAAGAGAAGCAGGATTGCCTGTCCTGGAAAGATCGTTCCACCTGCCCCATCTGCGCAGTGTGATGTCTGCTGCTTGCGTCAAAACACGATTGATACGATTATTACGGTCGATGCGATTAATTCGATTTGTACGGAGAAATACGATAAGCGAGTACGCAGGTGGGCTGGGTACGGATACGCCATCTCAAGTACTCCGTCCAGGTTGCAGCAGGCAATGATTGTCTTCATTGTTCCTTTCCACCTCGACGCCCCACCGTCCGCCCCACCAGTCCACCAACCCGCCCAGCCCGTAAGAGACGCTGCCCGGGGTTCCCTGCTGCCATCTGCCATCTGCCATCTCGCATCTCGCCCGTCCCTGGAGCACACTGCAGTTGACTGGAGCGCACCCTGGTCCATCCCCGTCCTGTTCGCCCCTCCCGGTGGGTCCTGTCTTTTGTGATTGAGCTGGTCGCTGCCATCCCGGACACAAGCTTGCACAGTACTGGCGGGGCTGGCCATCACAATTCTCCTCCTCCTCCTCCTCCTGCTCCTGCTGCTGCTGCTGTGCTGCTCCTCCTTCTGGACCTCCACCCCTCCAATTGCACATCCAGATTACCACCTGCGACGGGCAGACCGACCCGCCGAACAACCGAGTGACCAAACGACCAGCCAACCAAGCGACAGAGGCGCGCCCACGATACTCTGGCTGGGCACACGGCTGTGCGTGCCGTACATGATGGAGACATGGCAGCTCACCCTCCCCCCATAAAGACCTCCCAGGGCCCTCGACACGGCCCGTCCGCCTCTCGCACTGCCCAACATGCCCTCATCCCGCCGCTCACCACCAAGTCGTCCGGCTCGCCCTCGCCCTCGCCCTCGCCTTCACCCTCGAACACGCCCACGCCCCAGCACAACCCACGAGGTAAGCGGTCGCTCTCTTGCTCCCCCGGGTCCACAACCCCTCGGTCTCTGTCTGCTTGTCGCCCGTCCTTCCATCCCTCCTCCATCGGTCCACATGTGAAGAGAACCGCCGCATGCGTGGTGCATAGACGCGCAGGATGCCCCGTCTCTCCCCGTTCCCGGCTCCGTCCTGTGCCCGTTCCCGGACTCACCGCCACGCTCTCTGGCTTCCCATACCCTCCGTTGCCCCCCTTCCACCCCCAGATTTCTTTCACAGTCGCGACCTTCGCATGCTCTCCCCGTAGGATTCGGCCAAGCTGACAGCGCCACAAGAAGCAGGCAACCACGACAGTTCCACACCGACTCCGTCGTCCACCCCGACTCCGACCACCGCCACAACCGTAGTTCCACCCACGCCTGCTTCTGCCGTCACCGCGAGGAAGGCCCCCGACCACATCACTCGGCAAGACACGGCGCCGGCACTTGTGTCCAGGGACAAGGATGCTCACGACAGCGCTGCAAAGCCATCTGCCACGAACATAGCCCAGCCTGCCCCCTCCCCTTCTAGCAACCCCGGCGTCGATCCGCTGTCACAAGTACGTCCTCCAACCTGCTCTCGCCGACATAGGGCGGGCCCTGCGCTTGTGGAGCAACGCGATCCTGCGGGTCTGTCGGGCTGACAACATGTCCGCTTCTAGCACATCTTCCTGCGCACCAATACCGAATCCACTTCTTCCAGGCAACCTCGAACCTGGGGCGTGGCTGCTACAAAGCCAGATGACAGTTCGGAGCCCCTCGAAGCAATCCCGCGCCAAAGCTCAGACCTGAACGGCAGACAAACAGCGCCCTTTGGCGATGTTGCGAAGGACAAGAAGTAGGTGGCCCCGTTCGACCCTACCTGCGGCAGATCATCCTGTCTTGGGGGTGTGGAAAGTTGTGGTTGGCGGGACCTCAAAACCCATCAGCTGCATAGCTTTCGGTGACGATTGTCCACGCGCTGACCGTCTTCGATTTTGTATAGGAAGGGTCCCTCATTTCTCAGTCGGCTCGGAATGCGTACCACGAGAAAGGCAAGGGGTGATGTCGACTCCATACACGACAGCGAGTCCGAGTTCAATGGCGAGTCTCGGATGGACGGCTCAGATGCCCGAGTATTTTCCGACATGGCCGACGCAGGAGGCTTCATCCCTCGCCACAAGGAGCCGCCGAGATACATCCGCATCCGGGCAAACAACAAGAAACACCATGAGCGGGAATTCAACCGCATGTTTCTTGCCCAGGAGCTTGTTGGGACCCATCCATCGCTGAATGGTGACGACGGCGCTCAAGCAGCCTCCAAAGTTCCCGTCGTCACCGTCTCTGTGGCTGGTGCCGGTGGGAGGAGGAGGGAGCGGACGGGCGGTGCGATTTGGGCTACCGAGTTCTCCAAAGATGGGAAATACCTGGCTGCCGCCGGCAAAGACGCGGTCGTCAGGATGTGGGCTGTTATATCAACCCACGAGGAGCGGCGGGCACAGGAGGAGGAGGAGGCTGCGACCTGTCCCGTGGGTGAGCGGCTGTCCACGCCTGTCTTCGTTGAACGCCCGTTCCGTGAGCTCTCGGGCCACGTGAACGAGATCCTCGACCTGAGCTGGAGCAAGAACAACTTCCTCCTCTCGACCAGCATGGACAAGTCGGTGAGGCTTTGGCACACTAGTCGCGACGAGTGCCTCTGCGCATTCAAGCACAAGGACGTGGTGACCAAGGTAGCCTTCCACCCCACAGATGACCGTTTCTTCCTCGCAGGGAGCCTGGACATGACGCTGCGCCTGTGGAGCATACCCGACAAGACCGTCGCCTACAGCGTGCGCCTGCCAGACCTCATCACCGCCGTTGCATTCACCCCTGACGGAAAGTTGGCCATCGCGGGCCTCTTGAACGGGCTGTGCATGGTCTACGACACGGAGGGTCTCAAGTTCCACAGCCAGATACATGCCAAGAGCTCGCGGGGCAAGAACTCCAAGGGGAGCAAGATCACCGGGATACAGACCATGGCGATGCCTCTCACCTCGGGCGGTTCGGGTGGTACGGAGCCTGGTGAGGTCAAGATCATGATATCGACCAACGACTCGAGAATCCGGATCTACAACTTGAAGGACGGCAGCCTGGATGTCAAGTTCAAAGGCCACGAGAACGCCTGCACGCAGATCAGCGCCAGCTTCAGTGATGATGCACAATACGTCATCAGCGGGAGCGAGAACAGGAAGACGTTCATTTGGAAGGTGGGCGCGGCAGCCGCCGGTGATTCCAACAAACAGCCGAGCGAAAGCTTTGATGCCCACGGCGATATCGTGACCACAGCGCTTTTTGCCCCCGTCAAGACCAGGCAACTCCTGAGTGAGTCTGGGGACCCGATCTACGACCTATGCAATCCGCCACCGGTCACACTCATGCCTTCGGACGAGACCGCCGCGACGTCGTCCCAGGCTGCCCCGTCTGAAGCCGACAGCCAGGACAAGGCACAGGACCCGGACATTTCGCTGTCGACGCCAGGCTTGGTCAAGAAGATCGAGTACTCACCTGCTTACCTCGCGCGCAAGTCTCACAACGGCGGCAACATTATTGTGACATCGGACGACCAAGGCATCATCAAGGTCTTTCGACAGGACTGTGCCTTTTCAAAACGACGTCACGAGAGTTGGGAGACCGGAAGCACCTTCTCCAGGAAACCAGGCGGTGCCCTTGGCCCAGGGGTAGTCCGCTCATCCAGTATCAGGACCAGGACGAGCGCTGGTAGCGCTGCGCACTCACGGCGCGGTAGTCTGAGCACCGGGGCGGGGCAGCCTGGAGCGCTTCCGCCGGGCATCGCGTGGGGCGCACCGGGGACGCCGAAGCTGTCGTCGGACATGATCCTAAGCTGGCGCCAAGATATCGAGGGCGGCGGCGGCAGGCCCCAGTCGATCGCTGGAAGCATCGGAACGCCCGTGCGGAGCGAGAGAAGCATATCCCCTGGGAAGGACGCGCGCCAAGCGGCAAGCGGGAGCCGGGCAAATCTAGCCGCAGATGCCCGGAAGCAGCAGTACGCGATGGCCTCTCCGCGGATCCCTGCGGGTGCCAATGACCCACCCGGCAGCCCCACGAACAGTGTGGCAAGCGGTCGGCTGCGACCAAAGACGGCCAGTGCTGCCGACACAAAGTTGACCTCCGGTTCCTCGCCCTTACACCCTACAAACGAAGAGGGCACGGAGGCGGATGACAACCAACGTCGGCAGGAGCCCCCGCAGGGCAAGCCCCGGCCGTCAACAGCCAGAGACCGCAAGGGTTCCAAAAAGGCCGAGGATGCGCCAACGCCTCCGCCGGTGCCGTCGTTCAGCTTTAGGTCCGCTGAAGACGGACCGGAAGAGCTACGGCTCGACCCAGCCGGGGCAAGCTACGGTTTCTGGAATCTGAACCGCTGGAAGGGCCTGGCTGGTCTTAGAGGGTCCAACGGGGATGGGAAGTCCAGTGCGGGGGCTAAGGGCCACCAGAGGACTGCCAGTGATGCTGTAGATCGCGAGGCCGTCTCTGAGGGACCCCGAGCGTCGAGGTCCTCAACGATGCCCCTCTCACCGGCCGGCGAAAACAGACCTCCAGTCCCCGGGTTCGAGCGGCGGCCGGCTGACGTGCAGCGTGGGGCTTCACATCTGAGCACCATGACGACCCACGAAGAGAACCGCCTCGCCCCGGCTGATTCGGTCATCAGCAAGCTCAGCTCGGAGCTGACGAGTGACAGCGACGCCGGCCGCCGGAGCAGTGAGGATGGGGACGATGTTCCGTGTCGAAAGTGTGGGGCAAAGAAGTTCAGGCCCAAAAAAATCCAGGGCCGTCAGCGACTCGTCTGTGGGCGTTGTGGGAGCGTGGTGTATGATGAGAGCAAGTGAGAAAGGGCGGTTGTCTTGGATACTTTCCTGGATCTCAGCCTGGCTGTCGCAGCCATCACTTGTCTGTTTTGGATTTGATTGTTTTGGTTTCGTTTTGGTTTGGTTTAGCCCGGTTTGGTTTTGGTCTCATGGGCTGAGCTATTCATGGGAGGGCCGCATTCTATACAAGCATTGGAGTTGGGCTCAAGTGTATCGGGACATTATCACTCGCATGCAGATGTTGACGGGGGCGCCTTGTTTTGAGATACCAAAGAATCAATTGTTGACGTTGTGTGACGTGCTAGGAGCAGGCAACGAGTGCTGTTGAGACTGCGAGGTCGCCCCAAGACAACCAAGATGCAGGCAATGCCGCGGCGGTCCACCGCAGTCGATACATGGCCGACCTGGTCCGGCCCGGCTGGCGAGCCGGTGTCATACCCGAGGCTCCGGAGCCGGACGGCGGCCGCTCCGCACCCGAGTCTCGTCTGCCGAAAGATCGAGGATCGCAGCGCGGGATCTGAAACATTCTTGGAGTCACTATTCCGCCAGTCACATTTGCCTTTGCAGCCACTGCAACACCAAGCCTTTGGCCGGCGGTACCAACTTCAGTCCAGTTGGGACACATGATGACGGCTAGTCCGCCTGGTCCCTCGTTGCCACCCAAACCACCCCACACCTCCCTTCACCTCTCTCACTCACACTCACACACACACACAGGCCCCTGTCCTTCCGCCTCTTGTGACGAGTGGTTCCATGGCAGTCTTCCTACCTGGCTAGGTCCCGCCTTCCCATCCCCCATGTTGCCCGCGGCGCTTAGCTGAACCTAAACCTATACCAGGAACACTAGGGCGCCCATGTCTGGATCGTTGCTTCGGCGCCCCCAACGGAGGCCACACCCGTCACGGACGAACTTCAGTTCGAGAAACCTGTCTGCCCAATGCCTCGTCCCCGTACTATTGGTGGTTCTGCACTCAGGTCGACAGGGGCCGCGGCCTGGCCGCCTTGTAGCCAGGGTCCCGGCCACGGATCCCGCGCTCACGGCCGGCGATGTCACCGGGGGCATTGGGGGCCGGGAACATATCCAGATGGGGATTTCGATCGAGACGGCAGGTCTGAGGCAGCTGGATCAAGTAAGTTCATTGCAAACACAAGCCTCCTTGGGTGACGCAACTCCTGGGGGCGGAATACTGTGTCGGACCCCCTCCCCGCCATCGGCCATGGTCTGAGCCAAGCTGCTCGTGTGGACTTTATCCACCAGGCTGTCAGACATATCGTCAACGGGACCAGACATACTGGCTCTCGATCGCTCTCCGGGCTCCCTTTGTCCGGCTTCTCCTGCGAGCGCGGCTTTCTCCTGGGGCTGGGTGACGTGAACGTGCTGGGCTCATCAAGTGACGACTGAGCCAGCGCCTCGCCTAATCCACTTTTTTAACCTCGTCTGAACGGCACCATGTCGGTCAATATGCCTTGGGGGAGGACCCTGTACGGGGTATGGTGCTCGACAGCAAGATTCCAACCCGGGCGTCTCGCTGACGGCCCCTGACTGACAAGGTCCACGGCAGTTGCGAGAGGGGCCAACGCGGCGGGAGCAAGCTCACTGTTGGCTCGATCAGCGACGTCGAGGTTGGTTCTGCCCATCACTCGGGCGAGACGCTGGTGACGATCCTTCGTCGACACGGTTCATGCCACTAGACAGGGCATCATCCATGGCAGATGGCCCGCTCTGGAGGCCGGCTCGAGCTGGCCTGGTCCCAGGATATCGTTGAGCCTGCCCCTGCGCTCAACTCTGTGTGAGCGCTTGTGGCCCAGGAGGAAAATCCGCGATATCAGCGGGGTGTTTGAGCGTCTCTGGCAAGGAATCAACCAAAGGGCCTTGGTGTCCTCGAGTATATATAGCTCTTGAGCAGCGGCGACTCTGTCATTCTCTTGACGAGTTCGCCAGCCTGACTTTAGCATTATCGCTTCTACCTGTACTTGTGCCCTTCTCCTGTCGAGATCTATTCGAGTGTCCATGATGAGTATGCCAGCCGTGCCCCATGCCTCCCTCCAGTTCGGCATCGAGATCGAATTACTCCTGGGCGGCCGCAAGAAAGCACACTCATCCTGGAAAAGCCTCGCCAACGAACTGAGCAGACGCCTAGCAGCCGCTGGTATCTCCAATCACATCAACGATGGGGTTGACAAGGCCGTCGAGCACTATCGCGAGTACTCGATCGTGCGCGAGGTCACTATCCCGAATCAGCTCGCAAAGGGCCTGTGTACGATATCTTCTCCCCTGCCCATCACTGGCCCCACTGTCCACTGAAGATTGCTGACCAGGAGTACTTACACGCATGATTAGGGGGGATAGAGCTCGTCTCACCTGTCTATCCAGCCTCTTGGCACTGGGCAGCCGATATGGAGCTGATCTTCTCGACCATCAGGCACTACTTCGTCATGGCACCCAGCCCGCACTGCAGCACACACATCCACGTCTCGGCGACGCCCGTGTCCTTGTCGCCCGCCGAGCTTTCTGCGCTGGCCAAGGCTGCCCTGTACTTTGAACCGGCCCTCGACCAGCTCGTCCCAGCCGACAGGCGCGTCGACGGCATACTGGTGTCAGAGCAACCGGGCCAGCGTGGCCCTGCGGTCTCTGAGCCTGCCGGACTGCCTGGTCATGGTGGACGCCACGCTGGACCTGCCGGGCCTGGTCGGGAGCATGAACCTCTTCCCCGCGACGTCGACATATGGGAGAGCACACGGCAAGAAGCACGACTTTGTCCGGGGAAAGGTGTACAAGTGGGACTTCTCGAGGATGCTGCCTCGGTCATCCTCTTCCAAGAGCAGCGCCACGAGCCTGGCCCAGGGCACGGTGGAATTTCGCCAGCCTCCGGGGAGCCGGTCTGCCGAGGACGCCAAAGGCTGGATCACCCTGGTGTTGGCCCTCGTGGCGGGTGCTACCAGGACGACGTCCTGGGCACCTCTGGGTGCTGCAGGGTCAGAAGGGGCCACGATCGGGGAGCTATGGGCGCTGATTGTGACTGGCGCCTCTATGCTAGGCTGGGACGGGGTAGGCGATGCAGCTGCTATCTTTTCCAAGAGGACCGTGTAAGGTGGGCTGTATCTGACATGTGTCATTTGGGAACTTCATGAATTATTCTTTGCCGAGTGCAAGATTCACTGCTGGTCCCAAACGGTGCAACGGATCAGTTGTGATGACGTGTGGCGCACATGGTGGTTCCTTGCTCGGCTCCTATTCAGACTGTTACTACCATGCCGGTTGACAATTACGTGCACTTTATTTACCCTATCAGCTACGGCTTGCGTCTTGCATCGCTGCATTCTGGATGTGTGGACCCGTGCTACTGCGTCTTTAGCAACGCATCTAGAGCAGCGACGAAGCTTCAATCCTTAATTATGTAGCACATTGCCAGCCTACCTAGGCATCTGATACATGGCCGGCATCGTCCGACAGCTGTGGGCCGAAATAACTTTCACATGGGCTAACTATGTATCCATGTCCATCAAACTGTACATGTGAGCGCATTAGGGAGAGTGAGAAGTCCCTGTGTCTAGATACACTGCCCATGTTTTAAAGAGGATGGATGGACACGGGGTGTTGATGATTCGCGCCGTCGTCACTAGGCCGAAGTAGAAGACGTTGACATTGGAGGTCTTGTCCATACGACAGCGCCTTGCGTGTAGTGTAGGACAAGGGCTTTCTTGTCCTCGCACTTTGTCGGTGCAAAAGTCATTCCCCGGGTGACGTTGCATACACAAGTGCATCAATTCCGCACCTCCACATAGTTCTGGCACTCCATCCACTCTTTTGTCAGCGCCCCTTGGAGGTTCCATGTTGTGATAAAACATGGGTAGCCTTCAACCGCAACACCAACAGAGTTTGTAGTCTGCTTGCATGTACGGTACCTGGATGACCGTTTGGACTAACTAGACAGTGCCAACCAGACCTGAACCCGCCGGTCAACCAACGGTGAGGACCATGCTCCATGTTTACACCGACAAAGCTGACCCACTGCTTGTCTTTCGCTAGATGTGCTAGCACGGAAAGGACCGGACGTGTTCAGCAAATGCAGAACAAGGGTCATCATACCAAGAAGGCGCTGGTGCGGCGAGTATGAGCATTCCTGGAAGACAGGCGAATGGACGGAACTGGCTGCAAGTTAATCGAGGAACGCCCATGTGTATGCAGCGCAGCGCAGCGCAGCGCAGATATCGGCAGCACGGCACCATGCGATCTGTCCCGTCTGCAGCAAGAGGAGAGACCGCCCGGTGACGTTCCTATCGTGGAGGATTCTCGGTTGTCGGCCGCGGAGTCTCTTTGCAGGCCAATGTCCGTCTGGCCCAGGGCCCCAGGCTGCCGCCAGTCGCGGATGGCAGTGAGTGGGAGAGCTGTACTGCGGTGCTGCATGAGTGCTCCACCCCGCGCAATGCGTTCCTGCAACTTCGCATGCGTCCACTCAGCCAACGGGCACACACGGCTGCGGTAGCCGACAATGTAAATGACAGGTCGGAGGCTCCTCCTAGACTACCTAGGTACCAAGCATTCTACCGCGGTACGTTGTAGCCTGTCTGCAAGCCGCGCGTGGTCGATCAAGAGCTTGCTTGCCGTGTTCCTTGCACTTCCAAGAAATTGGACGCCGGCATGCCACAGGCCACACTCGGCACCCGCTGCCGCATGTAGATGGATCTACAGTAGGTTATCTGCTCTGCCGGCTGCTGTATCAGTATCATCTGCCCATCAGGCACACATGTATGCACGCGTTGTGGGTTCATGGCCTGTGTTCCTTGCTCTGCCATGTGTGTTGTCGTTTCGACGGAACCACACGTATGAGGTGCACTCACTGACTGACCAGTTGACTTGACTGCACTGCCGACCAGACTGCACACTGCCATCCATCTACACCACACCACCAGAATGACCAGGCCCACCACACATCATATAGTACAATATGTAGATTCTGTAGCTAAGCAGGTGCCGCGTGGGCCCCTGAGACGTCATCCCGTTTCTGCAGGTGGGCCTGCCGATCCGTAATGGCCGCCTCACAGCGCAGGATGTTGTATTCTTTACGAAACATTGTGCGCGTTTGGCGACGAGGCGGAGCCCCGAAGTAGTCCCGTCCCGCTGGCTCGCTGGCTCGCTGGCTGGCTGGCTGGCTGGCTGGCTGGCTGGCTGACTGCTGACTGCTGTGTTTCAAATCTCAACATTTACAGGATGGGATGGCATGGGATGGCGTGGGGTGGGATGGGCAGCATGGAGCCGTGTTCTGGGCCCGTGCCGGATCGATCAGATACTGTTGTTGTAGGCAACTGCATGTTGCCCATCCTCTGATCATCTGCATTGTGAAGTCTGCTACCCCATACCCTCTCTGCAACGGTAGCCCAATGTCCTGTACATGCTTGCAACAAAAAAAAACTCGGATCTACATTCAAAGACAGGTGGCCCGTGTCCTGCGCAGAAACAGACCACATTTTACCAACAGTTGGGCAGTACATGCAGCCGGGGCTCGCGAACTGCATGCATGCAAGTCAATATGCATGACGGACCAAGGATACTATGTACTGTACGGATACTAAAGCACTATCATGTGTGGTCAGCCTGCCAGCCAAGGGAGCCGGACCGAAGCTGGGGGGGTTGGTTGGCGCCGGGTCTGGCTTCCCCAATCGCCTTCCAAGTCGCCTCGTTGCTCCCACGGCTCCCTCTTCCCTTTTTTGTCCGCCGAGTTCTGGGACGCAAAGCCTACATAGCACCGCGCCGTCGGTTACGCCGGAGTCTCGGCGTGGGCACCCCAACCGCTTGGCCGAGCCTTTGGCCGTGCCTCCATGGGCCCTCCTTGCCAGGCCCGCCCACGCACGGCGGGGGCTCCAGCTCTTGGCCGAGAGCCTGTGTGGGCCTCGCATGGGTCTTCTGATGTCACTGGCACTGCGCCTGAGGTGGCATTGGACGCGCAAAAGTGGTCCCGGTGAGGGCCCCCAGAGATCCTCCCCGTACATGCCCAGCATCTGACTCGCCAGATTTCGCCAGTGACAAGCAGGCACGACCAGCCAAGTATCTATCTCTATCTATTTTCCCGACTCCTCGGATCGATGCGCAGCTGGACAAGACGAGTACTGTACATCCATCGTTGTATACGTGGATGGGGGGGGGGGGGGGGGACGAGGTAGGAGGAGGAGGAGAGTGATCTGATAATGCATGTAAGGCAGGGCAGGGCAGGGCAGGACTATGTACCGAGGGGTCTTGCACATTTGTGCACGCGACCATCCCGGTAGCCATTGAAATTTTTTTTTTTTTTTTTTTTTTTCACTCTCTCTCTCTCTCTTATCGCCCTGCACCTGCCCTCCCCCCTTCCCTGGTCTCCAGTGTGGGTTTTGAGACCCTCGCCCCCCGATCTATCGTGTACAGTACTTTCGATCTACCATGTCGAAAGTATACAAGTTTGTACGTACGTATCTGGTCTACTTGGGTCAGGAGTGGCAAGCAGATCCGTCCACCTCTTCCTGCATGCCCATGCCCCATGCCATGCTCATTTCATATCCGGCTTCTGGATTCGCAGTGCACTTGTTTTCAGTCTTTCTTTAGTTCCTCGACTCCCCAGAAATAGGACCTTGGCGAACTCGTCCTCCTCACCTCTTTCTTCACTTACCCCTTCGCTCCATCCGTCCATCCTCCTCCTCCTCCTCCTCCTCCTCCTCCTCCTCCTCTTCTCACCCCCTCTTACTCCATTCTCTCTTGGCCCTTATCCGGATCATCGTCTCGCCATCACTGGCTCGCCCTCGCCCTCGCCCTCGCCCTCTCTGCATCTGACGATAAACACCATCCATCCATCATGGCTGGTGTCGTGCCCCAGGACCATGGCGCCCGCCACCGCGGCGGCGACCACGAGGCCAAGGTGGGCGTCACGACCAAGAGCAGCCTCGACGGCCACAGCGGCAGCGGCGACCTGGCCTCGGCCGACCAGCTCCTCGAGTCGCTCGGATACGCCCCGGAGATGACGCGCAACCGGTCGACGCTGCAGGTGGCCTTCATGTCGTTTGTGCTGGCCGCCATCCCCTACGGACTCTCGACGACCATGTACTACCCGCTGGCCGGCGGTGGGCCGGCCAATGTCATCTGGGGCTGGCTCGCCGTGTCGTGCATCATCCTGTGCGTGGCCGCGTCCCTGGGCGAGATCACCAGCGTCTACCCGACCGCCGGCGGCGTCTACTACCAGACCTTTATGCTCTCGCCGCCCCGGTGGAGGCGCGTGGCCAGCTGGGTCTGTGGCTGGCTGTACGTCGTCGGCAACGTGACCATCACCCTCGCCGTCAACTTTGGCACCGCCCAGTTCCTGGTCGCCTGCATCGGCGTGTTCGAGAACGCGGCCGGCGAGAGCGTCTTCCCCGGCGAGACGTACCAGGTCTTCCTCATCTTCCTGGCCATCACGCTGCTGTGCAACGCCGTCTCGGCCCTGGGCGACAAGTGGCTGCCGTGGCTCGACACTGCCGCCATCTTCTGGACGTTTGCCGGCCTCGTCTCCATCGTCGTCTGCATCCTTGCCATCGCAAAGAACGGCCGCCACTCGGCCGAGTACGTCTTCACCACCTTCGAGCCGCGCTCCGGCTGGGTGCCCGGCTGGTCCTTCTGTGTCGGTCTCCTGCAGGCCGCATACACCACCTCTTCGACGGGCATGATCATCTCGTACGTCGCTGTGATTCTGACAGACCCCCACGCCTGACGCTTGACGCCTCTTTTGCTAACAGACGACCCACACACACAGCATGTGCGAGGAGGTGCGGGCACCCGCCACCCAGGTCCCCAAGGCCATGGTCTCGACCGTCGTGCTCAACACTTTTGCCGGCCTGTTGACCCTCATCCCCCTGATGTTTGTCATCCCGAACATCGACGACCTCGTGGCCCTCGCCTCGGGCCAGCCGGTCCCGTCCATCATCAAGTCCGCCATCGGCTCCCCAGGTGGTTCCTTTGGCCTGCTCATCCCCCTGATTGTGCTCGCTCTCAACTGCGGCATCGGCTGCACGACAGCCGCGTCCCGGTGCATCTGGGCGTTCGCCAGGGACGGCGCCATTCCCGGGTCCCATCTGTGGAAGACGGTCGACAGGAAGCTGGGCGTGCCCTTCAACGCCATGATGCTGTCCATGGTCGTCCAGATCGTCCTCGGCCTCATCTACTTTGGCTCGACCGCCGCCTTCAACGCCTTCTCCGGCGTTGGCGTCATCTGCCTCACGACGAGTTACGCCATGCCCATCGCCGTCAGCCTCCTGAACAAGAGGGAGGCCGTCAAGGGTGCGAGCTTCCACCTTGGTGCCCTGGGCCATGTCTGCAACTGCGTCGCGCTCGGTATGTCTTTCTCATTCTGCCTGCCGCCCTGACGGCTCTCGTCCTGTCTGCCTGCCTGTCTGTGTCTGCTCCCCTTGTGCCGCCCCGGTCCCTGGGTGTGCCTGCGGCCGGGGTATATGTGTCCCTGAGCAGCGCCCCCCCGTGTGCGGACATCCATGTGTGCTTGCTGTGTTTGTTGTTGTTGTTGTTGTTGTTGTTGTGCTGACTTGGTGGTGACTGCGTGAAGCCTGGTCACTTCTAGCCATTCCGCTGTTCTGCATGCCGACCACCGTGCCCGTCATGGCTGCCACCATGAACTATGCGTCTGTCGTCTTCTTCACCTTCACCATGATCTCGACACTCTGGTACTTCGTCTGGGGCCACGCCAACTATGCCGGACCACCAACGTAGGCGGGACTCGTCTTCATTCTTTTTCTTCGCCTGGCCGCTCCAGCGCCGTGCTGCCTCCCCCTCCGATCGAGATCATTGACGTCCACCGACGTGACTTGCTGAGTCTGCTGTGATGAAGTGTTGGCTTTGCGTGTGATTGTGAGAAAAGCCGTGACCAAATCACTTGCCCGGGCCCCCAGATATCGACAAACCCCCCCCCCCCGGCCGGACCACCCCACGACCACCTCCGCCCGGACTGAGACGAATCTGAACCGCCCGGAACCTGCTCGCCGCCTTAACTGCCTGCCTTTGCCGGACACCGACCCCCGACTGTTGCCGGACCAATCGCCCCTTCGAGGACCCAAATGCCTACTTCGCACGTCTGACTATATGAGCTTCGACAATTGCACTCATCGATACATTACCAGCTGAAAGGCCAATCTACAATGTAGGCGAACGTTCCTGAGATGCAACAACACCTTGCCGGGACCAGGAAGGAAGCCTCTGCTCCGCAAGGACCAAGTCGTGATTTTGCTGGGATGAAGGAATGACTCTGCTTGTTAGATTAGATGAGATGAGATGACCCGGGGGAAATGCATCAAAAAGAAGACATACAAAATTAGAAAAATATATAGAAAAGCAATCAATGCCAGGCAGCCCGCTGTGTCAACACGCGGCCCTCCATTTATCTCCCTTCCCTGGACATGAGAGACGAGTGCTCCGCGTGCAGCACCAATCGCTCCCAGCCCTCTCGCAACCCGCTTGCTCACGCTTGTACTGGCCAGGTTTGATGGTTGGTATCCCTAAAGACTATGGTTTAAAGTGACTCGGCCTGCTTCATCAGTGCTTCACATGCAGCCATCAACTGGTCCTCGGAGAGGCGGGCAGTGCCACCGATACTGGTAGAGCTGAGGCCAATCTGTACTTTTTAAATATATCTTTTGACATCGACGGCTTGGTAATTCCCGGGGGTCGCATCTTGCCAGGGAGAATTCCAGCGGTCCAAGTGGCCGCCCGAGGGCGGTTTCGAACAGAACCGCAATGAAAACATGATGCTGATGAATCCTACCGCGTAGCCCACGTCGATGGCACCCCTGGGCAAGCCGGTCATACGGATATTTCACCACAGCATCTGTGATGGATCAAGCTGAATGACGCTTAGACCAGCACAGGACGAGCGAAACTCGCCACCCCATGCCTACGATGAACCCCATTCATCATCTCGAGAGTTGGGGCGAGAAAAAAGTATGCCCAGACGGAAAATTGTCCAGATCCTTCCCGAGACAGCAGATTGGCAATCGGACAGGCGGCCAGAGCCTCACTCATATTGCGCCGAAGGCTGGGGCAGCCCCTGAAAAAGAGGTCCAACGTACTTCCTGCCTTGTTTTATGATCTCTACCGATTTCTTCTCATTTACACGCACGCCTGCTCCCAAACCCCGTCGAGTAATCTGGGCGGACGCTGGCTGGGAGGCGCCCATTGGAGACATTGCTATTCAGCAATGGCTGAAGCCTATCAGAGTTCGCAAGTTCATGCTCTTGCAAAAGCCGCCACAGTACATACTTACTTGACCGCTCTGCGATGTTCCCCAACACGTCAACCTGCCACAGGGCTCATGGATATACACCCAGGTATATTCAGGCGCCGCTCCGCATCAATCTGCCCTACCAACAATCTGACCCCAGATGAATCCGTGTCCCTGGGGCCGAGACGCGCAAGGGGGCCGTGTCAGATCTACTGTCCAAGCAGGCTAATCGTATTCAAGAGCTCTCCGTCCCCACGGGAAGCCCAATAAAAGCAAAAGTAGGTGTTTGTATGGAGACATGGAGGTAGCCAAGATACCTATATGATCGTGGATGCTGGTCTAAATTTGACAAGGTTCCACATTGACCGTAAAGGCGACAAGAGTTTATTACAATGCCCACCATACTGCTGGGCCCAACTTCGCGGCAACCAAAAAAGTTCACCTCAGCCTCTGTGCAGGAGGACTGATATTCGCCATTGGTGGCCTTGACTGGTGCTGGACGTTGGATAATAACACATCAGGTTCCATTCGTAGAACCAAGATTCTTCTAATCCTCCAATACTAGAAAATAAAGCCATTTTGTGAGATAAAACTACTGCAATTCATGAGCCATTGCTAAGCTTTCTCCTTTTTGAGTTTTGTCTGCAAATGCCGTGTGAGACCCGACTAGTCTAGTTGAACGCTAACTAGAGCAGCGGATCTAGAGCTGGACACGCACAGAATACGATGGGCACGAGAGAACTGATCCATCCTCTCACCATTCATGGGCCGTGAGCACGTTTTGAGCAAATTTTGGGTCGCCCAGATGAGGCTTGCAGCTGCCAAGGCACCGGATGTCGGGCTCGAATGACAGTCAGTCAGCTTGCCCAAAGACTGCCACAGCATTTTCGAGGCTTGTATTCCACTGTTCAGCTAATCAAGTCTTACGTGCTGCTGTTATCCCAAAGAAAATGGTGGTTGCAAGATATTAGTCCTAACCGTCAAGAGGTATCATCTGCTCGACTGGAGCTGGGGATATGAAGAGGTCCAAGTACATAGTCTTCTCGCTACGGGATGGTGTTCGTGCTCATGCACGCCAAGTCGACCAGAAAGTGGAAACAAGCCAGACAAATATATCATCCGACGGGTCAGGGCCTGCGGTGAGATCCCAAGACATGGTGATTAGGCCATGAAAGGGTCTCATGGAGGCTTTCGGATCCTAGTGCTCCACTGAGGTGAGTTGAGACGGAGGTCTAATGTGGCCACTCTCGGCTGGAAAATCCAATAAGTAGACGGACTGCAGAGCCCAAGTATTGGTTCCATCACAAAACGCCTTGTAATTCGACCGACACTCCGTCAGTTCACAACCATCGCCTCTTCTCCGAGCTGTACTCGACCTCACATTGGCAAGATGCACTCAACACAGGTCGCCTTCGTCATTGCCAACCTGTACACCCGCCCACTGCTGGCAGACGGGAGAGGGCTCATCGGATGGGGCAAGACCATGTACCACCCCACGTGTGCATTTGCTTGCCGTGGAGTCGTCAAAGGCTGTTCCCTTATGTGCACACCAGGCCATGACGGCGAAGTTTTTGGAATGGGACATTCGACCACGACAACACCACCCGATTGCTACACGAGCGACCCGGCCTTCCTGCGCACCATGGCACTCTGCCTGGACACCTACTGCCCATTGACGGATAACCCCACAGTGAGCCTGCTAGAAGACTTCTGGAGCTCTCACCTTGCAACCGGAACAGTGGGGGACTACCAGTGGCAGCCCAGTGTATCATACGTGAATGCAGTTGCGGCAGCACGGAAGGACGAGGCTCGCGCTGGGAATGGCAATGGGAATACCATCTGCGATACGAAGGAAGCACACGCAGCAAAGTGATCACCAAATGGTCAGAAAACATGATCATGAGGAGTCCGGTGAATCTGTCACTCTGAGGCTAGGCACGCACAGTGCGCTGCCAACTATAAAACCCAAACAGCATCTGAATGTCACGAGCTTCATTGCCGAAGCTGACTGGCAGAAGCAGTACAACGGAATGATGTCGTTGGAGATCAACGAAACAGGTCATTCCACGTATACGTGGGTGCCAGCTTGTCCACTACGTGTTGGCATAGTTGAATGCAATCTGCTAACAGTTCCCAGCATTACAGTCATGCTCGTTGGGCTCTTCCTCCCTGTGGTTCTCTCGCTCGTTCAATTCATCCCTGGCCTGAGCCAAACCCCAGCTTGGGCGTCACTGAATTCCATGCTGATCCACCCTGCTGTCTGGGGGAGGATGCACCGCGAACCAGTCGCAATCAAGGCTGGCGGTGGAATCGTTCCAACGCGAGGCCAGTCGCTTTACATTTCGACCATCAGCTTTCTGAACATCGTCTTCCTCTTGGCGCCGTATCACATGATTCAACCGCAAAGTAGTTTCGCCTCGAGGGAAGAGCAGGAGCAGAGCATCATCGGCAACCGGGCAGGCGTTATGGCACTGGGAAACATGATCGTTCTCTTCGTCTTCTCCGCGAGGAACAATGTGCTGCTCTGGGTGACCGATTGGAGCCACGGCACATACCTACTACTTCACCGCTGGCTTGGCTACTGGACCATCATCCACACGGTCGTCCACTCGATTATGCTCCTCGAGTACTATAAGAAGTACGGGGACTACGCCATGGAGCAGGCCAGGCCGTATTGGATCTGGGGAATCGTGGGTACGGTTGCAGTCGTGGCCATCTGGCCAGCGTCGCTACCAATCGCCCGGCAGAAATTCTACGAGGCTTTCCTCGCCCTACACCACCTACTTGTCGTTCTCTTCCTGGTGGGGTTCTATTACCATATCTGGTACTGCTATACCTACAACTGGGGCTATGAGATCTGGGCCTTCATCGCAATCGCAATCTGGGCCATCGATCGACTGTGGCGCATTGCCCGCATGGTCCTGCAAGGCGTTCGTACGGCTGTCGTGGCTCCCTTACAGGGAACTGACGGCGAGTACCTCCGCATCGAGATCAAAGGTGTTCACGCACATGGCGTTGTGTATCTCTGCTTTCCAACACTCAGCTGGATGTTCTGGGAGAACCATCCTTTTTTCCGTCGCCTCCTCCATGGCCGCCGGCCATGTTCAGGCACAACCCAATGTCATCATGAAGCCTGCCATTCCGGATCCCGAGAAGTCTGTTCCCGGGCCGAATGGAAAACTACTCGTGTCGTCCACGGATGCAACAACAGCCGTCTCTGCCATACTTCGAGCAGAAAAGCGCCAGTCAGTTTCGAAACCAACAACATTCATTGCCCGGAGCCTTACGGGCGTGACGGTGAGGCTTGCAGCTCGTGTGGCCGCCAGTGGAAGCCTGCTTCGGATACCCGTTTTGCTAGATGGATCGTACCACTCTAATGTCACAGCAGGATTACCAGACTGCTCCTCTCTAATCTGTATTGCTGGCGTGGTTGGCGTCACAGGTGTCTTGCCTGTGCTGCGTTCCTTTCGCGTGCCACAGCGAGCTCGGCTGATCTGGGGTGTCCGCAAACAGGGCCTCGTGGAGGGAATGGCGCCTGAAATGTCCCAACTGTCCAAGAACATCAGTGTGAGCATCTTTGTGGGGAAGCGAATGGGCATCGCCGCTGTACTTGGCGAAGGGCTGGCAGGGGAGGGCGAAAAGGGACCAGCAGGCATTGTTGTATGCGGACCTCCTGGCATGGCCGACGAGGCAAGGGCAAGAATATCGGAGCTTGGAAGGAGTGGAGCATGTAGGAAATCCTTTGTGTTTGTGGACGAGGCTTTTAGCTGGTGATGGATGGCGGCCGTTGGAGACGGGTTACACCTTGTCAGATGTAAACCCAAGAGTCACTAATTACGCAAATAAGAATTCCTGTCGGGAGAGATATATGATGACTCACTCCGCTGAGAATACACGATGCTATTCCTGATATATAACCAATCCTCTGCGATGACCCCACGTAATAATGCTACTTGTCTCGGTAATTTTGCGTATGCTCCTTGCTCACTATCTAGTTACTTGGAAATGTACTGTCGACGGGCCTTACCGGGGCCTCTATCGCAATGCTATTATCAATGGTTTTAAACCTTTTCTTCAACGTCTTCGCAAACTATTTACCACTCTCGGCAATTATACCCTCTACCCCCAGAAGAATCTGCGTATCTTATAAAGCAAAATCAACTCAATTTGAGACCAATGAGCCGAGTTCCATACTCCTACGTAGTCGACTTCCATTGCAACCTGTTCTCCTGAGACGGTCTTGTTATTTGGAGGTCCTGGCCAATTTCCTCCCATAGCGACGTTGAGGAGGAGGAAATGGCCCTCGTGGGCGATCTTTTCCCAAGTATCAAAGTCACCAATGTCACCGCCTGTGACGTTGTGGACTGAATTGCCGTTCAGATACCACTCTAATCTCTCATCCTCCCAAGTCTGATTGACTCTTATCGCCCGGTCGACGAGGAACCCAACATTGTTCCAGGTATCAAAATTCCAAGGCACGCCTCCGTTACCTATACCGTTATATTCCTCACATGGCCCCCCCGGGGCGAAGCCACAGTGAAGGGTGGTGTATATTTTCGGATCTCCATTCAGGACTTCGAGGAGGTCCCACTCACTGGCCATGGGCCAGTTGGTGTAGTTTCCCCTGAACGACTCGCCCAGAGCCCAGAAGGCGGACCAGACGCCTTGCATGTTCGCCTTGTCAACACTGTGGAGCTTGATGCGGCTGCCGACATACATTTTCCCGCCCTCTGTGGCAGCAAAGTCCGTCCGTTGGGTTTCTAGTCGTGCAGATGTGTAAAGGATTGTGCCATTGCGCATGGAACGAGGTGCTTCGCGGGGGATAATTTTCATCGTGCCTTGTCCGGTCAACACCGAGTTCTTGGTCGAGTCGGTATAGTACTGGAATTCGTTGTTGCCCCAACGTTCAGCGCCTCCCGGATACTGAGTTCCCCGGGAAAATATCCAATTTTTTGATGATGGCAGTGTCCCGGCTTCACCATGGAAAGTTTCGAGCCATGTCAGCTTGAACGGTCGGCGTTCGGGGTCGTAGGCCTCGGAAGTAGCGCCCTGGCTGGAGAAAATTGACAGGTCCAAAGGACCCAGCTCCAAAGAGGCTTCAATGGGTGATGAACTTGGATGCACTGGCTTGGCTTGACCCAAGCTGGTAAGCACGAAGAGGGCATTGATAGCAAGAGACTTCATAACGAGTGTTCTGCAAAGTAACCTAAAAATGAGAGACTATTGACAACGAGTGACTTCAGTAAGGAATCATTTTGATGAAACGAATGCGACTTGGACCGGTGGGAACCGGCCTGATGAATTTTAAGAACACTGATCTGATTTCTTTCAAGGGGCAGACAAGTTGCCAAGCACATATATCGAAATGCAAATTACCCGACAGAGCTCAAAGGAAATTATGACTGCCACACCTCTCATGAATGTTCAACCATCTAACCATTTCAGGGGTGGCTGCATTGCTTACCCGGAAATCTCGGAACCTCTGCTTGTGCTGCCAAGCTGAGTCATAGTTAGATTAACTTCCAGGGAGACAGATCATTCATTTAAGCTGGACTATTGGATAGTGTTCGTAAGCAGATCGAAAACCAGCATCTAGATACTAATCATCAAGAGTTGGTCAAATGGGCCGAGGCTTTTACTGTCAGTGTCATTGAGAATTTCTAGACGCGCACATCAGAAATAGCCTCAATCACAGCAATAGAACTACACATCGTCAACTCGTTATAAGAATACGTTTTCTCCATGCCTTCACAAAGTCAAGAGGGGCTCGAGTGGGACAGAAGCGGCCTTGGTCTTGTCCCTCTGTGGACGCGCCAACCATCAACCGAGGCAATCGAGACGGTGTGCCGACAGACTCTGCACATCAGCGACAATGGCTAGCCGAGAATACCACTATTCTAATACGAAAGGTCGTTGCATTCTACAACCCCAGCCGAAATGAAATCGGCTGTGAGTGGATATTGATGGAACTGATGTCTGGTGTCTCGGCATGGATGGAGGCAATGGAGATCACGCACGATGGCACAAAAGGTCTTTCTGACACAGCAGATCGCCGAGTTCCAAGCACAACTGTTTCGACACGAATTTCCCAGTGATTCATTCCGCGGGATGGGCACGCCTGGATGCACCCCTGAAGGAAACAAACCCGTCCCTGGACAGCTCGTCTCAAACATGTTCTTCATGGGCAACCACATCAACTATGACGGGGTGCACCGAGAGCCGTTTCGCTCAAGCCACGACTGGCTCAAGTCGCTATTAGAAACCATTATGCGGGAATTCGAGGACTTTGCCACCAATGCCGAAGACGAGGACGAGATAGAAGAAGCCGAGGATGTATTGGAGGTCTCTAAGCGTCTTGTTACACTTCTACCCAAGACGTACCGCACCCATGCATCACGACCTAGGGCAACATACTGTTAGACGAACAGGGCAACACCTCGGCTGTACTGGACTGGGAGTGTGTCTGCTATGTCGCTATGGGCGGTCACCCAAGTACCCAGGTTCCTTCGGAATCGTGATCGAGAGGATGAACCCAGGCGTGAGAGTTACCCTGATGAGACTCCGCAACCAGAAGGAGGCTCAGTCAGTCGACAGCGCGATCCTGACGATCTCGACAACAATAGCCAAAATAAACTACACTGGGCTCATCTTATGCAATACGAAACCACCCAGATGCGAAAAACATATCACGATAAAATAAAGGCAAAATAATAAGCTTTAAATTTAAGTTTAATTCTCATCTATGTAAATATAATTTATATATTATTTTTAAAAAAATAATACTTAAATTAAAATTATAAATTATTATAAGGAAAAAAAAGGGTTTAAATATATTTTTATAATAATAATAAGGAAGGGTTAGCAAAAAGATTAGGCAAGGGTTGCACGGGGGTTGCATGCATATATTACTTAAATATATAAGATTATATTAAGGTCTTTATGGTAAATGCAGGCGGTATAAATAAAGTAAGTATAGCGGTTATTAATAACTTAGCTATTATTCTTTATAGCAACATATAAATTCTTGCTTAAGATTATAATAACTTAAGTATTAAAAAAGGTTATTATTATAATATTATTATTATAAGCAAGCTTATATTTTATATCTTTATTATTTAAAAAGGCTTTATAAAAACATTTTAATATAAGTTTAATATATTTATTAATAATTTAATTTTTTAAAAAAATATTCTTTATGAAACTTAATTAAAATAATAATAATATTATTAAAAGCTTTATTATAAAAGTATAATAATTAAAAAGTAAAATAAAAAGCTGCCTTTTATTATAAGCTAACCCTGGGTTGTTTATTATAAGGTACTTAAATAAGGTTTATATTTAAAGTGCAAAGGAAGAAATCCGCTCCTTATTTATATTTGCATTAAAGTTTATTCTTATAAGGCTAAAGCTTATTAATTAATTATAATAAGCAAAGCTTAAATTATAATATATCTTCCTTTTTTAAGTTTTTATAGCAAGTTTTAAAGGGTAGCTATATAATAAAAAATAAAGGATATTATAATTTAATTATAAATTAAATATTACTCTTTATTTAATTATTTAATTACACCTTAGCGCCTTTTAAATGCATTAAAAGCTTAATTTATTTTTTATAATTAACGTGCCTTTAACCCTTATAATTTAATATATTAATTAAAGTAAATTAATAATAAATAATTATTTAAGTATAAGCTAATGGCTAAATTAATAACATTCTTATAATCTTTTAATATAAGCCTTTTGCATAAGCTTTTTTACTTAAAACCTTAAAACTATAAATTTATTATATAATTTATAATTAATTAATACTTAATTGCAGGTAATTTACTTTATTAATGAGAATTTCCTAGATTTTAAGCGTTTTTATAATATTAAATTAATTAATATATAGCTAGCTCGCTTTAAGCCTAGGTTAGTATTAAGTTGGTAATACTTTTAAGCCTTACCTTATAAAAAAATTTTATGCTTTTTTAAATAAACTCCTTCCCCTTGCTAGCCTTAATTAATAAAAGCTATATTTTTATTTTCTTATAATAGTTAGGGTAGTTATACTTATAATAGCTAAGTTAGCTATATATAAAATACTTAACTTTACTTATTAAAATTATTATAATATTAATATTTATTGCTTTATTATTTTAAAGTTAAGTATTATTCTTTCTTATTATAACGTTCAAAATACCCTTATATTATTATAAAGTAAAGCAAAAGGCCTTAAATATATTTAGCTATTCCTTGCAATTAAGCTAAGCTTTTATTATAAAAGCTAAATTATTAATTATTAATAATATTTTATATTTATTTAATTAATTTTAAGCTTTTATTATATAAATTAATTAATTAAATTAAATAAGAAATTTTATTATTTTCTTTTTATAATGTTATTATAATATAATTAAGCTAAGCTTAATATATTTTTACTTAAAAGGGTTTTTAAATATAAGGTAAACCTTTTTTAAAAAGCTTTTTAGCTGCCCCTTAAATATTTTTATAAAATTAATATAAGGTAAAAATTAATTATAAAAAGTTTTTAATTAATTAAATATATAAAAGAATTAAGCCCCTTTAATATTAATTGGATTTTTATTTATTATAAACTTAGCCCTTATTTTTATTAATTAAGTTATTAAGTATTCTTAAGATAAGAGTTTCTTAAGATAAGGAAGGGCTTAATAAGTTGCTATTATTTTTTTAAGTCTTGCTATATTAAGTTTTATATAATTATATTATAAGTTTATAATATAAGAGGACTTTAAATATATATTATAAGCTAACCTTAAGTTGTTTATTATAAAGTACTTAAATAAGGTTTATGGTTTATATTTAAAGTGTAAAGGAAGAAATCTGCTTTTTATTTATATTTATGCTAAAGCTTATTTTTATAAAGTTAAAGCCCGCTAATTAATTATAATAAGTAAAGCTTAAATTATAATACTTTTAATATAAAAGTTAAGATTAAATATTAAATAAAATTAATATAAGAATAATATAAAATTATAAGATATTTAAAGGATTTAAAGTTTAAAATACCTTATAAAAGGAAAGAAATTTACTTAAATAATAATAATAATAAGGAAAGAAACAAGAGATAATAAAGGAAAAGCAAGGGTTTAATTATTTAAGGGAATAAGATTTTATTATTCTTATAAATAAATTTTCATTATTATTTTTAACATAATTAAGCATAAAAATAATTTTTTTTAAATTACTTTAAAATTATATTAATTTTATAAAAGTAATTTTTTTAAAAAAAAAGTTTTTATAAATATTATAATAAAATATATTTATTATAAAGTAAAAATAATAATATTATAAAGTTATAAAAAGATATAATATAAGGGTTTTTTTAACCCTTTAAATATAATTTTTTTCTTTTTAACTTATTATAAGGAAATTATATTTTTGTATTTTTAATTATATAATTATATATAATATAATAAAGAATATTATTATTATTATTATTTTATAATAATAAACTTAAATAATTTAATTTAATTATTAATTATATTATAATATTTTAATTTTTTTTTAAAAATATAATAAAAATAATTATTTTATTAAAATAAAAATTATTTATAAAAAAAGTTTTATATTAAATTCTTTTTATTTATATTAATATTAAAAATAAATTGTTTTTATTTAATTTATTTAATATTATATTTAAATATATTTTATTATATAATTTAAATATTTAAATTATTTAAAATAAGTAATATATTATTATTATTATTTAATTTTAAAAAGTAATTTAACGGGTTTTAATAATTGCAATATTATAAAGAGCTATTTATTTAATAACTTAATTAAGTTATTAAAAAGCTTTATTTATTTAAGATTTTTAAGTTATTTATAAGATTATAAGTTAAATTAATATAAAAGTTATATAAAATTATACTTTTACTTTAATAATATTTAATGCTTTATAAGGGCTTTAAGGGGGGTAATAATATAAATTTTTTATATTATTAAATGTTTTTAATAATAATGAAAAATTATTAATCTTTTAGCTAAGCAATTTACTTTATTAAAAGTTAATAAATTTATCTTAAGAAAGGTTAGAAAAAAGATAAAAAGAAGTTTTATAATATTTTATTAAAAAGGAGCATGAAAATATATATTAAGTTATATATAACTTTATATATAAGCTTAAAGCTATTAAGAAATAATTAAAAAGCTAAGTTAATAATTAATAAATTAATAATTAATTAACTTAAATAAATATAATATAATTAAATAAATAATAAAAATAAAAAATAAGTTTAAAAAAATAATTTAATTTATTTTAAAAAGTTTAAAAATAATTATTTACTTTTTTTAAAGCTAATATATTATATATATTATATACTTTTTCTTAAATATTAATATATAATAAGCTTTTAATATAATTTATATAATTTTAAATATAATTTATTAACTTTTAATTAACTTATTATAATTATATTATTATAATACTGTTATAAATTTAACTTATAATTAATAATAATTAATATAATTTAAAAAATAATTATTAAAAAAAAAGTAAATAAAATATAAATAATTTAATTTAATTAATCTTAAGAATAATTATAAGAATAAAAATAAATTACTTATCTTATATTAAAAAATAAATATTATTTTAATAAAACTTAAATTAAATAAAATTATAAGCTTTTAAAATAAAAATATTATTAATTATAAATTAATATAAACTATTAATGTTTTTTTAATTTCTTTATTTTATTAAATAATAATCATTATTTTAATAAAATAAGAAATAATATAAGTTATTAATAATTATAATTAAATTTCTTATATAAGGCTTTAAATAATAATTATTTAATTTATTTATATAAATTAATATTATAAGTTTTAATATTAAGTTATATTTATTTATATTAATATTATTAATAAATTATTAAGCTTAATATTAAGTTAATTTATTAAAAATAAAGCTATTATAACTTAAGTTAATATTATTATATATTATATTTAAATATCTTTATTATATAACTTAAATAAATATAAATTATTAAAAATAAATAATATAAAGTTATTATTTTTTAAATTAAAGATTTATCTTTAATTTTATAAATAAATAATAATTCATAATACTAAATAATATAACTTAATTTTTATATTATAAATTTATTTAAAGATAATTATTTAACTTATTATTAAAACTCTTTAAAAATAATTATTTACCTTATTAAATTAATATATAAAGGTTAAAATTATAAGATAACTTAACTTATTATATATAATTATTACGTTAAATTAACTTAATAAAGTAATTAAGCATTATTATATAAATAAAATAAGTTAATAATATAAATTAATATAACGTAATTTATTTATAAGTAATTTTTATTAAAAAATAGTTTTTTTTAATATTTATTTAATATAATAAAATTAATTAAAAGTAATTAATAAATATAAAACAT